GGCATTAATCCTGTTAATGATGAAAAACGTCGCGAATTAAAAGCACCACGTTATCCAGATTTTATGGAAAAAGAACTACGTTCATATTCAAGTCGAAAAGTTCTTGGAAAAATATATCGTCAAGCACGTTGTGCATATGATTTACATATTCAATTAGAATATCTTGACCAAAAGCACTTTATTGAAATTGATGAAACATTATTATTTGATGGTTTTGAAATCTATTTAGATGATGCTAAACGTCAATATCACTTATATTGCAATAAATTACAGCAAATACTGGATTTATATGATTATAGTACTGAAGCTGAATTAATAACAGGTTGTCAACCATTATTTATTGATGAAAAACGTTCGTATGATGCAGCTGATGTTGCTGGACAAGATTTTAAACGTTTGCGTACAGATGCACGAAGAGAATTTCTCAATGAATTTATTCGCTATAATGATAAACAACAACGTAAACGTGATCGTGATCATGATATAACATTACTATCATCTGATGTTAAAATAGCTCGTAAACAATTACAAAAAGCTTCATCTTGGTATTATATTGCATATACAGAAGAAAATGATGAAGAACAATTAATAAAATCAAAATCATTTGCTTGGATTATGTGGGATTTTTTATGCGAAATACGTTCACGTAAAGAACGTATTCATCATTTATCATCTAGAACAATATCGGAAGCATTAAAATCTTATTATATAACAATGGCAAATGTTAAATCACGTCATATTTCAAATTATGAAAAAGCAAGAACAAATTTGTATAAATATTTATTAGAAGATCAATGTGAACATTTATTTGAACCAGCTTATTCATTTCTGAATATACCAGATTTAACGGGTACACGTGTTCGAGTAATTATTGATTCACATAACAATTTAAATAAATCAAAAACAATTATTAATTTAAATAAACATCAATACGATATTGTACCACTAAATGTTAAAAAAATTAAATTATTTAATAAAGCTAATAGATTCTATTTTAAATTATTAATGCAACAACCAGCTATTGCCACTGTTTTAGAAATAGCTATTGATTGGGCAGCTAAACATCAATGTTTTACAAGAATGGATAGAGAAGGAAATAAAATTCTTGTTTTAAAACCAGAAATGTTCTTTGAACGAGCACTTAAAGCTTTATTTAAAGATGTTCCAGCTTGTTATTTACCATCGTTTGACGATGATGATGATGATGTTGATGACAATGAAGATGATGAAGATGAAGATGATAATAGTTTTGATCAAAAAGAACATAATCCAAGAAACGTTATAAATGGATCCATTGAAGATGATACGATAACATGTTCATCTGATGATCAACATACAAATAAAGTAAAAAATAAACGGTTAAATGCTGATTTATTTTTTACATATGAACAATGGACCAATTATATGATTGATAAAGTAAGAACATGAATTCTTCTACCAAAAAGAAAATAGCAAAAAGGTTTCTTTCATGTGATTTGTATTTTGACATCAAGGCTCTTATTGAGAATGCTCAGAGATATTTAGAGTGAGGTGAAAAATGCTGAACATCCCTATTTTCTAATCATTAGAATTTTTATGCGTCAGTGTTATATCGATAGAAAACGTTTTTCTTGTGATATCTATAGAATGCCATATTCTTGTCGTAAAGATATGATGAGATCGAGAACCGTTACGTCAATATTTTTACACACAAAATATTAATTTTCTTCTTTAGCAATAGTTAGCGACATATTTTATTGAACACGGGAAGATCCTTTTGCCTATAATTTTATCAGCAGTAATTTCAATTATTCCTATTGGTATAAAATTCAACTAAATTTTTCACACAATAAATATATTTATTAGTTCATTCATGACTTGAACTAGTTTCGTTGTCTTGACTTTTTTGGAAGAAATTTGGATGCAAAACGTTCAAACTTACGCTTCACATTTTTCGCACATGGCTGCTGATAGTTATTTCAGTTGAATTGAGAAGTAGAAGTATTGTCGAAGGTTAAACTGTCTTATAAAATCGCCCAACAACAGACAACAATCATCTAAATAAAAGTTCAGACAAGTATAATAGATATAATATTTTTTTGCTATGAGGAAAAAAAGGCATCCTAAAATTGTTCAAACCGATGGGATCTAGTAGATAGAAATCAGTTTATCGATAACTACTTAATGTAGATTTTTAAGTTGCACCAGAGAAAAAAAATTGAAACAAAGATTTTCAATCTTTCATTATGAAAAGGAGTGATAATCGACGTTCTAAACCCACAATCAAATTATCATTTTAAGTCATATGGAAATATATTTTAATTGACTTTTTTCTACATCGATTAAACCTTAAAAGGTTCATTTCGGACGTTAACATTGAGAATGTCTATTCTAAAAAAATTAGATTCAGCTACATGTTTAGAGTAGCCAATTGATATCTTTCAGAAAGTTTTCTTCGACTCAGTCTTCATGAACTATCTATACCAATTGAATTGTAGACTAGGAGCGTCACTGTGAAAAACTACACAAACATTCATCTTCTGATATTTCTCCCGCGACAAGCAGAGCAAAAACTTTCCAATTGATGCTAATACCAATTAAAAATTCTATCGATTTTTCTAATATTAAACTATTTCCATAATACTTGTTAAATTAACGAAAATTGCCATCAATGAAACTTTAATGAACGCATTATTCGAATGAAAATTCGAAACCTTATGCTTCTAGTAAATCCAAGAAACTCATTTGAATATTGAAATTAGAGAAAACATATGATTTGCTTTTGAGAAAAATACTCATGTTACTTCTACAAAACAATTAATTTATAATATTTCTTTTTTTTAGTGGGATTTTCAAGCAATATCATTCAATTTTCAAAAGTTGATTCGTGTTTGTAATGATGAAAAAGATATATGTTTTCTCAATGTCTGTCATGTACTTTTATTGGCATTACAAAAGATTGGCATAACTCGAAATCTTGACAATGCACCTGTTGATCTAAAAGATTCGCTTGTTTATCGAGTAAAATTCAAATGTTTTACAAAGAAAATGAGAAACTATTCATTTTATCTTGTCTATTTAGTTGGATCAACCATTAAATCGAAATCGGCCTTCATCTGTGTTAAATGAAAGTATATTAAAACCGGAATCGCTTCCATGAGAACACCCGTGATTTATTTTCATGTAGAGATGTCTTTCCGAATTGGTATTACAATCATGTTTTTTTTCTTCTTCTATCTAGTCATTCGTAACGATCTATAAAGTCTCTTTTGATCATTATTATTAGGTTTTCTTTTTGTGATACAAAGCTGAACTTGTTATGGTTTCATTCCGATCTCAGGTTATCATTCACTATCGATAGTCTTTTTCGAGATCAAACTTTTTTCATCTTTCTTCAAGTTGTATATACATGTACATAGTATTTGGTGCATTTCCACCATTGCTTTTCTTTCTTTGAACTAAGTTTTAGTGTTATAGTACACATTGTTACTGGAGAACTTTATTCATTTGTGTTTGCTGTAAATAAAGATTTAGTTCCAGCGCTTATTTGTTATTTAAAATAAACAGAAAAAATCCAGACATTTATTATGAATTGTCTTCGCTGAGACTAACTCTGATGTTATCACCATTCATAATGGTATTTATTAATCTATTGCATTCTTCTCGTAACTTTGATGTATCATCTATGCATATGCTCTTATAAAGAAATTTTACATAATAAGAAAAAAACTGTAGGCATATTTCACGATTAAAACATAAACGAAGAAATCTATGTGAATATGATTGTGAATGAGTCTTGGCAAAGTAGTTGTCCACATTCTTACCTTATTTCGGTTCATATCAAAGTACATGAACCAATGAAACAAAAAATGAAACTAGCTGTCATTTACGTATAAGTTACTTGCCCTTGATCACATTGTTTTTCGGTTAAGTTTTAAAATATCATTGTAAATAAGGTATTAAAATACTGCCATATTTGCTGCTCCTATTGAAAGATAGATTGATCAGAGAAGATTATTCTATGGTACAATGTCAAGCATTTTGCAAATGAAAGGACTAGTCATACTCAAAAAATTATTACTATTTAGTCTATCTGACTCTCTTTTAAATTACACTATTTTCCCTCAACGTAAGTTTCTCTAGACTTCGCCATATAATTGTGAATCGATTCAACACTAGTCATTAGACAACCAAACTTTCGTGTATCATCCGATTTTGCTTAACGTCGTGGTTACATTTGACAATACATATTCGAAATGCGTACACACTTGATAATAAATAAAAACATTTACTTATGATATATTTTTCTGTAATGTTCACTCGTCAGCTGACTCTAAAACATGATTAAGAAATATTTTGTAGCTAACAACAAAAAAACTATTCCTAATGTTCGCTCTGATTCAAATTTATAAGTTTTCAAAATACTAGATTAGTTTGTAACTACGACAGAATATAGATCTAAGAATAAACGCTTGATCCGAACATATTTGATACTCCTTTCGATTCTTACTATTTGATGACTAATACACCATATACATTTCTCAAATAAACTCGACAGTAATCCTACGCAAATTAGCTTTTTCTTTTCGTGTGCCAACCGTCAAATTCTGGTATCAGTGGACCCATAGCGGAAGAAAAATGCTTAATACTAAAATATACCATTCAAAAACTCACAACATTTGATTGAAGAAAAGTCTATAGGAGTGAAGTAATTATAGATAATTTCGTCTATTGAATTTTAATAAAAAGTATCTCGAAATAAAAATGTATTCTTACTCGTGTTCTATCTACACTACTCTAAATGCATCACTTTCAGAATGTTCGAAGAGAATGATTCGTTTAAAATGTTTTTCTTAAATTTTCCACCTGTGAACGGCACCTATAGAAACGCACTATTATCTATCTAATGAACATTACATATTGATTGGCTAATTACAAGACTATTATGTGTTGTATTTAAAATTTTCTCACTGTTTAACATTGCCTATCATTCTTTCTTAAAATAAAAATCAGTTATAACAATGGCTCTCTGGGGTAAGCATCAGAAACGGTTTCATCTTAAAAAAATATGAATTCATAACATCTTTTAGAACAAGGAGGTGCAAGTGGTTTTCAACAACGAAAAGCTGGTGGTGAAAATGATAGTAATAACTCTCAAGTTTGTGAAATATTAGTTTTTACTGATCATAAATTATTCTAGAATATTTCTGAAATTTTGTAGCGTTCATCCGTGAAAGGTGTATTAACATGTACGATAGCAACAATTCTCAAAGCAAAACATTCTGAATCGGATAATTGCTTTGTTTATAAACATCTAAAATTTAATACATGCATGGTGATGGGTTTAATTCGTGAAGTAAATCATGAAGTCAACGGTAGTTTAGCTACATATCAAATTGATGATCATTCGGGTGATTTACTTGAAGTAAAATGGTGGCATGATGTAAAGTTTTATTAATGAAACAAAATGCGATTAATAAAATAAAGTTTCATTTCAGGATTCTGGTGAACCATTGAAACCATTAACTTATGTTAAAGTAATTGGCCAAGTGAAAGTTTTTGCTGGTAAAGCTCATCTTGTTGCGCATCATATTAGTAAAATGCAATCATTAAATGAATTAATTGCACATTCTATTGAATGTATTCATGCAAGTATAAGTATTCGAAAGCTAGGCGAAAATGTACATTTTATTTAATATTGAATGAGAAAACAAAACACAGTTTTTTTTTGTTTTTGATCAAAAGGGAACATCTACAACAACAAACAATAATAATAATAATCAAGGTGGAAGTAATCCTTTCAGTCAACAAACATCAAATATATCGAATGGTTTTACACCAGTTCAAAATGCTGTTCTTAATCTTTTAAAAACTGTAACAACAATGGCTGGCTATAGTGTTATAGAAATATGTAAACAATTGAAACAATTTAATGAGAATCAAGTCAAGTACGATTTTCTTTTCTTTTTGCCTTTATTTAAACTGCATTTAATATTATTTAGACAAGCCTTGGAATTTCTTTCTGGTGAAGGTCATATTTATTCAACCACAGATGATGATCACTTTCGTGCTGCTGGCAATTGAATAGTTGATTATTCTTTTTATTTCTTATCAGATAATCTAAATATATAAACTACATTTGTTACATAAATAAAAGCAAGAAAAGATATACATATATATTCTTTCATTATCTTCAGATTTATAATTTAAAAAGAAAAACCTATGATGGATCTTGATCCTATGATAAATATTTCACAAAATGAAAATAATTATTCAGATTATGATGATCGACCCATTCGTCCAATGGATCAAGATGCTCTTAATGAAGCACTTGCTCGTTTACCGATTCTTGTTGATGAAGATGATTTAACGAAGAGTTCAGATCCGAATACAAGGTAACTGTAGATCAATTTTTCCTCATTGAAAAATTCATAACGTTCTATTATAGTATCAAAGCACGACGGCAACCCATCCTTGCATATTCAACAAGACGAAAAAATTTTTCCGGTTTTAGTGTTAATGAATCAGTATTGAATGTTACCGAAACACCGATAAATAATAAACGTAAATTAGGTGGATGTACACCAATGAATAAACTTATTAAACGTTAGTTAAAATAGAAGAAGAGTTTGAATTTCAAGAACTTCATCATTATTATGTTTTTAGAAATCGATGCTCGTCAAGATTTAATGCACCTGAAAGAAGAAAATAAAATTCTAGAAGAAGTAAATCTAATTAATAGAAAAATAAATAATTATTGATTTCTTTTTCGATTTAGGCTAAAATTAATTTACAACTTGAATATACTTTACTACAGAAAGTGAGTATCTAACACTTGAATGTATCAAAAACATAAACAATGTATTGCGATGAACTTCATGTATTTTGACTGATAGTTTCAATAGTTTAACGAAAATCATCATGAAATCAAATAAGAGATTTACATATGTGCTATAAGTCTTCACAGAACATATCATCTTAAGTCGAGTATATAATCAAATGTGAATATTTTGAATTACTATTACGTTTTCATATAACTTACTATCTAATTCATATCACAACAAACATCACACTAAACATTTCACTGAAATTCTCATTAGCTAATTGGTATTGTGTAGAACGCTAAAACATTTCTTCGAAGATTGATGTTGAATTGTAGAAAACTCCTTCATATGGCTTGATGATAACAACAGTTAACAGTATGATAAGATTTATACGATGATCATGTATATTAAAACATAGAGTAATTGCAGACTTTTTTTCTCTTTTTCTTATGGAAAAAAAAACTGGCATGAACTCTGATGCGTCTCATTTTGAAAACAAATCAAATAATTTTCATTACTATTGCTTTTTAGACACACGAAACTCAATTGGAAATATTAAAACAAGATCATCAACAACAAATTGAAACACTTATACAAGGTAACAGCAAAATAAAGTACAGCTATTGCTTAAATTTGATTTTTAGAACATAATTCACAGCTTGAACAATTCAATACATTGCTGATCGTTAAAGAACAATTACTCGCTCAAACTGTAAATAAAATTCTCTTCGTTTTTAATCTAATCTCTTTTAATATTTAGAATTTAGAACTTGATAATATTCGAAACAATCATACATTGTTATTATTAGAAAAAGATACACTTGATAAAGTAAATTTTATTAAAATTTAACATTGATAAAAGAATTCACTTCATATACTTATTTAGATTGTTGCTGAATATCAATTCATAAAAGATGAAATGAATAATAAATCAATTGAAGACGAAACCACTATAAAGTATGAATCTATTTATTTACTTAGAATATAATTAATAAAAATTCATTTATTTTAAGAAAACTACGCGAAGAAATTGACAACATAACAAGTATTCAACAACAGGTTTAATTCAATAAGCAAAAAAAGATTTAGTTATTTTCATGGATATAATGTTTTAGAAACAATCAACATTGAAATCTTCTCTAGCTATGGGTCGCATGCCAATAAAAGAAATAACAAGTAAAAATTAATTTTAAATATAAATTTTTATTTTCTGTCTTTGAATAGCTGATCGATCACGAACTACTAATAATACTAATTCGATAAATACAAAGAATGAAGCCAGCCGATCGAAGTATTGTATTTTTTAATATTTTATGTTTATATTGATTGTATTTTAATTTAGATCAAATAATAAAACTTCAAGTGCACGAGCATTAGTATGCTCAACACCATCTGTCAATACAAATTTGAATAAGTAAATTCATGTTTATATGTATTTATGTTTTATTTTGAAAAACAAAATTTAGACCCGTTCCAACGGCCAATAAACCGCCTTTATCAAAACCTAAACTAACTGCTATTCTTGCCGATAAAAAGAAATTAACATCGACAGATAAGCACAAAAGTTTAGCGTCTACACATCTTAAACCGAAAATAGTCGCTGTGAAATAATAATTATATAAAAATTAAATCAGATAAAATTATTAGTATTTTCTTTTGTTATACAATATTAAACAATATTCTGGTTCAATTATGTCAGATATTTGTGGATAGTTCTTTGCTTTTTTTTCTAATGTATATTATCGAATACGAACGCATCCTATTTTATTTCAGACTGTTTTCTTGATTGTACATTTTTTTTCTGTGTAACGTTGTTTATGCTATTGTTCAGAAAAGAAGACAATTTTTACGAGTAGATTCTTTTCTGTTTCTCTCTTTTCTTCTTTTCGATAAATAATATTGATTCATGTCAACCAGATATATATTTTGTGCTTTTCAATACCTACATGTGTAACACGAATCACATTTAATTCTATCATCATGAGAGATACAAAACTGAAACCTGATCAAATCTGAAATAAAAATTATGTTCATTTCCATCAAATCATATAAACTATAAAAGCAAATGTGTTAATTGGTTGTCATGTATTGAGACAATTCAACGATAGGATTTTCAAATGATGATTTTATGTATTAATTTTGTAGAATATTTTTCAGTCCATACTATTTTCACCGGAAAATGTCAACATCAGATTGGGACACACCTATTTCAAATTAATGATTGCAATTTGATAACTGGGAAAATTAATCAGAACCGGAATCGCGCTGTTTCAGTTCGTTTACCAAAGTATTAGATCGAGACAAAAGTTTTAAAATATATTTCTGAGAAATTTTCACTATTGCCTAGTTGCAATTAAAATATTACGTATGTTTGAATTCAAGCAAAAATATTACGATACACAAAACTATTTATTGGAATCTGTAATTTTTAAAAATCAGGTTATCTTGAAAGTGATTTAAAATGTTCTGTATCTAGCCAAATGTGTAATCGATACAGAAATATTTTAAAAAAGTCGCTTAAAGTTACAGTTGATTAAGAATTTTTCAGCTGTAAATCATCGTCGTTCATGCTCAATATATATTCTTAGAAATTCAATAGCAACGAGCATTTCCCTATTAGTTTTTTCTTCTTCAAATAATAAAGAACTTGTTCTGTCAATATGATCGAAGAAAAAAAAGTAGAAGAATAAAAAATATATTTCTTTTTTAACTTGATCACCATAGTACACATAATAAAACATTGATCATAAATCATGTATTATTTAAGATATGTAAATAGTAGAATCGATAGCATACATGCCTTGCTATATCAAACATAGTTTGTCCTTGAAAGTCTAGTTTAAAAGAATTAAATAGATTTGTATTTCAAATTTTTATAGTTTTTCAATGCTAAAAGAAGTGAAAGCAAAGCTTGAAATAGGATATAAAAGTGTACAAATTAGATGCATAAAAGAACGATATTGAGTTACAATGTTAGTTAAGTTAAATAAAATATTTGATATTTTCATTGTTCAAAAGTTAATAGCATACATAATGATCATCAATGTCATTCGATGAAATTTAAAAAAAAATATATTTGCTATTTTGTGTTTGTAAAAGAAAAGTATTAATCAAAATGAAATATGAATCAAGACAACGAAAGCAGATGGTTTCAATGGCTTCAGCTAACTTTTATAACGCTTCACCCCTTTTAATCGTCATTAGCATTGCTTTTAGCTGATTCAACAAGAAAACAAATCATGTTTTTTTGTTAATCGAAAATTTTATTTCTTTTTTTAATAAAAATAGATTCAGGGTCGGAGAGATAATGCCATAGAATAATTTTAATGATACTTTGCCCAATAAAGAAAAAATAAGCAATTGACAAGAAGGGGGGAAATTATTGAAAAAAAATAAAATGGTAACAACTGTTTCTTTTTTCACTATAAAATAGTTAATTGTCTCTGAAAATAATTCGTTTCTATTAAACTGAAATCGGATACTGTTGTTGTTGTTGTTGTTGTTGCTGATATTGAGTTTGTAATTCATGATGTGGCTGATAAAATTTATGACCTGTTGGTTCAGTATGATGATGTACAAAATTACTTCTTGGTGAACTAAATTGATAAAAAGACATAATTACTAAAGCATTATTTAAAAAAAAAACGAAATTTACTCGAGAAGAGTAGCAGGACATGCTTCAATTTCTTTTGGTGTAAATTCTGTTTTGTACATGGTTGCATCATCAAATGGAACTGTTGATCTAAAAGCAGCATTTTCGGGTTTATAGGATCGTTGTGGACCAGAATCATGTGGAATATAGTGACCTAAGAAAAATCCAATTTTAAATAGAATACTAAAGTATTATTTTACCTTTATACGTTGACATTCCTTCGAATGGCATACTTGGAGGTTCATAACCAGCTTGTGATTTTATAGCTGGCGGTCGTCCTCCAGGCCATTTTCTATAATCACCTAAATAAGTGGTATTTCCCTCGAATTTAGCATCAACTCCAGGTCTTTCAGTTGGTCGAATTGCTGTTACTTTTGTGAATGGCTTTGGTGTAAATTCAGAATTATACATTGTATTTAAATCCATTTCAGCAGGATTTGCACGATATTCATCTGGTCTATGGGTTTGTATTGGTTGTACTTCCCAAGGTTTATAATCTGTTTTCGTTGTTGTTGCATCATCGAATGGAGCATTTGATCGATAACCTGGTTGATCTGGTTTCATTGAACGTGTTCGATCAACTAAAGAAAAATAAATTTGATAAAGAAAACTTTATTATTCTAATGTCTTTTGTCCTACCATCTTTTGGTGTAAAATCTCTTCGATGTGTTGTTAATGAATCTAGAGCTGTTTGATTCGGAATATATTCTTCTTTTGCACGTTGAAAACGTTCTTGTTGTGGATGATGAATATAATCTGTACGATAGCCAGTACGATCATCAAATGGATCTCTCGATTGTAGAATAGTTTGATCGGGTCGAATAGGTTGACGCATTCCTCCTTGATGTTTTAAATAGTCAGTTGTATATGTACTTTCACCTCGAAATGGATCTGATGGTGGAAGCTTCAATAAGGAAAAGAAAATGATGATGAGAAAATATTCTTTCTTCAAATTAATCCTACATATCCAGCATCATGTCGAATTGGTTCAGCTCGGCCAGTTTCCCATTTACGATAATCCGCTATAAAAAGAATAATTATATAGATAATAATAATAATAATAATAATAATAATAATAAAGTTAAAACGAATTAAATATACTTCGATATGTTGGATCGCCTTCAAATGGAGCTGATAACATTGGTTGACCTTCATGTCTAATTGGTTTAGCTCGTTGAACATCTTTGGCTAAATTATTATTAGATACAATTTAATAAAGAAATATTTAGATATCTGTTTTACTTACGTGTAAATTCTTTATTATAACTAGTTAATGAATCAAATTCGCCATGAGGAATATAAACTTCTTCCGGTTTGAATGAGCGAGCTTTGTCAAGCGAGTGTCTTATATAATCATGTCTAAATAATCGATTCGATATTATATTTCTATTCAATGTCTCAATTACTTATGTGTTGTTTGATCATCTAAAGGTATTCCACTTGACTGAAATTTATAATCAGGCTTAAACGATTCTCGCATACCAACTTCACGAGGAATAAATTCCGATCGATATTCAGTTACGGCACATGGTTGGTCACCTTTACCAATAATACCATAAGGACGATGTGGACAACGATGTTTCCTAGATACAATAAGTAACAGCTGGCGTTTTTATTTAGAGGAAAAAAATGATCATGCAAAATATGGCATCGCTCCAGATTTTGTTTTTCTACCCCTCAATTAACGTTAGACTTGATTTTTCTCAATTATTAAAATAATCTGTAGACATACCCGCAAGTACAAATTTGACAAATACACAATTTAGTCATGGTGATTAATTATTTATGATATTAATTTGATCGTATTTCAACCAGAACGACAATGATAGAGAAAGAAAAATAGTGCTAGCAAGAACTAATGCAATCGTTCTGTTTTCTATTCTAAGAAATAGACATCTGAAAAAGAAAAGTGAAGAACTAGAAAAAATGGAAGAAGAAAAACATTCTTAATATGTTCGTGATCGATTTTGAATGATTGAATGTATGTTGTTTATGTTACAACCGCGACAACGAAAGAAAGACAAATGTTAAGAGGATTTTAATTTCTCTTATGTTGTTGTGAACCATTGATGACAACTAGAAAAATATTCAATAAATCATTTGTTGCATAGCAATGGACATAAACATAGATTATTAGCATTAAAATAAAGCCGATACGATTTTATTTTAGATTCAAGGTTGAGGCTAAATGAGATTTATTTTAATAGTTCTTGTTATTGAAAAAATTCGTTTCATGATTTCATTGATTGTTTGTGCACGCCATCTGTCACAAAGTTTACAGTATATTTAACCTTGCTGCTACTTGTAACAATTTAATTTACTCACAAGTATCAACAAGGATTAGTTGAAGAGAAAAGAGTACAGAGAGAGAGAGAGAGAGAGACAGACGAAAGGGAGAGGGTGTAAAAAAAGAGTTTCTTGAAGCTCCAAAACATTTAACAGACTGTGTCTAAGGCGGTTGTTGAATTCTTTGTTGTTGTTTTTCATCTGAAGGCCTTTTTAAGTTAAATAAAAATATCATTTAAACTGAAATGAAAAGAAAATTTTCTAAAATGCCGGGATTTCATTATTGCTAATCAAATATCCTCTCATATATTTTCCAAACTAAGCCAATCTATCTTTTCATGCAAAGATAGAACATGTATCAATCTAAAAAACATTTTACCATTGTAAAAGCCAACTCTTCAAGCATTAGGATAAGCAAAGATTGTTTGTAATCTAAAAACCTAATTTAGATAAGCATCTTCGGTTCATTTCATTCATACAGATAGTTATATAATTAGATATTATAGGCTCAATAGACTATTGAAATCGCTCAAAACACAAATGAGATTTTAATAGGGAAAAAATGAAAAATTGTATATCGAAAAAAATATAGAACATTTTTTTTAGTAAAAATTCTATCCTGTAGCGATCTACACTAAGTTGTTAGTTTTGTTGTACAGTGCTTGAAAATACGTTCTTACTTATCGTCATTAAAAATAATATCGAATAAAAATCAAGATTAGTACGAACATGCGACTACATCATGAATCGTGTTTTAACTATTTTCTGCTGCTCGTCTCATTTTTCAAATAAACTGAAAAAATAATTAACTTGTTGGCCTCCTGTTGATTTCTTGATTTCTTTTTTGTTTAATATTCTATAAATGTATAACATGTTGGTTTTAATAATCAAAAAGAAAGAAAAAATGATTCGTCGAAGCAGACGAAACGTTTTCGTAGTGTTACTCATTCTAATATTATTATATCTATTTATCAATTATCCTATTCCCATACGTTCTGCTTCTAAGTTAACTATGTTCGATCAGATTCATCATGACGATCATTTATATGTACCATCGAACTATTGCTTTACAACAACTGAAAAGAAAAATATTCGTCGAGCAATAATCGTTTATTTTCCAGTTGAACGTTCAACAGTTTATATATCAGAATTAAAATGGTTATATCTTTCATGGATTGAAACAATTCAAAAGCAACCTTTCGACTGGCAAACTGATTTGCTCATATACTCTTTACCTTCATTATTACTAGATGAATTGGGTTGCTTTGAGAATAATAATAATAAATTATCAAAAAATAATTGTTTTAGAATCAATTACAATTCGTTATGGGTTACGACAAAACATAGTAACGAATTATTAAGATTAATTCAAATTCATGTACCAACATGGTGTCGTCATCTTGATTCACTAGGAATTATATTTGAAAATTCAGATTTTCTAAATCAATATGATTATGTTTTGCGAACAGATTTAGATGTTTTTCTGACACCAAAATTTGCTCATTATATTCCATTTGATTGTTCATTTCAAATAGGTTAGTTTTATTGATATTCATAGTTGGATTTCAAAAATTGTTTTTTTCTTCTTTACTTTCAAATTCATAAACAGGTCTCGGTGGTTACAGTCTCGATTATACATTAAATAAACTTTCTCGTATAGCTAAAACATTGAATCTATTAAATGCTAATTTAACACATGTTGGATCAACATGGTTAGAAAACAGAATATATCTAAGTTTTGTTTGAATTTTCATTTCTCATGTTCATTTTAAAGGTATGGACCACCAAAACAAATTATTTTAGTCGCACGTTTAGCACTTTGGTTAAGTGTATGGTTAAGTCAAAATGAATTTAATCTAGTTGAAAAAGATCATAGATTATCAATATTATCATGGCCACAATGGTATATTGGAGTAAGTTAATATAGTTTGATCATATCTTCATTCAGTAGTTTATAATAGGTTATTTCAATGTATGCCAGCCATTTAGCAATAAATCATTTTGCTAGACTCGGACGAATCAAATTAATACAAAAACCATATTTGATTGATTATAGTTGTACAACAAATGTGTCATTTCATGAGATAGAAATTATACATATTCATGCTTGGCATGTTCGTTTTTGTTTTCATTTTATTTTATTTAAAATTAATTGGAATTTTAAATATTTTAGACGAGTCAAATGTTTTCAAAGTTCTTTTTTAAAAATGGTTCATATGATGGAATACTGAGTATGAAAACTCAATGGAATACAAATTATTCATTGGATTTTATACTTCGAATAGCATGGCAATCAAAGAAAATGACAACAAAAGAGTTGTACCAACTTAAATCGCATGTATAATACCAAACACACTTGAAACTCAAGATGTGATGTTATTGATAGTGAGAATCGAACTTTTGAAGGATAAATAAATATGATTTCACATTTTAAATTGATCATCGCTCTTTGCTAATATTCTATTTGCGTAATAGATAATTATCTTCTTTTTTACGAGTATTCTACAAATCAATCTTCTATCATATTCATGAGTGATGTCAAATTAAGTTTGCATTCCTTCGAATGCACATTTTAATCAAGCTAACTTTTCGATATTAGATAATATGATTACTTTTCGAAATGTAACTTGAATTTTTTCATAAAATTCTAATGAATAAGCTACAAGTATTTTGTAATGCGTTATTTAAGCAAAAAAAAACTTCATTAATTTCGTTTTGCAGTTTTGTTTTTGGTCAACTATATTTTTCCAGGTTAATTAATCATTTAGTATTGTATTTGCATAATTTTCCATCATTTTTGATTTTGTTTTATTGCGCATCAAGCATCGTTCATGAATTAACCGTTGAGCTAACTGTTGATGTTGATTATTATGAGAATAAACACCCGAATGAATTAATAATAAATAAAAAAGATCACGTTGTGCATTGGACCCACCAATTTGATAAATTTTATTTCGTATCGGATAAAGAAGTTCAAAAACTTCTGAATACTTTTTCTCTCTAAATTGATCAATAGCTTGAAATAGATAGTTTCCTACTTGACGAAAGACAGGACCACTATCAAAATCGGATGTATCATAGGAGTCTCTTAATATACGAATAAAATCATTTCGATTTTCTAAATCTGCATAATCATCGAATATAAAATAAATATGAAGATCATTAAATAGTAATAAATGATCATGCAAATGGTCATTGATAAACTTTTTTAATCGATCTGATGAATAAATAGTTGAAGAATTCTGTCCGGCAAGTTTAAGACGATAGATAAGTGCTGCAATATCGACAAAATCTAACATACTTAAATCACCGGCTTTATTTAATAAATGATTTACTAAGATATCTTCAGCTATTTCTCTGTTGCCTTGTTCAATTTCGTATAAAGCCCAATGCCAATCAATATGTGGTTTGATAAGATCACATGTTGTCCAATCTTGATAAGTTTTCTTTAAAATATCAATTCCTTTCGAGGTTTCTCCAGCGTATTCAACAGCATGTGCTAATGCATGTGTTGCCCAAGCATCATGTGGATTCATTTCTAATGCAAATCGAGCTTCTTTTTCAGCTCTTTCAATCATATTTGTTTCACCTAAACCAAATGCATACATTCCATATAGATAAGGTTTTAATGGACGATTTGATGATGTTTCCCATATTGGTAAAACTCTTGCAATGGAATCACGGATCATCTCTCGATCACCAATATAAAAATAATTATCTGATGCAAACTTAATTGCCATCATATCGAATGGATAAAGAACAAGAATTTGTTCCCATGTATCAGCTGCTTTTGAAAATTTAGCAAGTGACCATTCAATAAGAGCTTGAGTATGAAGATTAATATATTCACTAGATGATGTAGTATTGCCGAGTGATGTGACGGTTTTCGAATGAAGTGATGATGCAGGAGATGCTGTGCCCAATATATCGAGACCGGTAGCAAGAATCCGACTTGCAATACATGTTGGATCAGATGATAGAAGACGGGATAAACAAGTTTCAATACCACCTAATTGGTTATCATTATACCTAAAGAAAAGAAGGACAAAAACTTGAAATTTTTTTCTCTTTGTTCAAAAGTACTTTACTTACCAACCAGTATATTGTGTAAGAGTTGCATCAAATAATTTTGCTGTTTCATTACTAGCTGTATCAATTGGAATTCCATCATCGTGTAAAGTTTTCACATCACGCCATTGATCACGAAAGGGCATTTTTATTTATTTTATACTACTGAGAAATAATGTTTTAGATAAGATGTACTTTAGTGCACGTGTATTCTACGACTGTGAAATAGAAAGGATTGTTATTTGAAAGCGTAAGACTCAAAAACACATATACCTTGTAAAAACAAGAATGAAAAATTATTTTTATTTATTTTTATTCTTTTATATGTTGTTCTATCCAAATATAATATCCAGTATAGCCAATGACAGGTTATATCCGCAGCCAATGTGAATTCGAGTATCGAGATATACAACCAAAACAAAGATGATGTCTATTGATAGTGCTAATTTGATACTTTCCATCATTAGAATTGTTTTTTTGTACTTTATCTTCTGTATTTTATTACAGTAGACCTAGTACTTTTCAAATAAATAAGCAATAAAGAGAAAACTAGAAGTTACTTCGATATTTGTAGCGTTTTTGTTCTCGACTTACTAAGTTCTCTCATTTATTTGAGTAATCAGGTTGAAAAGTAAAAAAGAAAACATTATAGATTTTTATCTTTCATTATTTGCACTTTTCATTTACTGCAATTAATCAGAACCATGTGGAAATCAATGATTTGATATTTTCTAGTTATGAATAAAGTAGTTCAATGGAAAGTATTTGAAAATCAGTTTTATTGTTTGATTTTCTGTTGCCATAAAACTGTACTGGATGAACAGAATAAGAATATGTCGATCAATAGAAATACTCATGTTCTCAAATCATTGATATTATCTTTGGGATCATTTATTTACTGAGACTGTTATTCATAATAGAATTGTATGGCACATCACGCCTATATGGCTTAAACTCTAAAACGCAATGTGCCCACAATTCGAAACTCTTTGTCTTGACTTTCTCATAGGGTGATTGTACGACAGATACTAGAAAGCAGAATCTAAGAAGAAAATAATGTTGATATGTGAAGATCCTATATCAGTATATGACAGAAAAATTATAGAATGTATAAAAAAATGATCTAGTGCAGAGGTAAGTATTACTATGGTTGACATGCAATCTGAAATCCTAGTTTAATTGAATCAGTTCTTACAAGAGATTACGATTATTTTTCTTTCTATACGCAATTCAATCAATGGAGATTGTCACACCCTAGTTTTGAAAAATTCAAACAACTATGCGTTCTCAAGTGGTAATACATATATTGAACATTTCTCTGTCTTATTAGTTGTTTATCACAACTGAATATTCGATTAATTTATTGTTTCATCTATCCCAGTCATCATCATATTATAATAAGCATTCAATTCTTGTAGAAAATTCCCTAATTCACTGTATTATGAATGCAAAGTGATATATAAAAAATATCCGAATTTTATCGATCATTAATGATAAAATATTGCGAAATATAGTACCATCATCAACAAATCTCTACCGTTTTATACTCTTCCTAGTATTACATACATCCATACCATATTTTAATCGTCATCCTAACCTACGTTGTACTAGCGTAGGCTAAGGTAATCCTGATATGTTTCTAGTGTTCACAATGAATATGATTTATTTCATGAGACAATGTCAATATGTCATTTTGTACTATTCTTGATCATGAGCCAATGGCAATGAAAATTATATGTTATTTCTTTTATATATTAGCATATATGTCAAAAAGATTAACTATTTCTATTGTTCATATGATTTTATAATTCAGTTTTATAGATTTTTATCGATATTTACATTGAAGCAACGGATAACAATGCAAACATTTTTTCTTCATATTTTTTAACATCTTTGTCTTAGGTTTTGAAATTGAAGCGTTCTGAAAATAATTATACAGTTCAGATCTTTCATAAATGTGTACCATTTATTACGTTGTACATTGCTCTCAATTGTGAGATGAACAAGTATCGATAAGATTTATGTATTATAAGCTTTTCTATCATATAGATATAAATGAGAAAAAAATGCAGCGACATCTAAATATCTCACATCATTGGAGTGTTCTTGTATTCTCCTCTATCGACACATGAATCACATTATCGATATTGAGTACCATTATACGATTTTGTTCGATGTAGCGATTATTTTGCTTGTTAAATTGCTTTATAAAAAATGACAAGCAACCAACAAACGTCAGATGATACAACAAATTTAACGCTTGATTTGTCTTCCACTATTCATCAACCACGATATATTCAAACAACTACGCAATTACATGAAGTTCAACAGAATTCTCATGATTTTCAATTAGGACAACATGCTTTATTTGAAGAAGTAAAGCAATATTTTATAGTTTCTTGCAAATATTTAAAACATCCTTTAGTGTACATCATTTAATAATCAATCTGATCAGCGTACTAAACAAAAACAAGCAATAGATATCGCATCTAAGGTGTTATTAGACGAGCATCAACGAATAATCGAGAAAAAAGACGTAAGATTGATATCAATGAATAGTGATGAATATTGTTTAGTTGATTTAGAATGAATTAAAACATCTTCGTGAAACTACTAATGTTGTTTTACTCAATAATACAAGAACTAATTCTCTTCATAGTTAGATTTAAATGTAGATTTTACTTTTATTCAATTAACTTATCTTTAGATGATCGACCTGATGGCGATGCATCGATCAACCATCAAACAATACTAAATGCATTAACAGATGAAAATACACATTTAAAGAATGAAGTATTGAACTTAAAAATTAGCCTCGAGTCGAAAGAAATAATTGAAAAAGAATATCTCCAACAAATACATAGATTACAATTACATATTACAGAACTTGAAGATTGGAATGAAGATTTTCAAAGTTTGCTAATTAGTCCTTCTTGCGCGTCTGTTGAATTTCTTCTATTTTAGAAAAAGAATCATCGACAACAAGCGAAATTAAAAACCAGGTACGATTTTTATATTTTATCTGTCTCAGTAAACAAGGTTCTTTCCTAATCAATTGCTGTCTCATCAAATACTATTGAGTTAAGATTTATGGGCAATAATAGTTTAGAACAAAATCTTGATAAATCGATACCAGGCCTAAAATTTTGATACTAGTATTCTAGAAAATCGATTTTCAAACTAACCAGTAGTTAGCTAAAGTAGAATGAAGACATGTCAAACAGAATTATTACTTTTTAGACGATTCAATAATATATATATAATTTAATCTAAGTAGATCAATAACAAAATAAATCTTTGTCTGAGAATTTATAAAATAATATTTTCTTCGTTTTTGTTTTAAAAGGAGCATTCTGATTTACAATCAAGCATTGATTTATTAAAATCACGTAATAGGCAATTAGAAAATGACTTACACCGTTTACAATCACAACAACAGCATAATCAAGTAGCTTTAGAACGTCTTGATGAATATGAAGAAACCATCGCTCAATTGCACGAAGAACTGAATCAATTACGTTCCAATAAAAAAAAACAGCAAAGTATTAATAAAATATTTATTTTTAGCTTGTAAACTATCATTTTACATTTTCAGTTTCTTGCATTACATTAATCCTTTTTCTTTTACCAATACTTTATGTTTTAGTCGGTGATATCAATATCGACAACATGAGTCAACTTCTTATTGAAGAACGGAAACGATACGATACAATATGTGAACTTGTTGAGGAAACACGTTTAGAATTGCAAAATGAAAAAAATCAATCGAAAAAGAAAATTTTACAGATTGAAATTGATTTAAGCGAAAAATTTGAACAAGAAAATATAAATTTTCCAAAACAGCTCGAAATCGAAGTTTGAAATCAAATGATGATCAACGTTTCATTCTTTATATTTATTTCATTTATAGAGAAATGAACGAGAAAATCTTCAAAAACAGATAAACAACCTTCAACAATTAAAAAATGATGAAGTAACGTATCGAATAGAAATTGAAGAAGAATATTGTTAGTTATTCTTTTTCGTTAAAAGGAAGAAGAAAATCGTTTGAAAGAAATGTATGTTCGAGAAATGTTTGAGAAACAAATTATTGAACTTAATGAACAAATACAATTATTAGAAAGTGATAAAAGTGAACTTAATTATCAAATTGATGAACTTCGACAACAGCTACAATCAAAAGATAGACTAATTCAAAATTTTCAAGTTCGTACAAATTGATTATCAGTTTCATGATAATCTCACTTAATAAAAATAACTTCCAAAAAGCATAACAGTTAAATTCTAAATGACTTTGCGAGAGTGAAAATTCAAAAATTCTATACAGCAAGCGTATCTTAAAATTAGCTTGGAAAACGTGTTAGAAATTTCAAGTCTACTAACTGTGTGTTTGATCAATATATTACTTTCATCTCATTTTTATATAACTGAGTCTAGTAATAAAGTTAAAATATTTTTTCATACTTTATTGATACTCAAATGTTGAATTACGATACAGAACCTTAACTTTTATGTCATCATGACACTGATTAATAGAAGAGTTAAAATCACTAGAAATGTTTTCAGGAAAGTTTCAAAATATCCTAGTAGTAAAGTGAAAGAGAAAATTCTGTTTTTTTCCCCATTAATAACTAAGTAACAGCAAGCAAAAACGCCCTATTAATGATCATCAATATGTTTCAAGTGAGTACATTATTCTTCTTTATATTTTAGAATTTTGCTATGACATCTGGTGCACCATCTATAAATAATGCCTCATCACACACTCAAGGTCTTTCTCCGTTATCTCAAACATCGTCTGATCGTTTACTTGAACTTGAAAATCAAATGCATCAAAAAGAAAAACAATTTATTCAAATACATTCTATTTACAATCAATTTCTAACTCTTTTACCTTGTGAATTTTCTTCTTCAAATGATACGCATCTATCCTTGGACAATCGATTTGTCAATCTCTTCGAACAATTCTCAACTTATATTGGTACCTTTTCTATAATACAAGAAGAATCAGATTCTCTAAAACAAATTCTTATCGAACGACAAGATGAACTTGAAAAACTACGAACACATTTAGAATTAACAGCAGATAAATTAACACAATTACAAGAAGAACGATCGCTAATGCATAAAAATGAATCCCTTGACAGTGATGAAGATGAATTAGAGGAAATTCTTGGATTTCAACAACGTGCACCATCAAGACAATCACTTTTATCAATTACCCCAGGCGAAAAACAACAATTAATTTCACAAAATGAACTTCTTTCATCGTTGTTAACTGAAAAAGAACAAGAATTAGTATTATTACAACAAGCAGCAAAATCACATGAAGACTTGTTAAAAAATTTAGAATCATTGCAAAGAAATTTACAACAAATGGAATGTGATAAAGATAATAAACAAAGTGAACTAAATGACATAAGACATATACTAGATGAAAAGTTAAGAGAAAATTCTTCATTGAAAAAAGAAAAAATGTTTTTCATTGAAAAACTCGCTGAATTTGAACGTGAACGACAAGAACAACAATCGATTATTCAAATGTCATCTAAACACTCATCACAAGGCAAAGTAATCCAAGAAGACAATGTAAGTTAATAATTAGTTAAATAAGTAATTAAATCTTACAAGAATTCAGACTATTCTACAATTAAAAACAGAAACCATCATGTAAAATTCACTTTTTTTTAATATACAGCAATAGTGAGAAATATTTAGTCGTGAGTTTTATTAGAAAATTCTTGTCCAAAATAATTACGGGTAAAACGACTTATCGTCTTGATATTTAATCTCTTTTTCACAATCGATTGGATTGAGTTTAAGAATTTAATTTAAAAAAATGTTAACTTTGTAATATACTTAAGAACTCTGTCGTATCCTTATAAATATTTTTATTGGTGATTCAGATTGCGAACCATTCGATTAATAAGCTAAAACCTTACGATGAATTATTACCTTGAAAAATAGATATGCTCTATTCTTACTTGAAAAAGTCGAATTCAAAACCAGAAAAATGATAAGAAAAAAAGCTACTTATCACTGCCTCGATAATTTTCAATTATTTAAATCATTTTTTGAGCTTTTTTCAACTATTAAAATGACTGAAATGAGAAATTAAACAAACAATTAAACATTACTCTTTTACTGATTATTAGTTTTGATTCTTTGTTTAAATCTTTTAATTTTAATTTTCATGTATTATAGATCGAAAAATCTATAACTCAAGAACGACCTGAAAATCTTCTCTCGAATAACGATCAATTATCAGAAATATCTAAAAACCAAGAAGATGAATCTCTATCATACTATAATGAATATACCCGTATTCTTATTCTCTATAACGAACTTGTTACAAAATATAATCAACTTGAAATCGATTATAAATCGATTCAGCCGTTACTTCAGCAGAAGAATGAAGCATATTTACAATGTCAAAATGAATTAAATACGTATCGAAACTTATTATATCATCAAAAGAAAAAATCTGATGATATCGATCAATTGCGTTCAACATTAAATGAACGTGAAATAAAAATACAAGAAATACTTAGTAGTGAAAATCAGTTACAAATTAAAAAATCTGAATTAGAATCTAATTTGAAATTATTAGAAGAAAATAATATCAAATTGAAATCAAATCAACAATTATTCGATCAAATACAATTAGATTTAAAGCGTGTTACACATGAACGAGATCTAGCTGTTGTAGATAAAAAACAAACGGAAAATGAAATTGAAATCAATAGAAAAAATGTTTGAAAATTCTAACATAAACTAAATGTTTGTTTTTGTTGTTTTTCTTTTTAGCTTTTACAATATGAAGAACGTGAATTAAAATTAACGAACGAAGTCGAACGTTTATTTAAAATCGAAAAATCATTAAGAAATCAACTTGAACAATTAGAAAAGTCAGATCAAGAAAAAACTAAAATTATTCATCAATTCGCTTCGAATGATGAACAATCTCAGCAGGAGTTGTTAACAAACTTTCAAAGTTTGAAATGTGAACATGAAAAGATTAAAGAATCTAATACAAATCTAAATATTCGATTACAAGAACAAATCCAATGTACACAAGATTTACAAAATAGTCTAGAGCAATTTCAACAAGGTAAATACAGAGAATTTTTCTATTACTGTTTGTTTGAAAAGGCATTGACGATAATGAGACATACAAAAATCACTTCTTAGTTCATTACAAATAGCGAATCCTTAAAATTAGAATTTTTATTGAAAGTCGTGTTTCATAGGAGAAAACAATCGGAGATGATAAAGATTCTTTTTCCTGAATGCCGATAATGTAAATCGTTTGATATTCTTTAGATCGTGAACAAAATGTTAATGAACATCTATTTCAATATCAAGATTCTCTCCGTGAACAAATATCAATATCAGCTCGTTTGACTAATGAAAATAATGAGCTTCAACAACGTTTAGAAGACGCTAATGAAGTGTTATCGTCAATGAATCGTTCAAATGATGAAATTAAAGCAAAGGAAATATTAATTAACAAACTTCAAATTGAAATCGATCATAAAGATAAACAAATTTTAGAATATAGTAAAATTTTTGAAACAACCAATGATACACGTGTGGAAAAGCAACTTGTTAAAAACATTCTTTTATCTTATTTTCATACGCCGATCGATAAACAACAACAAGTTATTCCAATTTTAAGCGCGTTAGTTGGATTTACACAGGAAGAATATCAAAAAGTTATTCATTCTATATCAAATAACTATAATAATACTACAAGCAATAATTGGTTAACTGGCTGGCTTAGTGCAAATTCATCCAAACCCAAGACACAATCGAACAATTCATTGGACCAGTCAAATAAAGTAAGTGAATAAAATCTTTCCTAGTTTTTCAAATGCACATTTGATCATTCTAGTCATTTGCTGAATTATTAATACAATATGTTGAACAACAGTCATTGGATGCTTTTTCAGAAACACTATCAAATTCTAATACTCATGAATGTAACATTCATCAAAATCCTCCAAATTCATCTTTATCTACATCTGATAAATCTACGTATGTTTCTACTGATCAACAACTAACTACAACCATCTCAACAGTATCAATCGTTGAAGACGATATAAATATTGATAATCCACCATCGCTTCCAAAATCATCAATACTTGTTGATGATCTTTTAAAAATTTGAATTGTGTTTTTAGTTTCAATTATTTTTTTAACCATTCAAGAATTGAGCGTGTAGAATCGTGTATGAATATATTTTTCTTCATGCTGGTGTTTCTCTTGATCACTTCATTTACTTCTTTACTCTGTTTTGTTTTGTGTTTTCTTCTGATCCAAAGAAAAAAGATTCATTATTTCATTTTTAGAGTTTTTATTTATTCAGTAATATCAAACGTATAATGGTAAGACTCAAATCAACGTTATATGTAACGATTTATTTCTTTGTTTCAGGCTTATCATTCGTCGTTTGCTAACAGCAAATTTCGTCTAGGGAATATGGCGCTACTACCGATTCGAACTCGTTACAGTGGTCCAGCTTCTGTTGAAACTTGTAAGTGTAACTATCGACAGACGGGGAGGGGGGTGTGAATTCTTCAATACTGCCACTTAAGCTATATACTATTTTACCGTTAGAATTTTAAGAAAATCTAATTTATTTTATGATTCTTGATAAATGAAACTGTGTTGCAGATTGTGTAGCTTATTTCTAACTTTTGATTATTTAAAGAATTCACGGTAGATTATTTCTCGTTCGATCGTATCTGATACTTGTAATTTAGCCCCGATAAGACTATAGTGAGCTAGAAAATCAGTTACACATCTCAATACGAATCAAGTCAATTTCTTAATAAAATAGTAAACGATACCGTTCAATTCAAGTATGAAAGCGTGCATAGTGACTATCGATTTAATTCGATGAGATGTTCTGTTTTGAAAAGAAAATTTTCATCTTTTGCATCGCTAATAGAATGTCTTCTCAATATACTTTCAAATCATCCATTTTTCTAGCTACTGAAAATGAAGATATTATTGATGAAGCACTAAAATATTTTCGAGCTAACATATTCTTTCGTAATTATGATATTAAAGTAAGTTCATTGAAATTAGCTCTAATCAATTTATTATTGTTTACTAAAGCATGATGCTGATCGAACATTGATCTATCTCACATTGTACATAGCTGAATGTTTACGACGTCTTCAAAAGGTTCAAAATTTTATTCTTTCTAACTCAACCAAAATTAGAATTATCAATTAAATTTAGTGTCAATCACGTATTCAAGCACAAAAAGAATTATCAGCATTAGCTATTTCAACATTTCCAATTCCTGGTGATGCAGATTTTCCACTAAATGGCATGTTCATTAAACCAACAGATAGCGAAGTTGGTTAGTTATTGACCCTTTTCTTTGTTTAAATTAAAAAGAGTATTGAACGATTCATTTTTTTTAACTATAGATAAAATGAAACAGTATCTTGAACAATTACGTAAAGAATGTAGTGATCGTATGATCGATCGAGTCATCGATCCAGAAACGAATAAACCATCTAAAGTAAACAATACCTATTACGTTTTACTCAAAAATTTATATCATTTGTTTTAGTGGTGGCTTTGTTTTGTTCGTCGCTGTTTTATGGGCAAAACCTTGTTAAATATCGGATCATTGTAGTAAAGTTAAAAGAAACAAAACCAATTAGGATTAGGAAATTCTTTTTTATGTATCTTATTTGATTCTTTAATTTTTTTTATAATAAAATGGTTATTAATTTCTTCGATCTTAACAAAAAAAACAGTCATTAATTATAATCAAAAGACAAGGAATTGATATTGAATGAACATGTCATATTCAATTATCCAAACATGCCGTCATACAATAGATATGAACCAAGACAGTCTTCGTTTGATTACGTCCTGATCGATTACCGTCGGTATTTGACGACCATTTCCCTATGTCTGTGTAAAATATATATCTTTCGAATTCGGAAAATTATTCAAAAACGGTCGAAAACAATTGATAGAATTAATTATATACTCGAATAACCAGTGAAATTCTCTACAACCCTCTATGCATAAATTTTGAGTTGAATTATTCCCCTGCAAAAAGTTCAAGTACATCAAAGGCATTCTCAGTGTCAGATTTCCTAGAAACATGTATATCGTTGATTTTTTCAAATTTAACGAGTGGCGCAAAAATAATGAAGACTTCTGTTTTTCGTTAATATCTCGCTCAATTTTCATTGGACAACATTGGGTTTTTTCTAAAAGATGTGCCACTCAATTCTTGACAAAAAGCATGTCGACAATTATTTTGAAGAAAGTTAAGGAAAAAACATTTTAAATAGCACTAAAGGCGTACGGAAACGGAAACTATCAATGATGAAAAAACATTTGTACAGGATTTTCAGTTGGTTAGTTACGGTGGGAATAAAACAGAGTAAGCATTCTGTAGTCCGTAAAAAGCTTTATCGATCGTTCATGACTTGAAAATTGTTGTATTCATTCTTGCGGCATACTTCAAACAATATGCTTTTAGCAATCTCACACATTCGTCTAATAGCGTCAGGTTGGCTTCTAGCAACTTCTGGCGTTCGTCTAGCAGTGTCAAACAGTTTCAGTGACCCGTGACAGGCTCGTAGGAACCTTAATATATGGATGTCTGAACTCGAATTATATAAATTATAATTGGAATAACATTTTACTCTTTGCTTTTTTTGCCGTAGCTACATGAGTGCCAGATATTTTATTTTCGAAGTGATATTGTGCAGCTGAGGTTTCATTTATATTCGAATTCGAATTACTAGCAGCTCAGGAATGTTACTGATGTCGAATATTAAGCTTGTGAATGTTATTTCCTCGTTTTCTCAGTTAAAAGCTAATGATCCTATTGAGCCAACGTCAATATAAATAGATCAGTAAATAATAATCACGATAACTACTCATTCATCTGCCAACTAGATTTCACTATATAAAGGTCTGATCATTTCCAGTACTGGCTATTCAATGATATTAACAGAACAGAGCGAATACATTATGCTTCAGACTGTATCCTTATAAATGGTCATTGAGCCATCCAAATATAAATCAGTAAAATAATATAACGAGTTTCTCTGCAGAAATATGTTACACAACATATTTCTCAGCTCGTGAATAACTAATTTTTTTATATTCTACTTAGTTTCACAAAAAGACAAAATGAGAATTTACATCATAGATTTCTATTCAAATAATATCACAGCAATACGGAATTTACAATGAAGGAAAATAGTGATAGATATCTTCCGGAACAACTATTGAATCTTCGAAGATTAATCGTTGCACCGTAGCGAATTGTGGCGCGTTTCATCCCTTGCAAAATTTTCTGTCACACTTTTCAATATAATCGATAATTGATTTTTAATTCAGTTGGGCGAGGTAGATTTCTTTTTCTTTCATTGAGAAACTGATCAATATAAAAATCATTCGCAAAATTGAGCGTGAGTGAAATAAGATGAAGATATTCCACAACAGGCGAGCAGTGATCGATCGTATGCGAGTTATTAAATGACGAAAATACCGGTTGAATATTGTGAACACATGAATATCTAATTAATGGAAAAGATCGAGCAACTACAACGAAAAATTCATGTTTCAATGAAACAGTATCCCACAACACCAAATACGTTACATAGTTGGATATAATAGACGGAAAATTATTCGTGACCTTTGCGAGATGATCAAAATTAACCTGGAAGTGAGAAGACCTGGCATAAGGCTTTTGAATTGACAAAATGGTCTACAGTACAAGCGACTTGTTTGTTGCCTCTATTTGTAAAAGTTTGTTGCATATCATTATTGGAAAGGCGAAGACTCCAAGCATTGATATCGTTTTCAATATTAATATAAAAATAAAATGTATGAAGATGTGTCACATAAGTAAGAATTTTATTATGAATATCCGAGTGAAAAATATTCGCTGATTTCAATCGAATTACTGTGCAACAAAATCCAATCCGCAATCCGATTGATAATGTTGATTTTAATCGACCACCATTTAACCGAAATTTAATGTTATTGCTAGCCCAGTGGAAATTAGTTTGATTGAAATCGGATTGTTTTCCAGTAAAATCCGCATTATCAGTCGATTGATAATTTGAATTGTGCTACAGAACAATCAGATTTTAATCAAAATAATTTCCGCTGGGCTAGCAATAACATCACGCTTGAGTTCAATGGTGATCGATTATAATTAAAATTATTAATCGGACTGCGGATTGGATTTTGTTGCACAATAATTCGATTGAACTCAGCGAATATTTTTCACTGGGATGAGTGCCATCGACGAATGTAGGTCGATCCGCGACACAAACGTACAGAGTTAATTCTTCGAGATGTGACATACGACGAAGAGGTGGTACAACTAGATTGTTATATGCATCAGCTTTATTATAGAATATTAATGAGAAAGATTTCAAACCATGTATATAATCCTGTAAAAATAGAAAAAAATATATAAGTAGATCTTAATCGATTGAGCGAAGGTATAGGTTCAATAAGAAAAACTAATCGATAGGTATCAGTTATTTTTTAAATCTTACCTTGAACTATCTGATTTGGCCTCTACTGATCATGCTTTTAAGAGCAGGCGTTTAATAAAACAACTGAATTATTTGACTTTATTTGAGTTGAGTTCATTCTTTAGATTCATATTCGAGAGACAAGATAAATTTTGTTGGCGTAACAAACAAGTATTGCTCTTTAATTCTAATACCAATCATACAACAAATAAGTTTTCACTGATGCCAAAAATGGTTAACAATCAATTGAAAATCAACTTTATTATCTTGAAAATAACAATAATGAAAGAGATCGCAGAGAATGATATTACAAAGATTGTGACATTCTTCAATGAATTTCATGAATGTTGGAAATGTACCGAAATTGAATACTGAAAAGTTTCATAACTGAGCTAATAGATGGAATAGTAGAAAGGAAAGATATAGGTTCATTTGCGTGGAAGTTTCCTCTTTTTTAGTAAAATCAAGAGTAGTAATATAATTACCATTGTTGGTAGATATTGTTGACACAGAATATCGGACACATCTTGTCACGCACGATAAAATTTTAAAAAATTTGAAGGACGGATTGTGCAAATTTAATTTCAATCGCTATCAACACCATTGGAATAATTGAATAAATTCAACAAGATTTCATTGGACAAAAATTCTTAAATTCATTGTGTTTTCTTCTACGAAGATTATGCCATGTTCAGATACAATCTTTGCGTAATATATATTCATCCAGGAACATATCCCAAATATAAAGCGAAGTACTCGATTGGATGAGAAAAACAAATCTCGATAGTACGTTATGTTATAGAAAAATGTTCATTACACCATGTGGCTTCCTTGTGTCTCTAACGTGACGACTTTTCTCGATGATGCGGTACTATCAAGAAACGAATTCTACTTGAATTGAAGCAGGACTACTTTTGTGGAAAGATCTTCGTAGACAAATTAACTATGAAAATGAAAAAGCGTTTTTTATAACATGTGATCATAGTGAAGATGATACTGTTGTCATCAAATTTTTTCGAAAACAGAAAATACTATCGAGATATTAATGTTGTTTGATTAAATGTGATTGAATGGACAAGTGCTAGTACATTTCATCACACGACACTTCGTCGAGATCACTGCGTCGCATATAAATGAGAGAGTACATTAATTAAATTTATGTGATTTAGTTCAATACGTTATTTAATTCATCACCTTAATAAATGTATTATTTTACAATATTAGGATTTTTTCTTAACAATACAATTTTGTTTTCAACAAATGATACAAATGTTTATTTACTTTAAATAGAGCGATGTATGTAAAAACATGTTTTCTTAAATTGAATTTTTTTAAATTAAAATGTGTCACCTCTGAAAAATGATATCGAAAGAATACTGGAGTTTTATAAAATTTATTGATATTATTTATTTTTAATGTTTGCAGTATCGAAAACCTAAAAGTCCATTTGGAAAATTTCAAAAACCACTTCAGTCATTAATCGACTAACTTTGCAAATCACAGAAAATTGTCCTAGAAAGTGCTCAATGAATTATGTAGCCCAAGAAACAGCACATTTTACCCTCATTTCTTCTTAGTTTTTCTTAGCTCAAGATTTCCTCAGACATCGTCTCGTTAAAGAACTTGAGTTGAGTTTCATTTAATAGCAGACTATTTGCAATGCAACCGAAGAATGTTTTGAGTCATTTTTTTACAGAAATAAACAATTTTTTGTTCAAAACGAATCTATTATCCATCACATCGATCTAATTATTATTCCATAATAGAGTGTACATTTACGCGCTTAATTGAGTAACATACTAAGGAAAATCACTTGATTGAATTAATGTATCCTCTCCTTTATATACGACTAGCTTATCGCAACGAATTTTCATTGCGACAAAATATCGTGCGACGAAGTGAGCGGCCACCTTGGTAACCAAGTATTAACGATGATGATTTACAATTATTAGATTTTAATTTATTGGATTTTTTTCTTTGTTGGGTGTTCCGGGTGTTGTTGATCTTGTTACATGTTCATTATTAGAGCATCAAAATATTCTTAAATCTTCAGGTACTCATTGTTTTTCCTTCCTTTACTGATGAGAAGACTGCCTCAACTGTCTTGTGAGTTACAAGTACGTATTATTAGTGAAAGTACGTAGATCTCGAACATGATCGTGACCATGACTGAAGTCCGGTCACGAAATTTTATAAGCTTTGAAACTTTTCTTTTCTCTTGTCTTCGTTATATGAGAAGCATTTCTTTTTGAACAGTTCGAATAACTATTCAATCTAAAATAGATCAAATTCATATCAATTCTTAATCATCTACTCATAAGCATTAAAAAAATGAGAATATAACCGAAGAAATGCGAGTCAGTATTAAGAGATAAATATCTGAAGTTTTATTTCTCTTCTCTATTTGCCATTCATTCATCCATGTTCGTCTTCTGATTGTCATCGACACAATATTCTTGTATTTAGTTTCATACGATTCATCCTATCCTAAAATTAAATATCAACTCGAGTCTTCATTGTTATTGCAAGCATCGATTGAGTGGAAGAATCTTTTAGTTTTCGAATGATATTTTTTATCGACAAAATGTATTCTTTGGTTGACTATACTTTAATAACATTTGAAGGCAACTGTCAAGTCAAGTTTCAGTCTCGATCCTACGTTTTTACAATTTTTTCTATGTCGTATCCATTGATATTAATCAACTTTTACAGTGACACATATCTTGCTATTGTTGAAAAATTTCCTATGTAAATCATATTTATAAAAGGTATCATTCTTTGCATGAGATTGTTATTCATTGTTTGGTTAAATTCAACAGAAAATCTAACGCGAAACTAGTTAAGATTTGTTGACCATAAAAAAACATTTTCTCTTGCATCATATGTATTAGATTTATTAATGAACCGAATTATCGCACTTAACTAAAGAACTCTGAGAACAAAAGTTTTTATGAGAACATCGTGACCAAAAATGTTGATCGCGCTAATCTCTATTCGAGACTATACCAACATATTTGGCAATAAATCAAATAAACAAGTTTTGCTGATAAATAGCTCTTATATTTCTTTGAATATCGTAAATATTTTAACTCGAATAATTGAATACTTGTTCTGTCTCGAAACATTAGATGTTCAAAAAATGATCAGATTTTACAGAAAAAGTTACAAAAATCGATAAAGATATTTATTAGGAAGCATCAGATCAAATTCCTTAATTGATAGCCAAGTATTCTGCAATAGACTAAAATCCTAGTAAAATATCATCGCTTCGAAAGGAAGCTCCGTGGATATGAATCATTCTAGTAATTTCCTAGTCGGATCAAGACTTGCTTTCACTAATAATATGAATTCGTAACTGATGATATATATTGAAGTAAATTGTTTAGATTACAGTCGATTAATGCTTGTTCCTGAATATTTAACATCACTGTTATTTCTATTTCAATGGACGCTTTATGTTCTACTTGTATTTTACTGCTGCTCTTGTTTGTCTTGATGCTTCTGTACCTGCAATAATGGGCATTCGTATAAATAAATTTAATGAACATAGTAATGACGACGATGATGATGGATATAGTGATACAAGTGATGAAGCAACTTTTGAAATTCAACGATATGTTGTTTATATTGATACATGACATATACAATTACCTGATGATGCGCCACGTTTTCCTGATCTATCTTATTTTATTAGTAATTAAGTGAAATATTATCTTGATTTGATGATTATCTTAATAGTGAATTATCAATAGATTATGGCAAAAATAAGCGAAGATTTTCAAGTAGTGAAGATTGGACACATGTTGATGATCAACACACAACAATAGAAATAAATGATGAACCACGTCAAGCATTATCAAGACTCGCAACTATTGCTAAACGTGCTGCAATTATTACTGTTAATAATAATGAAGCTGAAAATAGGTTATTTCAAATATTTTATACTTTTTTTGTAAAATACAATAAAACTTGTTCATTTATTTTAAGGCCATTATCTTTATTTAATGAATCTGAATTTCGCCAAATCTGTGTAAATAACTGTTTACGTGAACCATTTGTCAATCTTTTTGCTCAGCTATTTAGCCAAATGGATGCATTTATATGTGATCCGCCATCGGGCAAATATTCTAACGTTGATCAATGGTTAGCAAAACGATGTTCAACGAAAAATTTTGAACGTACAATTTTTATTGCTGATCAACCAAAACGACATGTTCCTTCTTTTTATTTGCATTTATGGAAACGCAGTCGTTTGTTGATAGTAAAATTGCTTCAAGATTTAATGATAATCATCTTTTTACTTTAACACATTCAGCAATTACAAGTTAGATTTCAATATGATTATTTTTAATTAAATTGTTTTTATTGAAAACTTGTTCACTTGAGAAATCTGTTGATATTGATTTAACGCTATATTTATCTGAGGCAGAAACAACAAAATAGTCAACAAGATATATTGATTGTTGTTGTTCACTTAATAAAAACGATTTAGCTGGTGATGATATTGAGCACTCTCATCCTCACACCCTCAAGCAGAACATGCATCAACTCTCTGCAATGAAGATCTACTTACAACGAAAGCTTTTGAATGATTTCTATGGTGTTCACAATCGAGATGTTTTATTGTGATTCGATTTTCATCTCAATTTAGTATCATTCAACTTTGCTTGACAAGGATCTTTCATCAATTCCACAGATTTAAAGCTTCATGTTTTCGTAACACATTATCGGACATCATTTTCTACTATTAAAGAGATCTTATTTTTGACTAGATTTGTATTGTAACAGTGGAAATTGCACAAATGAAAGAAGCGCACGTGCATTTACAAACTAATAACATAATACAAAGCTTTGTTATGCCATAGAAGAATAGAACCTGTACAAAATCGTCCATCATAAGAGTTGGAAGTAGAAGGATGAACACACATTCATTCAAGAAAAAGAACTATCACAAAGCTTGAAATATAACAGGTGGACGTACAATGAAAAAACATATTGACAAAAAGAAATTGTTAATTAAAGATTTATTGCTGGTGTTTCACGATGTACTAAATCGCAAACATTCATGTTGTGCAATTCACTAAAATTTTCCATATATTCAAGAAACTGTAATGATGAATCGACACGATCATAACTAAAAAAAATCCTTTAAGAGCGTTAATATTAACTAGAAACTTACAATATGGCAAAATTCAGCCATTGAGGATTACTTGTTGCTGCTACATCGATATTAACTATCGATCCATGGACCTGGGATAGCCGGGCAATAAACTCGACAACTCCTATGAAATAAACATGTTTGAATAAAGAAAATAGATCATTAATCATTTACTTTGCCAATTGTTACCATGGATGTTCAATATGCAACCATAAACTTGACTACCACTATGACGAATAGACTAAAACAAGTATACAAGTGTTGATTGTTGAGTCTTTTACCTCTGGCAAAAAAAAAAGAAAACACAACACCCTCAAACAAATCTATATCTCAACTTACTTCTTCTGTTACACACATGTTTGATGAAATTTAACAAAAACTTTAAAAAAAAGAATCGAAAGATCCTACATACCATATCATGACCCCCATTGTTGACCGTTTCTTCTGTAATAATACGTGCATTCCATTTTTTTCAATAGTCTAAAAAAAGGACAATCCATAAATGACATCCAGAAAAAGAGAAGTAGGGTAAACAAATATCGGACTAATTTGTACATAGAAGTAGAAATAAAACACATCGGGGCCAAGCAGAAAACAGCAGAGTTTGAGACTCCAACTGAGTGCGCTCTCTTCTGGAGTCCGTAGTATTATATAAATGGGCCGGTTTTCAGAATCAGCTATTAAATCTACGAAAAATATTATGTCTGTGGGAAAACATGGAGATTTTTGAAGACAATATAAAACGATTATTTAATAATAGTTTGCTCAAAAGAAAAACAATTTTTTACTGCTATCAATAACTTGTATATTCGCTTAATAACCATCGGTTAAATGTAACAAAAGTTAAAAGAGAATGAAAATATGAATATGAAAACAATTAACTACTTAACAGATTCAGTATTCCGGAAAAGCATAAGTGAATTGCTGAGTTAAAAAACGTCGATGTGGTAAAAAAATGTTTGTTAATTAATAAAATCAAATAAGTGATACGAGAAGTACACACAAGACAATGTTTTGCATGGGCATCTTATTTTCCTCTCGTTCTATTGAGGGAACTATGAGAAGTTCTTTTTTTTCGAGTTAATTCTCTACAGGATTTATCAACATGTGCGACGGAATGGTAAAACACTGCAGTGATATATAATATCTTTATTCTTTGCCAATCAAAGGAGCTGCGTTTTTGTCGATAACAGATGCATATTTAAAGCTGTGTGCATGAAAGACACTTCTATAAATGCTACGCTGAGATCTACGCATGTATTTTCATCTATTCTTCTTATAAGCTCAGTAAATGAACTCTTGTTCAATAGGAAAGAAACAGTGCAAATGACCAACTGCCCTGCACGTATGACGTCTTTACACAACATTTGTATCCAATTTTCGCCAACTTAATGATTGCAGGAGAGAAACAAAAGCAGTCGGTTAGAACCAAAATTTGATGCTCTTTCTAAATATATATTCAGAAGCGTTTTTTTAAATGAAACTTGATTCATCAAGAGCAAATCTTTGAGATGAGCCAAAAATGATGTTTGTACAGAATTTTTCATGTAGTCCATTTTGTATTTTGCTTAAAACTACCTCAATTCAAGTTACAAGAAAGTCTCCTTACACATCAGTTGGTATAACGAAGCTTTCTCTAAAAAATGTCCAATTTTCTGTGCTTCTTGCATATCGTTGCAACCGATCAGAATCTATTGCGTTTAAAATATTGAAATTCGCAAAAAACGATTATTTCAAAAAATGTCATCTTGTGTAAAGAGAAGCGTTTCGAAAAATGATTGTAGCTATTATTCTCTCGACTTTTAGCTTATTGCAACGTATGATTTTGTAGAACGCTAAATTCTCTGCAATAATTAAAAAGTGAAAACCATCCCAAAATGCCCTTTAGAGAAATTACGAACGAGAGGAAAAAGGACTGTTTTGTGTGATGAAAACGACGTTTTTTATTGGTTCAGATTTTTGTTTATNGTCTAAAACAAGTATACAAGTGTTGATTGTTGAGTCTTTTACCTCTGGCAAAAAAAAAAGAAAACACAACACCCTCAAACAAATCTATATCTCAACTTACTTCTTCTGTTACACACATGTTTGGTGAAATTTAACAAAAACTTTAAAAAAAGGAATCGAAAGATCCTACATACCATAACATGGCCCCATTGCTGGCCGTTTCTTCTGTAATAATACGTGCGTTCCATTTTTTTAAATAGTCTAAAAACATTAGAAATTCACTTACCCAGGAAGAACAAACCGACAGTCGGATCCTAGCGGAAAATTATCGGATCCGATGGGAATTCGTCGGAAGTTGGCAGAATCCTTGGTATTGGATTCCGATAGGAAGTTGTTGGATGTCGGAAAGTGCCTGAATGACCAGGATCCTGTCGGAACCCTAAAAATCCGACACTTTCCGACAACTTACTGTCCGAATCCAATACCAAGATTCCGACGTATTCCCATCGGATCCGATGGGGTGAGTTCGACCGTGGCTTGGACGAAATGTTTCTTTTCGACTATACTCATTATTCGTACAGGCAACTAACGCAGTCGTTTTGCGATTAAAATGAAATGTGGAACTCACATAAATTCTTTATTATCATTAGATACTAATGATATAAAATGCATCAAGTGAAAAATCACTCACAGACTACTTATTTCTAGGGATGTAACAATACCAATACGGTATTGGATTCTTGGTGTTAGTATTCGTATTGTCACATCCCTACTCAAAAGCCTTCTCTCGAATAACGATCAATTATTAGAAATATCTAAAAGTCAAGAAGATGAATCTCTATCATACTATAATGAATATACCCGTATTCTTATTCTCTATAACGAACTTGTTACACAATATAATCAACTTGAAATCGATTATAAATCGATTCAATCGTTACTTCAACAGAAGAATGAAACATATTTACAATGTCAAAATGAATTAAATACGTATCAAAACTTATTATATCATCAAAAGAAAAAATCTGATGATATTCTAGAGTGTACTTACTTTTTGAGTACACAAAAATGTATTCTATCACCGAATTTATTATCAATACAATAAGAGACAGAATAATGAATAACAACACTAGTTACACAAAATACAATAAACAATAGAAACAGAAAATATATTCTACCAAAATCATGGCAACCATGCTGTTCGAACTTTTTTTGTACTTGACATTTTTAGTTTTCTGCATTGTTATGATAGAACATTTTGTGTAACTATTTCTCAGTTAATGAGATCATTTTGATCCAATTATGATTATTGTTTAATTATATCTTATCAATCTGTTGTCTTTTGAGGTAAACACGTTATCTACCACAACTCTACCATTCATTCCACAAAAAGCAAATTGGTGATCAAATATATATTTTTTGTGATCATTTCACAATAAAATAGATTTGGGATCATTTTTATCTTTTGTTGGTGATCATTTCGCAACTAACACATTTTGGTGATCAATAGTCACTTTTTTGGGATCAAAAATATTGCTACCCATTCTTTTTTTTATGTATCTTATTTGATTCTTTAATTTTTTTTATAATAAAATGATTATGGATATATTCGATCATTTTACAAGCATGAGTCCTTGATCAGAATCGAGTTTATCTTGTATGAGCATGCTATATTCAAGTGTGAAAATATGTCATCATAGAATTAGACATGAACAAAGTTCAGGTGCTTTTATTCAAGTTTTCGAGGAACTTTGTTTGATGGTGCAATATATAACAATGATTAAGAAATCATTTGTTAATAGATATTGAAATTGTTTTATGTTTTATTAATGAAAAACAGAGGCAAGAAATTATTTGATGATAGATGCTAGAACCATTTTTTTCAACGAAGCATTTTTGTGAAAAGTTCTGAATGTCCATTAATGGAATGAAACTAAAAGAAGCGTAGACACATATCGAATTAATGCGACATTTATTTCTTGCTTCCATTGATGGCAAGACCTATAGAAGGCTATTTCATCAAAACAGAGCGAAATGATTTATTCTATGCTCTTCTCTAGAAATGAGTAATCTAAGGCCGATGATTTTTTCGTTGCAGAGGTTTTATTTAATATTTCTATTGGTAAATTCAATTAAACCACTGATTCTGTTTCCAAATGTGCTCCGATTTCTATTCTTCAGTCTTGCAAACTTATCGGCGTTTGATTTTGAATAAAAAAAAGCGTAATAGAATCATCAATGCAACAGCTTTTTGTCTCATTTGTTAGCCTTCTCTTCTGTTCTTTATAGGCCTTGATAGAATAGAACTGCTGTTGCTTTTAAGGATGTTTTTTTTTCGCTTTTCAATATAGAAACAAGATTTCAATGGTGATGAAGCAGGCCGCTGTCTGCCAACCTATTTTGTCTGTCGAGGATGCAGATAAAACTGAGAAAAAACCAAGTATTTGGTAAATTTGATCTTGCATATATTCTAATTATTAAATCTAATACTTATCTAACAGGGCTTCCATATTATGCGATGTGAAATCATCCGCTAGAAAAGTACCAGCAACAAAATCTTTAGTGGTTTTAGGTGATAATGAAAGTGGCCGAACAACATTAGTTGCTAAATTACAAGGAAACGATGATCCAAAACGTGGTGCAGGTCTAGAATATCATTATATCGACATTAAAGATGATGATCGAGATGGTATCAAATTTTTATTTAAAAAATCAGTTTTACTCGTTAATTTTTCTATTTATAAGATAATCCAAAATTGGGCGTGTGGATTCTTGATGGCAATGTAGCATGTTCGGCTCCGTTGTTAAAATTTGCTATTAAACCCGAAACGATAGAAAATACAATGTTGATTCTTGTTGCAAGTATGACACAACCATGGTCGCTATTGTCAACCTTAAAAAAATGGACGGCACTTATTGAAGAGCATGTTGCTCAATTGAAAATTGACCCGACACGTTTACGTGAAATGCATGATCATCTTCAATGTGATTTTCAACATTATATTGAACCAAATGATGCATCAGTAAATTTAGTACCGCCAACAACAATACAAAATGCAATTAGTGGTGGTCATGTATCCAAGTCTATTTCATCAATTTCACTAGCATCAGCAACATTATCAGGTTCAGTAAATCCAGATGAGAAAAACGTTCTTCCGCTTGCTGATGGTATTTTTAAAAAATCGTTTGGTATTCCAATTATTATTGTTATAACAAAAGTAAATTTTTTTGTTTCTATTTATTAAATTATTATTCTCATTTTAAATATTTAGTCTGATGCTATGTCAACATTAGAAAAAGAAAATGATTATGACGATCAACATTTTGAGTTTTTACAATATCATATAAGAAATTTTTGTTTAGAATGTAAGAAAAAAAGCTTTTGATATATTATTTGATATAAATAAATATTAATTTAATTATTAAGATGGTGCTGCGTTGTTTTATACGTCTGTGAAAGCAAAGAAAAATATTGATAAACTGTATAAATATATTGTGCACAAGTGTTATGGCTATCCATTTACATTAACAGCGGCTATTGTTGAACGTGATGAAATATTTATACCAGCTGGATGGGATAATCCGAAAAAAGTCGATATTTTATTAGAAAATCTTCATCACCTTAAATCAACAGATAATTATACAGATATTTTTGTCAATCCTGCTGTTAAACGAGTAAATTCTTTTTTTTTTTAAATAAATAATAAAATATATTTTTATAGCCGCTAAAACGTGACGATGAAATTATTATGGCTGAAGATGATCAAGAATTCTTATCCAAACTTCAGTTAACACTGAATAGAACTGCATCGCCGACAAGAACCGTAAGTTTGAATCGTACTATTGTGTATTCAGTAGTTTATTTGTTGATAGGATGAAAACGTGACACCTATGCACACAAGATCAGGAAGCATCAGTGCTGCTAGCAATTCACAAACATTGTCTGCTACTGGACGATCCAGAACTCAACAGGTAAAAATTATATTTCTAATAGGCTTTCTTGACGATACAACCATACATATCTTACAGAGTGTCACGCCTGGAGCTGCATCAAATGAAGGAGCATTAGCCAACTTTTTCAACAGTCTTATCAATAAAAAATCTGCCGGTGCAGTTACTCCTACAGGTGTTAGTGCATCTGTTGCTCAACGACCAAGTAAGCAGTTCATTTTTTTCTTCTTGACTATATCTATTGTCAAAATAATATTGACAATAACGAGATAAAGAAAGAAAAATAGACTAATAAAAACATCTAATGAAATACTCTAATATTATTCCAGCAAGTCCATCTCCTACAACACCTACATCAAAGCGATTACAACAACATCCCTTAACATTTGCTGTTACACCGCCACCAGGTCGTACAAGAACACCAACATCACATAAAATATTTGTTCCATCGGTGAACATAGAATCACCACCCAAAGCTTTATCACCTGTGGTTGAAAGTCAATGGATAATAGAAAATACTGCTACTAGTTCACCGACTGTTGTCGGTATACCATTAGAAGATAGTGTCTCAATGGAAACTTTCGATACTACTGAAAATCAGCAAACGGAAATATCAACCGTTGAACCATTGGATCTTCTTCATAATGAGCAACCATTCAATAGTGCTGCACAATATGAAAAAGAGTCAATTACAGACGTAGACAAACAAAATAAGCAATATTTAGTATCACAAGAAAGCTCATTGTCTAATGCTAGAGATACAGACAAGGCTGAAACTAACATTTCATTTTCAGAATCATCACCAATAACTGATGAAAACTCAATTACTAACCAAATAATACCAAACGATGAAACTAATGAACCTTTGTCAAATGATGTCTCTCTTTCACAAATTGGAACACAAGATCAAGGACACGAAATTCAAGAATCTCCTGCTGTAAAAGTATCGATTCCAGAGGTTCTTGAAAGTGATGAGTCAACATCTAACAATTTATTGGGTGATACAGAATTAAGATCTACTTTTTTATCGAAATCAGATGAATTCTCGAATGGTGAATATCTGAATGATACCTCATCTACAAATGAATCAATATTACATTTTCCTATTGCTGCACATGATACTCATGAATTACTACAAGATGCAGAACTCGAATTACTTCCACTCTCTTCAAATCAAATGTTTGAGAATACTCAACGATTGGATGGTGAAGGAGATATAGAGCAACAATTATACCCTACTAAATCGAAAGATGAAGCAATTAAATTATACGACCATAATAGCCCATCGAATAATGATGAAGAACAATTAGCCAGTGGAAGACGATCTCTAGATTCCAGTTGTCGAAACAGTACAATCGATAAGTCATATCCACTAACATCATCAAATCCTGCATTGAATGAACTAAAAGAACAGCAAGATCTAAGAGTATTATCACCCGTTGCTACTATGCACACTCCAATTGATGATAATCTATTATCTCTTCCTTCAGTAAGTGAACTACTGGATGAAACAGTTCACCCTGAACAAATTTCTGAAGGATCTCCGTTGTCTGATATTCACGAAGCAATGCTACCAATTCAACCGAGACCAACATCACCTTCCAAACTCGAACCATCTGAAACATCAACATTTTTCCAAGACGCTAATCTAGAGAGTTCATCTCTTATTCAGCAAACCGATCATGCAAACATTTCAACAGATGAAGTTTTATCAACTGATCAATCTTCAAAGATATTTTCTACTTCGGGCGATGATACCGTTGAACAAGAACAACCAGATCAAATTTTTATATCTCATGACAACATGAATAAGGAAGACAATAGTCTTGATGCTACCGTTCAAATGACATCAGAACATATAGATCTACCTAATACAAAACAGGACATTTCTCCTCCTCCTACTAATACTGATGAAGAGACCTTACTCGAGTCAATTATCTCTGAACATCAATTCTTACCCGCAGCAAATGATCAACAAGCACGCCCACAGAGGATAGATGACATTCTACTACATCAGGCGAGTAATGGAAAACTTCTCGCATCTGAATCTATACCATTGAGCTCAAGTCCCGTAGAATTTATTGAAGAGTTCGAACCGGACGAAAGTGATACACAATTCAATCTTTCTCACAATGAACTTGAAGTGCCAATTGATGGCAAAGAACAAGATATAGATCGCACATCAACACTTCATTTTCAAAGGGAAGAACACAAAAGCCCTTTGCTATCTTCTCCTATTGAAGAAGAAATACATCAAAGAAGTCGATCCCAATCAACTACGAGTACGAATGAAAATGTAATAAATCAATCGCTAACATCAGGCATCGAAGAAGTCAAACAAAACAATCAAGGAAGTCAGCCGCCATCACCGATCATGCAAGACGAAGAATCCAGCAGGCTACCACTAGTACCGGCCGTTACAGAGAGAGAACACGACAACAGAACTTCATCCCCAATTCATGAAGAGGTACAGCAGAGAAGTACATCTCAATCACTGTTTACCACAAATGAACATCAAAACAATCAATCATTATCACCAACTACTCCAGAACTAGAAAAAAAGAGCGCATTATCACCCGCAGAATCGCACGAAGAAGTCCAGAACAATCAATCTGAACACTTTGTCGCAGAACAAAACGATCAAAGAGACAGACCATCATCACCAGCAGTCGAGGAACCGGAGAGTAGAAGTCAGTCTCCATCACCTTTTGTTACAGATAAACAACACCTAAGCCGATCCCCATTGTCTGGTAACGAGCATGATGCGCAACAAATCAGCGAGTCTATTGGAGACAAAGAAAATAACGACCGAAGTCGACCATTATCGCCTGCCTCAGACGATATTCGACAAAGAAGTTTCTCGCAGACATCAATCGTTCCAGAGAACCACGAAAGGAACCGGATGTCGCCGCTTTATTCTGAATCAAGAAACGAGCAAAGTCGAACAACTTCGCCTTGCATCGAGAAGGAAGAGTGGGCACGCAGCTTAGAATCACCTATTTTTGACACAAAATCACAAATTAGTAAATCAAGTTCCCCCGTCATAGAAGTATCCGATGAGGGCAATGTGTCAACTAGTGCCGAACCGAGCGATAAACGCGATCAATCTCCGTACTCCATCATTGAAGATTCACAAGAAAAAAGCTCATCACCGTTAGGCATTCTGGAGTATGAGCACGAAACGAACAGATCGTCGGGTCACGTTGAACAAAACAACGCAGAAATTAGCTCATCAGCTTCTGAAAACGAAGAGCCTGGAAGAATTTCATCTCCATCCTCAGTGTCCAAAATCAAAGATGACAAAAGCCGACCATTCCCGTTCATAGCCCATGACGCCCAACAAACAATCATAACTGCAACATCTGACCTAGAAGATGACGGACAAAGAAACAAATCATCATCGCCCACCGCACATGAACTGGAAAAGGCTAACCCATTGTTTCCCGAGGAAAGAACACACCATCAAAATCATTCATCGTCTCCTATCCTGACAGAAGTACAACAAAGAAGCTCTTCGCCATTAGATGATATTGGATCTGAACAAAAATTCAGTCGATCTTCATCACTCAGCTTACGGGAAGAGGGACACGAACGTTCATCTCACTCATCCAATTTCCAACTACTGGACAAGGGTAGCCGTTCCCCATCGCCAGCTCATGGTTCAATACATGAAAGAAGCCGTTCCCCATCGCCAGCTCATGGTTCAATAAATGCAAAAAGCAGTTCCCCATCGCTANTGAAAGAAGCCGTTCCCCATCGCGAGCTCATGGGTCAATGCATGAAATAAGTCGTTCTTCATCGTCAGCTCCAGTACCGTTGTATGATAGAAGTCGTTCGTCGTCGCCACTTCGGGAACCACTAGATGGAATAAGTCGTTCTTCGTCGCCATCTCATGGTTCAATACATGAAAGAAGCCGGTCTCCATCACCAGCTCCTGAAGCAATACGCGAAAGAAGTCGTTCCCCATCACCAGCTCATGGGTCAATGCGTGAAATAAGTCGTTCTTCATCGTCAGCTCCAGTACCATTGCATGAAAGTAGTCGTTCGTCGTCGCCGCTTCGGGAACCACTAGATGGAATTAGTCGTTCACCATCGCTAGGTCCTGTACCAATCAATGAAATAGGTTATTCTCCATCGCTCAGTTTACGAAACGAAGAACATAGGAAATCATCTCAGTCAGGTGATGTTGAAGAGGTGCAGTGGATGAAACAATCGGCATCCCGAACTGAACAGAATCTGAAAGATGAGAGCGCGTTGCCTGCTCTAGATGAAATGGCGAATCAAGTAGAGTCAGCATCACCAGATGACGAGGTAGTAGTTAGCGGAGTTTCGTCGTGGTCACCTGGCCGCCTGGAGAGGCAATTAAGTGATAGACCCGTTTCACCCGGTACTGAGGAACAAGATGAACGAAGTGAACCAGTGTTGGCTGTTGGCGGATCAGCGAAACAAACAAGTGGTTCTTTTTCATCCAGTATGGAACATGAACTGGTGGGAACAGACTCTCATTCATCGGCTGGTGAAGAATATCACGGTGATCAGGCGAAACGCTTTTCCTCGGATAGAATCATTCAAAGGGAATCTGATTTGGCAGAAAATATCAGTAGCGTTTCTGAAGGAAGTGATTTGAATGAACCGGAAACTAAATCATCTAATGAGGTACTGTGTTTGCCTATTAATTATGATCAACAAGAAATTGGATTCAATGTGCTTACATCAGTGATAGCTGAGAGTCGACAAAGGGACTCCCTTGTGAAAACAGACGAGGACACAATCAATTCTGGTGCTTTAAAAACATCAAGATCTCCGTCAGTTTTATCAGAATACTTAATTAAGGACAATGATCTTCAATCAAGGTGTGACGTTATGTATGAAACTGTACACAAGTCAAATGAAAATGAGATTATTTCGCAAATGGTTCAGTTGCAAGAAGAAGATCATGATCAAGCATCGTCACTGATAGTTAGTGGAAAAGAGAATGATAAAAGTCAGAACGACTTGCAATCTTCTACGCCATTTACATTTGCAGATGACAATACTGAACAATCCAAAGAAAATAGACATATTTTGTTAGATAGAAATGGATCATTGAAAGATTTTTCATATCCGTCACCTTTAATGGAAGAACCTTTCCTTGTTTTGTCACCAATTCCAGATTCTCCATTAGTAGAAGAACAAAAAGAAACACCAAGCAACAATACTATGGAAGAAAACCAACAACCTCGTTTGGTATCACCGCCAGTGGTATTTCACACGGAAAATCATACTTCTTTAGCAAATACTTCGCTTGTACATGAATATGTTCCAACAACAACACTTGATGAGAAAGAAAGTACAACGTCGCCCACTCAAGGTATTCAGCAAAAATTATCGAATGATTCTGATTCATCAGCTTTAATCGAATCAAAACCTCTTGAAACAGTTGAAACAATTTCATTAGAACAAACTTTACCAGCTGATCATCATATTGAATTGAATACTTCTACTAATCCTTTATCATCTGACAATCGCTTATCGACTATTATACGCAGTCAAAATTCATCAACAATTGCTCGTCCCAATAGTCTTCCATTTTCTCCCAACGATCATGATCTTGACGGACTTTATATTTCAAATGATTATGATGATGAGGGTGAAGTAGCTGAAAATAATGAATATGATCATAATAGTGCTCCGATCACAACAAATATGGAATATCATGATTCTAGCCTGAAACTTAAAAATAATGTTGAAGAACAGAATGCTCCAACAGATGCAAATGATACTGGAAAAACTCAGTCGATAGTAGAAAAGTCAAAGATAGAAGGTACTTTCTACACATCATATATGGGTGATGCGTTCACGGTGTTGGAAATTCCTTTTCTCTTCCTCTCCCCTTATGTTTATCTTTTTTTTGGAGGGGGAAAATGTATGCGTTTATTTTGATCACCAACACATTTCGATATATTTTTAGATAATGACAATAACGGTATTGATTCAACGAATTCCAAAAGAAGTTCAAATTAGATAGAGCAGTTTTGATTAAAATTTATCTTGGTACAACTATGACAATATTTATTCTTTGTGGTAATTCTTGCTTTTATACTATCATCTATTTGTTTATTTAACGCATCATAATTTTTTTTCTTCAAGACAGTATTTTCTTTTCATCTGTATAGATATTCACTCATGCATATGCTCGTTTATTTAAAAAAAATATATATATCATTGTTCTTAGTGGGGTATTTTATGTATCTCTTATATATTTGTACTTTATTTGTTATTATGAGGTGACACAGAACAAACTATGAAAATAGATACTTTTACGAAAAAAATTACATTACCATTTCTTTCGTTCCAAAACTGAAAGATTTCAACTAACATATGAAACAAAGTCCGACTATACTGTTTCTATTATATTTTTATAGAGCATGTATTTTTTTATGGTGTTGACAGCTTATTCGTATACAATAAAACAAAATAGAAGAATTTCCTTTCATTCATTTTTGTACAGATCGCATATTTAAAAAAGGCACCAATGATGAAATTTAAGTATAAATACGGGATTTTTGGTCGTTCAGTGTTTATCAATACCAAAGTTCATGCGTAACATTAAAGACATTGATCCATAATTATAACACCACTGATAACCATAGTCATGATGGCAAACGAATTCTTAATGGATTTTAAGGAAGGTTACCAATATTCAGTGGAAATATTTCTACAGCACTAAACGCCAATGTGCATTAAATTTCTCAAGGATAGCGCGATGGTTATGAAAAAAAAAGATATTGAATGGTATCAAAAACATAGCTGAGACATTCCTGGCAGTATTCTACAATATTTTTTTAAACTTGATTAACTGGGATATATGTTTTGAGTAATCTAAATAGCACAGCTTTGATTTTTTGCATATATAACCAACTCTATGTCTGATGTCAAAGTTGATGACAAGTAATGTTTTGATTTACAATCACGACTGTCATCACATGAAAACACATCAAGACTTTGAACAAGTCAGATAGTAAATTCGCAAGATAATCAACTTTCATGTTGCTGAGATCATTGAGATGCATGACAGTGCGTTGGAAGATCTCGCCAATATTTTGCACTCAAATCCATTATTAGAAAAAGATGAAAATTATTAACAATGCTTTTGTATTAAGAGAAACGAAATAGGAAAAACTCTATTGAAGATGTAGAAATGAACAGGATATATTGTTGTACTGATAATAAATGATGCGTGACAATGAACTATTTAATCATGTGGCATATATGGTTCTCTTAACATATATTGTATTATTGTAATGAAGCTAAAAGAAAGCCATTTGAGGTTGATGTTTAAACTCAAATTGTACTGTGAGGATACATTCTTTTTCAATATATCTGTAGATTCGTTTTGATCTTTCGCGATTAATAAGCCTTGATTTACGCTCAAGCGGTCGAATGTCTTTCGTATCCCACTAAATAAAATTTATTAGTTACTATCATCCCACTTTGACCTATGACAATAATATTTACTTTAGCTTTTACGATCCATTCAAATGATACCCGATATACGTAGATATATAGTTTACAATAACCCGCACGGTATTGCAAATGAAAGTGCTTGTTTTTTCTTTCGTTTACATATAATATATTGAAATAAACTATTTTCGAATGCGAGTTTAATGTAATAATAAAATCATTTGTACATAAGTATACCAAACAAAACACTCTCTACATAGTAAATATCACTGAAAAAGTGAATAACTCTACATGGAAAATTATGCATATAAGAAATCATAAATGACACGCCAAATGACTATATGAAAAACAAATATTGAGAAGAATCATTCAGAAAATGAGCGAAAGAATGAGAAAACTAAATCTGATCGATGCCATGCAAAAACAATAAATAAATTCCGTCTATGACTATAGTTGGATTGGAATGTTCTTAATGAGAAGAAGTACTGTTCTGATAAGGAAAAACGTGTAGAAAAAAGTAAAAACTAAACACGAGAAACATTGTCTTTTTTATTTGATGAAGATGCTTCGAGTACATCTGCTTTTGACTGCTGTTGTGATGAACTAAGTTCGGTTGCATTTTGTCGTGATGGAGATGTAAGCTGACGAGGAATTCGTTGACCACGATGTCGAGAATCATGTGGCTATAATTATAAAATAGTAGATTTAGTTTCCACTGACATTAAGAAATAAAACATACTACATGTGTAAATGAAAACGATCGCGCAGGTTTGAAACGTGGATTTGATGAAGGTGTATGAACTGAACAAATTTTTACAAAAATACTCATAAAACCAAGTAAGCCTAATAGACCCAATACCAAAGCCCACCAATATTCCTTCAACAAAGAAAAATACTTTCATCTCGACTAATTAAATTAAAATCTAATATACTTGAACGATTTCAGTCAGCGTACGTATATTCTCATCATTGAGTAACATATTTTTCAATCGAGATAATGGACCTTCAGCATCGACAGCGCGACATTTACCAAATACATCACAATATCCAGCTGTTCCAGCACAAGCATGTCCTATTAATATATATTTCCAGGTATATGAAAAGCGAATGATAAATAAACTAACCAGGTCGATGTTTATAACCATAACCAGTTTTACTGTAATTATTTGGCATAAGAAGAACATGCGTATCTACACACGAATTTTTTTGTTCTAAACAACAACAAAAATAGGTTTTCTTCTTGTTCAAAATTTGCGAAACACATACTATCGAAACAGCCAATATGACACAAATATTCTCGATCAATTCCTCGCTGACGTAATGGTTCAACAACATTTGGTATGGTTAAGGTACATTCACTTTGACCAATCAAGGTACATATACTTTTGTTACATTCCTGATAGGAAAATATTTAATTTTAATTAAAATTGAACGTGTTTTGTTTTGAAATACAAACCCCTCGATCGCATAATGCCGTATTTAGATTGCATGGTGTATCTATTCGCTTAAAAAATTGTGTATCATTGAGAGGACATGTCGCTTGAATACCACTAGAAATACAAATAATATATCGTAATCAGTAAAATGTAATATAACCAAGAAATGTGAATGTAACAAAGTTCAATTATACAGATTGGCAGAAACACAGTAGTGGAAAGATCTCGAGTATCCCATCAAATAATGAGGTTTTGCTATTTTTCAGAATTTAAACTGATCCATTTGAGAATTAGACTTCTCTCGAGCATCTATAATTGATCGAAACTAGCCTGAAGAGTCTTACTTGTTGATTTTCTGCGACTGTATATATATATATATATATAGTTTTCAAAGGGGGTATGTAGTGTAGAGAAGAACACGATTATTTATGAAATTTTCCTTTTTAGTGACTTAACGTACTGTAGCATAAGTTTTGCATGCAGTTTACCATAAACTTCTCTCTTGAGATATTTGTTTTCTATTGATCACGATTACTCGCGTGCTATGTATAGAATTAAGCTTTATTAATTTTAATTTAAGCACGATCATAACCAGTTAAAAATGCTGATGGCTGGAAAATTTACAATTTTTCTTTGGCAACCTATAATTGTTTTCAATCACAAATCAACACATGCTGACATGATTTTATATTACTCGCCATAACGACAAAGTAATACGATGATACATGCTGTACGATTATCATCATCCAATGTTGCTGTTTTTTCTGTTTCTTTAAAATATTCAAGGTTACTCTAACTTTTTCATTAATATCTATCGCATGATTGTTTATCATTATATCACATTTGTTCGTGTTCTTCATATAACTTAAAAACATATGCTACTCACATTACAGAGATTGTTCATATTTGAGAGATTTACTAGTGAGAATATCCTCGTTCATATAGTTGAAATACTTTTGTTTAGCAGGTACGCATATAAAACGAACTTACTCGCATAGGACATCGCCAATACAATCTTGACTAGCTTTATCTTTATGACATATGTGTGTAGTAGAATGAAAAGTACATTGATCGGAGCAACATGTTCCTTTTGATGGACTAAATAAAAACAAAAATAAACTCTCTAATAAAAAATAATTTAATATATACCTGCAACGAGCACCAGGTTTCAATTTACAACCTAATTTTGCGTCGGACACATCAGCTGGATAACAACAATGATCTGTACATTCCGAAATAAATCCACAATCACATTCTTCATCATCTTCAACATTCCTATTGCCACAATAGCCAACCTGCGAGCACTCTATAGAAATTAAATTATTATTTTTATGTTTTAGAAAACAATATCTCTTTTGTTTGTAAAAACCTGCTAAACAGTTTGTTTTTCCATGAAGTTGATTTTTAATAGAAATCATAACAGATCCCATTTTATTCATACTACAATTTGAAAATTTATTATTATTTTCTTCAAGACCAGTTGTTGCCCTTCGATACATTATATAATGACCAAATGTTGTACCTTCTCCACATTTATCATCATCATGCTAAACAAAGCTCACAAAATTAATAATCGTGAATAAGAAAAAAAAATATTGATAAACAAACCTCAGCCCCTAAATTGTGTCCAACTTCATGAGCAAATGTTAATTCTGTCATTAATGCTGATGTTCTCGTATTATGGTTAATAACAGTTATCATTCCTGTATTGAGAGTTTTGATAACCCGTTGTCCTTCATAGATATCTTTTGCAGATTTTTCACAAATACCACCACGATTATCTAAATCAAAAGTTAATTAATTTAATTCAATTGCTATTCATACAAACTTGGTAGAATGCTTCCCATCCATGCTAAACCTAATGTTCCATCACCAAAATCTCTTGCAGTAAATAAATATGACAAGCAATATTCATCGAAATTTCCAACTGAATGCCATGTTAATAAAACATTTGAATCAAGAAATGAACGGCATATATTTGTTTCACTTAGTGTTATATTTTTTTGCATACAATCATCAGATGTTAAAATCTAAATAAACTATTTTAAAGAAAGAAATAACATCTAATCGAAACTATACTCGAATTCGTTGTATTCTTAGTGTAAATCGATAAAGAAAATCACCATTTGATTCAAATTTTACTGAACGATATATTGCATTTGCTGCTGTTACTACACGATATAAAAATGTAACCAGTGCATGAATAGTTGCTTCTTTTTCCTATTTAAAAATTGTTTTGATTATTGATAAGAATAAAATTAAAAAAAAACTTTTCTTACATTCAGTCCTTCATTTCTATAAACAATATCCCAAAGAGTTGGATCAATACGGATGTACATATAGCAACAAGTGCGTTCTCGATCTGTATTATTTGTTGATTGTCGTTTTGTTCGTGTGAAATACGATTTCGAATTGAAATCATTATATTTATCTTGAACTAGTCGTTCTGCTTCTTCTTGCATTTTTTCTCGTCTTTTATTATCATTTAATGCACAAAAAGATGGTAATGACTCTTCATCTTCATTCATAATGTATCGTTTATACCGCAACGCTTCACTACTATTATATTTTGTCATGTCAACATCGAGTGCATTGTATATAATTGATGAACCAAAATCGACTAAAGTATTGCCGTATTTACGAGTTGGTTCTATATGCCATGTTTCATTTGACAATTTTATAATACCATCAAACCAATTTGAATAAAATCCACCAGTAACATATGAAGTTTCAGGATGATCTAGTAGAATTAAAATCAAAAATAATTATTTAAATTCGAAATTATTTTGTAGGTCACGAATAAACTAAGCGAACTTCTATATACAACTTAATGGATTATCAATCAACTATGCTTCATAGTTGTGCTTTGAAACATTGTTCAAACAAAAATATGAGTTTGTTCTTCCATATGACTTTGAAAACTTTTGACATAATTAAAATTGATTACTGATCATGTTAACTGATAGACCTATTTCATTATGTGAACTGCTTTAGTGTCGAAATTGTATTCGTAAAAAGCATTTCGAAGAATTGCTTTGTAAATTTCATTTTGCAAATCTACATAAAGATGAGATTAGTTTATTTTCGAAAGTATTAGATTTTATCGTTGTGCGTTTCCTAAGTTTCAAGAATGTTGTCAGTATGGTTTTTATACTATAATCAAGATAGAAGTAAATTAGACTTTATGAAAAGTTTCAAATCGAAATTCGGATATGATTTACTCTCGTATTTTCAAGAGACAGAATCTTGAATTAAAAGAATATTTTGTCATCCGGAGAATTTCTGTCGAGATTTATGACTGTTGTCATCAAACACTAACAGAAAATATCCCCGGTCAATTAAACCTCATATTCAAATTTATTTGTTGAGAGAAGATGAAACTTTGCAAGTAAATTTCAAACAAATAACAATCTAGAAGAGTAAACTATCACTGCCATCTGTATTTTGTTTATCAAACAATATATTAATGACATTCTAGAAGAGTAAACTATCACTGCCATCTGTATTTTGTTTATCAAACAATATATTAATGACATTCTAGAATTTATTCTATTAAAATATGACGAAGATTGTTACCTAATACATAGCCTTCATAAAGAATAGAAGAATTAATCGGAAGAAAAGTTGATGCACCAAGATGAATATCTGCGTTGTTAGCGAAGAATTCATTTATGCTTTTCAAAATCAATGTAATATTTCTTAAAATAAATAAAAAAATAAATAAGGAAAGTATATTCAGTTTTTCTGTATATACTTATCATCAAGTTCAAGAGTAAGAATTCGATGCGGATTATTTTTCAAAATGGATCGTTTATATCGACGCGTATTTGTTTCATCATGAACTGCACGAATAATCTTATATTCTTTAATACCGAATGATGAAAAATGACTAGCATCAACTAAAATAAATAATTAAACTTGAAAAGCAAGTGTTAACTACAATAGATATTTACCAGATTGAAAGGGCCATACGATTGCCAAGAAAAGCAAGAAAACGTTTGGCCAAAGCATTCATTCAGACATTATAACTCTATCTACAAGAATAAAACACTGCTAGAGATTTTCAATGATTAACAAAAGCAATAAAAAAATCGTCCTATTTTTCCTAATCAATCATTTGTTTCAAGATACTTCAGATATATTCTGAATCTTTTGTTTTTGGGTCTTAATTCAAATAGACACACGCATATGGACCAGCAAGATACGTATTACTGCCGATCATCATGTTTAATTATCGCACTTTTAACAAAACGAGGAGGACGTGATGAGGGTTGTTCAGTGATTTGTAGAGACGGTGGTGATCGAAGATGATCATTTAATTTTTCTAGCTTTTGTAAACATTTTACTAAATGAACAATGATTATATTGATATGAAAATCAAATTAGTATTCTTACTGAGTACACATGTGGAAACAACTAATAATGGTATGCGATAGAGAGGTCGCATTTATAAATTAAAGTATAAAGACAATACTATTAATCGAATTTTCAACAATTAGGAACCTGATCATGTTCATTCCAAACTTTTAGTATCCAATGAAAACGTAGATAATTCCTATTGTGCATGCTGAAATTTCATATTTCATTTAAAAATCACTTTATTAATAAAAATCATAGACCAAAAATATCTTTTGAAATAGAGTTTATTATTTATCTATCATGTACGACGCCATCTATATGAAAAGCAAATCGTACATGAACTATCAATTTTTATAAATTCTATTTTCAGATCAGTGTTTTTTATAAGTAATTGACATAGATTTAAATTAAAAATAAAATATAAAATTTGATGACGATACCCAAACAAATCTATCTATCATCCAATCATAAAGCCACATTTGAAAACAAGAAACAAGTACACCTTGTAACAGTTTCGTCAAATTTTATGAAAAACAATTAAAGAATATTTAACGTATTTTTGTCATATTTTAGATGTCATCTGCATCATTATTTGAACAATTGATCAGCACTGTATCATCGTCTAGGCTGGCAAATATTTCAATAACTATTCTAGCTCCGTTGTTAATTTTTACAGTCGTTTTTCGAGTTTTCTTTTCATCATCGAAACCGAAAGGATCGCCTTCCAATCAAAACTTAAATAAAAATAAAAAAGCCAAAGAATCTAACACAATCAAGAAACAACAAGGTGATGCAACATCTAACAATAAGAAAAACAATAATAAAATAAAAACGAACTCACTTCCGGTTTCATCGTTACCAAGTGTACAAACTGAAGAAAGTGAAAATGAAAAGGCAGCGTTGATTTTATCAATGAAAAAAGTGATTTGATAATGCTAAAACTATAAATTCTAAATATTTGTGACATTATTTATTTAGTCAGCACTCTCTGTGAAAGCATCAGCAGGTAAAAAATCAGTTGTTGTCGAAGAAAATAACAAGACTAATTCTTCAATAAATGGCGTCAAACCATCGCTAGCTAAACAACAACCACCTGTTCACGGTCAAAATGTTGAAGGACAAAATGGAGATAATAAAAGCAAACAATCTAAATCTATTTCAACAACTACATCGACCAATGCTACCATTACATCTAACAAACAAAAAACATCAGGAAAGCGTAAGTTATGATTAAAACATTTTTAACGCAATTCCAGTGAGATTCAAATGTGAAACACGATGTGGATACTAGTGCTAATCATGAGAAGCTAATTCTATTTGATAAAATTTGGAATATTTTTCTTGTGTTTCCTTCCAATCAGTCCTTTAAAAGTGCAATGCAGATCAAAATTCAGATATTAAAAACCAGATGTTATTGCCATAGTTTCACCTTTCACATTCTATTTTTTAAAGATAACATTTTGAAAAATTGACTATTGATTTCTAGATGATATTACCAAAAATGTCAATACTACTAATGCAAATAAAAACGAATCTGCGCTTGTTAATTCAGAATCTAAACGTACACTGGTTGTCGATGCCGACAATGATAATAATCAAGAAGATGATGGGCAATGGCTGACACAAGGAATTAAACAGGTTTGTGTATAAGCATTAAATCGAATTCTGAGTCAAATATTTACATTAATAATGAATTCTTAATTACATCACTGCACATATGTTTATCTTGAATACTTTTATAAGTTTTCATTGATTCTCTTAATATATCTCTGGAAAATCTTTATTTCATTGCAGGTTAATCATCGTAGTCGCAATAAGGGTAAAACTGAAATATCTCACAGTGCGAACCAACAATCATCAAATAAAAATGTTGTAATAGAACAACGATTACCTGTAAAATTATTACAGAGCAATATTTCACTACCGATAAATAGTGATGAATTGAATATTGAAGCAATAATACCATCGAATAATTCAATATCATCTATTGAAAATCGAGAACCAATTGAAATCTATCAATTATTACCAAAAAATGAAAATCTTTACGTATCTACTGACAATTGGTGGAAACAGGCTTTAAATAAACAACAAACGTTCTCTATCGATGATATTGGAGAATGGCCTGAACGTGAGCTAGATGAACAATATATTGTTCAAATTAAAAAAATTATTCCTGGAAAAGAATTAAATGAAAATCAAAATTCTGATGAAATATAATTATTTTACAGACCAAATAATGGAAAAAAATGGTATCGGTTTAAAAAAAAAGAAAATAATTTTAGTCAATATATGAAATTTACATTAAAAGATCAATCCAAAAATGAAATTTTATAAATCTATATTAACTGACTTGCGTAAATTAAGAACATAATTCAATTCTTATTTTAATTTTCTTTCTCTAATCATTTATCTCATCTTTTTCTCTTTGCATACTATTACAATACTTCTTATTCCAATTATTTATACTAGCGGAGGATTATTATCCTATACCTAAACTGGAGCAGAAATGAAAAGTATAAATGCACACAATTATCTCTACATATTTATGTATACTTTTTTTTTCTTCATATAGAACATTTTTCCGATGTTGTTAATTAGATATTTAAAAAATAGGGAGATGTGAAACGAAATTAGTATATATATATGTATGTATTCTTACTTGACGCTTTGAATTAATCAATTTTGCTTTTTATTCTTGAAAACATTTTCTCTTAAGCGATTTCTGTAGTGTTGTTTTTTTATTTTTTTCTTTCTTTCGTTCTTGTTATCGTTTCCTTTCTCAAAAACAAGCAAACTAAAGGTGAATCTTTTCCCTCTGTATGTTTGTTGTTGTTGTTGTTGTTGTTGTTGTTTTTTTATTTTATTTGTTATGTTGAAAAGTAAACACGGTTCTCCTATATAAGTTATGTAAAAAAAAGAAAAGAAATAAGCGATTATTGATTTATGAAATATCAAAGATCTCTTGATTCATTATTTTTATTGATTGGATTTGAATTAAGTTTAGTTATTAGTTAAATCTTATATCGATTAGCATCATCAACGATAAAAACATGATAGTATTGATGCTTATTGTTGGGATTCTAGAATGTTAATTTTATTATGAGAATTAGACAGAAATCGTCAATATGTTCACTTACTTTTTAAATAGAGAATAAGAACAATTTATAATTATTGGGCATGTTTGATTGCCAATCAATTGAAACATTTGTATCCGATGATTGTTTCCGTCACAAACATAAAGATTTCCAAGATTATCGAATGCTAAAGCGTTTGGTGATGATAATTGATTGTTTGCATCACCTCGTCCTTAAATTAAACAATAGATAAAATATCATAGTTTTTCAACTAAACTATTATATATTTATAATACGGTATAGAAGAAAAAAAGCAGCATTTTATAGTATTGCTTTTTCTTTGTCTTGAAAGTTAAGTTTTCAATGATTGATAGGGAAGAGAAAATGTGTATTCAAAAATTTTATGTTCTTAAAATGTCGATATTCTTTGGTTTAACTGAGAAAAAGGTATTGAATGAAGAAATAAACAACATTGACAAGTGACTCATTAAAATAGAGACCTTCTACTATCGTTGTCATTATATTTTATCAATAGATAAATTATACAAAAGTTAAAAACAGAGTTCACTCTTTAGATTCCCTCCAAAAAATGAACTCACCTGCTCCACCAGCTATTGTATTTCCAATAAGGGCATTGGGTAACCATCGTTGAATGCGATTGTTTTCACTATCCGCAATATAAATCACATCAGATTCTTCATTGACCCATACATGAATTGGACTTGCTAATTTTGAATTATCATAGCCTGAAATGCCGTCTTTTGAACCAGCAACCGTGATACTTTCCTGTGAGTTCATATTTAATTTTTGGATTCGATTATTTCTCATATCAGTTATATAGAATACATTATTTAAACGATTCATATAGATTCCTCTAGGAAAATACAGATGATCCGAAGTTGATCCGTGAGCATCGATTCGACCAGCGACAACCGTACTTGTATTTGTTTCTACCGACCATCTCAATACTGAATGTGTTCCCGATTCTGTCATGTACACATTTTTCTCATTGTCAAGCCATACACCTGTACATTGTTTGCATTGATTACCTACTTGTTCACCGTTTACACCACTTTTTATCCATTTTTCAATACGGTTTTCATATCGTAATGCTACATACATAGTCAATCCATTATCATCAACATAAATAGCTGACATTGAATCTATATTAGACGCTACAGTAATAGCTGTGCTCGATGTTGAATCAAGTGAAAACATTTGAATACGTCTATTATTAGTATCCGCTACATATATGGTGTTATTTTGTTGATGAAGAAACATCCCTTGTGGTACATTCAATTGATTAGAAGCATTACCAGGTGAATTAGTACCAATTATGGTAATTCCTACAGTATTCCATGTCGCACAAGGACTGATATAAATTGCCTCGATTGATATATAAGTATAATAGAAAATGGAAACTTGAATAGAAATAAAAATATTACTGGAATACTCATGTATATTTTTCATTCTTTTGAGAAACTTACTTATTGTATAGATGAGAATCATCGAAAACAAAATCAAGAATTTTGTTATATAGCAGACGACCTGTAAAAGTGGCTAGCTTAGATGTGTTTGCCTATTCTCGTTTCTGATAAGTATGTAATACTATTAAGTGATGACAATCTTGTCTTGTTTTATCTTATTCAAGAAAAAAGAATCAAAATCATTCGCTTATAGCTAAGTCTTGTTTCGCAGTCATAAAAAATGCACTTACAAATAAAATACAGAACAAATCCATAAAAAAGACTTGAGAGATATTTCGTGAAATCAAAGACATTGTAAAAAGCAAAGGTGTGAGTGAAGCTTATCTTAATAATTATCGAGGGGTGTCCAAGGACTGAGAATTAGGAATTCCTCATCAGTTTCCTTACAGTTCCTTGCATACAAAAGGAAAAAATATGGAATATTCACGATAATTTTTGTTCTTACACTCATTTTCACTTGCAAAATTGTGAGAATCAATGATTTTATGTAAAAATTATTTTTAAAACAGTAATATCGCGACTTTCGTGAATGGTGGAGCTGTGAAGGAACCAATAGTTGATTCCCATTTCCTCTAGGAATTATCACAGCGACACTGACAATTCCTTGGCACATTAGGAATTCCTATTTCTCAGTCCTTGGACACTGCTGTCTCAACGATGGATGTGGAGTAGAGCCTATGGGGTTCAGAAATTTCTGGAACCGGACACGATCCCAGGAGAATCATTCTGACAATCGGATTTTATGTAAACTAGCCCAAGTCGAAAAATCCGACGTCAGATCTTACAATCTGAACGAAATCTTATAAGCATCAGACAAAAAATCGTCGTCTCTGACATCTTGCATCAGGTCATACTATGTTTTCTTTAAAGATCGCACATGCAATTTATTTTCAATACAAATTTGTCGTAACATTTTAAGGAGACACCCAAGTCGACTAATCCGACGACGGATTCTATCGGGCCCTAAAACATCTTACTAACCGAGGAAATCCAGTTGGATTCTGTGTTTCGAAACTATTGACGGATCCGACGGAAGAATTTTAAAAAATATCGAAATTCTATTTAGTGCAAAAGACCTTTTTAGAAGTTGAGTATAGTAGAATTTTTTGGCGCATCGGATCCCAGAGTAGGATACGATCGGATAATATCGAATTCCGACGGAATCTGTTGGTTCTTATCGGTTTTCATGTAAGATCCGATTGGATCTGATTGTAGGAATCAGCGACCTGGGAATCCCAACATGAATTTCGTATGATATATTAATGAGGTGGAAGGCGCACCTCTGTATTGGAAAGTAAGAAATACAAAAAGAAATAGTTTTTCTTAATTATGAAAGCATGAATGGAATGGAGGCAAATGTATTAGTCGAAATTTGATTTGAAGTGAAATTGTTTTTTGCGGTTGACTTTTTAATTAACAGCTTACGTATGTTAGAGCTCATTCCGGGTGAATGAATCCAACACGGAATCCGCGATTGAATCTTGCAAGATTCAACGCGCGAGCCAACGATATCTGGTAGGGTTTTGGGTTGAAGAACTACAAACGAATCCAACAGGAAATTCATATTTCATTGTTCACATTTTACTTTACATCTGAAACTAGCACTAGAGGCCAATCAGAGCCCTGAAACGGGTCTCATCCGATCCGACAGTAAGATACGATCGGATAACAATACTAGGAATCCAAATTTTGATCCACAGCCCGGATCCTACAGGAGTTCATAGGTTTTATACTCCCATGGTGAGAAGCCAGACTGGAAGATCTTACAAGAATCGTACGTTTGACCATATCTGATCTTATCAGATTAGACGAAAACTTGCCGTCTCTGATTTTTTACACTAAGTTGTATCAGAAGATTCTTGAAAGATTTTTGAAAAGTTCTGTTACCAATAGAAATATCACTGTGATATTTTAATTAAACTAATACTTAGGTCGTTCATTCCTACAATCGGATCTAAAAATGGGTTGCATCGGATCTTACATGAAAACCGACAAGAACCAACAGATTCCGTTGGATCCGTCAATAGTTCCGAAACCCAGAACCCAACTGGATTTCCTCGGTTAGTAGGATGTTTTACGACCCGATAGAATCCGTCGTCGGATTAGTCGACCTGGATTATGGCAACGCAAAGACTTTTTATTTCGATCTGGCAAAACATAACAATTATTTTTCAAATTGCTCGTCTATATTCCAAGTGAAATCAGACAGCTACTCAGTGAAAGTAAACTAATTATGAAAAATACTTAAAAATCGCTGAAAGTACATTTTTCTGTTAGCTAGTCGGCGAAAAAAATCTAAGGGTTGCCAAATGTAAAATTGTGTTCGCCCGCCAACGAAATAGTTTTGTAAGTGTCATCCGCATTTTCCCTCCTATTGTCGGCTTGAATGCTTGAACTTTCTTTTCAGAACGTGTCTTCATTAAAAGAAGACATGAAGTAGATATTAAAAATATCATTGACTATAATATATGTGCCAACTGTACAATCGTCGACATTATAGAAACCGGCTCAAACCTATGCTATCTGTTTAAAAGTGATTACATCGACTCTCAATTAATAAGTGATTTTCAAAAGAATCAGTTGCGCCCTCTAGAAATGCTTGTTACGATTCGTGTATTTTATTATACTATTTCTATCTGCAATAAGAATATTTATAAAAACAGACATCCTATGATCTATCAATTGATTTAATGCAACGAAAGTGATACTTATTTAACTTTGAACACTATTAGAAAATGTTCACATGAAATTCATAGGCACACATATCAGTATTTAACAGTAAAGGTGTTGTCTCAAGTAAAAAATAGTATCAGACGAAACAAGGAAGTGTGATCGAAAAAAAGAAAAATCTATTATTTCTTATACGCATCATGCAAGTATTATATATTTTACTTTTCAGATATCTATTATTCTATATATATATATATATATTAATACATATAATAATTTCATTAATATTGAAAGCTCATCATGGTTGACGGAGCTAGCATTGGAGCGAAACAGCAATCATCTGTAAATAATAGATCATTCAACGATCAAAATCAAACTAAAGTGAGTTCAATTTAATTTTTGTTGACTTTTTTCTAATGTATTGTTTTTATTATTTTATTAAGATCGTTCTTCGTCGATTACCACCTACATTAACGAGCGAACAATTTCTTGAAATAGTTTCTCCTCTTCCCGATCATGATTATTATCGTTTTTGCAAAGCTGATATAAGGTATTTGACTTCGATTGATCTTTTCATTTGTAACTATTTCTTTTAGTTTGGGTCAGCAATATGCTTTTTCTCGTGCCTATCTTAATATTTCTAACCGACAAGATCTAATTGTATTTACAGAAAAATTTCAAGGATATGTTTTTGTTGATAAAAATGGTAATTTTATCGTTACATATTCATTTTAATTTCAATTATTATATATCATAGGAAATGAATATATTTGTTCAGTGGAATATGCACCTAATCAATGTCGACCGAAATCAGAACAACAATTGCGAAAAGATCCGAAAATGAATTCGATTGAACAAGGTAGATAAATTCCTACAAAAATTTCCATTCTTAATTATCGTTTAGATCCTGAATATCAAACATTTGTCACAAATATGAATGCACCTCCAAGTGCTACGGAAGCATTACCAAATGCTGAAATAATGCTTGAAGAAATTGAAAAAAAACAACGTGAAATTCAAGGTAGAACATATATTTATAATTCGAAGTATTAGTAATCTTTATGAATACAGATAACAAAAATAAATCAGGCGCTACTACAACACCTTTACTTGAATTTCTAAAACGAAAACGTGAAGAACGGAAACAGGTTTGAATGGCAGATTTATGTTTTTTTCTTCTATTTAATATTGAATTTTTATTTAACATAGGAAAAAATGATGCGTATTCAGCAGGCGCAACAACATCGTAATAATAAACAATCATTTAGAAACAATCCATCAAATATACATGATGATTCAAGACCATCTAGTGGACGGGTATGCACTTTGTGATTTTGTGAGGCATGACGTACAAGAATTGTTAAACTGCGAAAGAAAAAGATTGAATCTTTCACCACTTCTAACAGATATCTTTACAATATTTTCCTTGTCTGTAACGAACCACGCTGATATAATTAATGGCATTCTCTAATTTAGAACATGAACGAGGACGATTACAATGCTTCATCACGCTATGGAGGTGGTGATAGATCAAAGTAACTATTTTTTGTTGAAAATATAGTTGAACTAATAACAAACGTTTTCTATCTAGTCGTCAACAACGTGGCTATGATAAATCAGATTATAGAACAGGCAATCAAGAACAGGTAATGGAATAATAAGTAAGCAGATATTCATTCGTTCTTTTTATCTTTTTCTTTAACAGAAACGATCTAATGCAAATGATTATGGTGGTAATAAAGCATCGAAAAATCGTGATCATCAAAATACTCGATCCAAACAACAACATAACTCGAAAGAATCTAAAGTTGTTACAAATATGAAATCAAAAAATGAAGAATCATCACAGATTGAGAATCAAGCGAAGCGTGATACGACATCATTGGATACTATCAATAACTCTAATGATAATTCTCAACAATCTCAAAATGATGAGCGACCTAATTCATCAAACAAAGGATCATCAGCTTCTTCGCAAAAAGTAGGCATTCAATTCAGCAAGAAATCTTATATGAAAATTTTTTTTTTTGATAGAATGCAAATGGTGTAATAAAGAATCGCCCTTCTATTCAAATTTATAACCCAGCTGAAAGAGCTCGATTACGAAAACAGCATAATCCATCATCATAAAACCTATTTTATAAAATGCAAAACTATTTTGTTTAATTTGTCTGACTAAACAGCTTTCTCTATATTGATCACAGCTGCTTCTGTTGCCGATTTTTGAATCATGGTGGATATTCAATTAGATGCTGATATACTTTCATATTAATATGATGTGTTTTTTTTGTCAAACTCTATCTAAAATTAATCACATTATTGACACAATTCAGACAACAATCATACTGATTGTTGAAACTAAACTAATTTAACAAAATAAATAAATGTCAACTTCTATATAGTTGATATTTTAGAAGATCAGATGATTGAAATAGAATATTATTAAGAACCCGACAATGATTAATGGGGAAAAGTTAAAAATAATTATGTTATTTAATCGGCATGATTTTGAATGTAGATGGAACTGGTATTTAAGAACAATCACATATGATTATGCTTGAATATAATTGGCATGTTAGTTTCCTTAAATATAGATACGAAAAAAAAGAAAAATTCATTGTATAATAATCAACGTTAAACAGAAATAGCACAACTCTGTTGAAAAAAGATCCTAAGAAGTAGTATTTTTATGCGACACACTTTGTAATGTACAATCTTCAAGAAAAAATTTGATTTGTTTCTCTATTCTAAGATCTTGCGAAAGAGTGAACAGTGAATAATTAGTGGGTCATTCAAACAAACTGTCCTACTGTTTGCGAAAACGACTAAATGGTATGATTCTACTTTGTAAAAAATTAAAACTCAACAGATATGTAAATCAATCTAAGAATATCTGATGAAAATAAAAATATCTTTAGCAACCTATCAACTAGCGATCATCAGGAATTATATAATCAAAGAAGTAAAACTTCTGGTTATAGATGATGAATAGTATAGAGTTGAGTATCATTTCAAGTTTCGAATTACGATTAGTAATATTTGCCGATAACATCAAATCAATAATAAACATCAGAGATGAATGTATCGTAACAACTTAGTTCCGTCAAGTATAATATTAGCTTCAATTCTGTTCATCGTCATTTTTATACATACATCAATGTCAAAATGCTAAACAATCAAGATTTTTGTTTGTCTTCAATCACTGTCAACCGTCTTTGCTCGATTGTATGTCGAATGAAAGGTATCGGAAAGGATTATTATCTCTTCAAACAAATTAAAATGCATAATTCTTGATGATAAAGTTTCCTTAGCTTACGTCTATTCGAGAATCCCTGAATTCAATAGAAATCGTTTCAAGTATAAGCTTCATTTTTCTAGCCAAGAAATAACTTCAGCAACATTTTATCATGATGCATAAACATCGATAGTAATCAAAAATGTCTTTTTGGAAATCTCAAAGATCTCTACCCACTCTCTTAAGATACATTCAATACAACATTATCAGTCAATAGAAGAACCTATCTTCAAATATCACTGAAATTTCGCTATTTGAATCTACTGAGAGAAATCTAATTTATAGTATTTACTTCAAGTAGAAAAGGAACATTCGTACCATATTATATTATTCGTTATCAAGTTTATACAAAATGTTGATAAAAAAAACTGCATTATCTATCGTCATTTTCTATTCGTTTAATAATCTTAAGGTATTCGTTCATTATGTAGTTGGATTATCTACTAAGTTCTACATATGTTATTATATGGACAATGACGAGCTACAATTCACAACATAGAGGAACACTGATGCCCAAGCTGACAATTGTATGGGTATGTGGGCAAGTGAGGGATATTGCATTTCTTGGTATTAACGCATATATACTTTGAATTTCGATGAATAAACTATAACTTTACTTTTCACTCTTTTTCGAGAACTCACCCTCATCGTTACATCAATATTATGAGTTCTACATGTACATGGGTATCGACTTAAGGATTGATTTCATTCTACTACACTAAAAATACTCAAAATTGAATCTTATATAATGACAATTCCTTTTAAAATGGATTTGTTTATTCCGATGCTTATCATCTCCATACTAGAATGATCATGTGAAGTTGTACACAATCACCTCTGTTGTCAATGTTGGATGAAAGCTCGATTGGAGAGACGCTAAAGAAAAATTCATTAAAATATATATGGATCAATGACGATCAGTGAGAAAAGAAATCATTTAATCTTATATTATTTCATATTGCACTACTTGTTTCGATAACATTTTACGATATATCATTTTCATTATGATCGTCAGAGAGTAGACTCAATGCTAAAAACTATTAAACTAATGCTAAGATCATTATCAATTGCTTCTGTTGGTTTTTTAAATTGTCATAAAAAAATACTCATTTGAGCTTTTTAAATTTTGAATTTATGAAATCTATATGTTGTTTTTCAAGAAAACGAAATTATGTATTTAAATAGAATAAATGCTTTTTTTTGGTTTCTTGACAATATGAAGAAACTTCATACTGTTGCAAAACGACAGGAAAGAGTTAACACGTGTTTGTGTACTATCAGTTAGAAATTTAACCTATACGTTTTCGTTTTCAGTCATGACTCGACAAAAATACAAAAGACGCTTTCATTTCTTATCTTACCCTTGATAAACCTATCTTACTTAGTTTTTTATGTAGCTTTTAGATTTTTATTCATTTTTCATCCTTTTTTATCACTTTTCACATAAATAGAATGTCATCATCTCAATTTGTTCGTCGTATTATATCAACAACTGAGGCTGGGCCTATTGGTGGACCATATAGGTAAATCACATAAGCAGTAACTCGAACAATGAATTATCTAAAAGAATGTCTCGTTCAGCCAAGGTGTTGTAATTGGACACACATTATATTTAAGTGGATCTATCGGACTTGATCCTAGAACTGGCCTATTTGCTGGTGAAGGTGTACAAGAGCAAGCTCGTCAAGTATAGTAACATATTAGTATAACTTTGTATTTTACTTCTCTTTTATTTAGTCGTTGAAAAACCTCGGTGAAGTTCTCAAAGCTGCCGGTGCTTCATATAAAAATGGTGAGTTAATCGAAACAGACAACTCAATATGTTAGCATCGATATTTTTGTTTTAGTTGTAAAAACTAATGTTTTCCTCAACGATATGAATGATTTTACTGCAATGAATGCAGTTTATTCTGAATGTAAAATATTTTTACTAATTGTTTTACTAAAACATCCATAAATGATTGTTGTATTATAGTCTTTACAGATCATCATCCTGCTCGATCAACTGTTCAAGTCGCTGCTCTTCCAAGAGTAAAAACAAAAATAATTTATCCTAATTAACTAATTTCATGATTTATTTTTATTTAGAATGCTAAAGTTGAAATCGAAGGAGTAGCTATATTAGGCGACATTCAAGACGAGTGACAATTGAAATTTTCTCATCTATGACTGTAATATGTGATTGCACGCTCAAAATCAAGCGATTTTTTTTTGTCCACCTTTTCTTTTTTCTTTTTTGTTCGACTCAGTCATACGACATTAACAATGATAGAAAAATGCAAACAACATACAAGCAAATTAATTGCTTGTTCATTCCATCATTTACGAGAGGGGAAAATCCGATTAAACTATTGTTTCTCCCGAGAGATTGTTTTTGATCGTAATCAAATGTCGAATATTGTTTGCATGCAAACATGTCACAAAATCAATTGATTTAGTGAGCTGAATATTTGTCTTTTTGAAATAATATGGAAAGTAGAAGCTGATCCACTGTTAATTCACAAGACAACTTGGACGTAATACAAAGAAAGAAAATATATATATATGCGCAAATGAATGTGTCTGAAGGTTAATAGTAGAAGTAGAAGAGAGCTATGACTCAGACATTATATGAAAAGTTTTCTACTGAAGTGGACTAGATATACACATGAGAAGATGAAAAAGAAGTTATCGATTGTTTAGGAATCCTTGAGCACAAACAAACAAGTTAACTCTATAATTCAAATCGGAGAAAAAGAAAAACTTTCCAAGATGACAAAATCATTACCTAATTCGGGACACGCGTGTACACGAATAATACTAACTTATAGTTTACAAAAGGATGGAAACCATGAGGAGCACTGTATAAGTCAATCTCCAACTGATTCTGTGTCTATTGTGATAAGCAGTGGGAGGCAAAAAAAAAATGATTCAATTAGAGCAAAAAAAATGAGCAAACTCAATCATATACAAACACATCGACAAATAAGAGAAAGCAAGAGAACTATTGAGGCATTAATCATTGATGTAGTGTTGCACCTCTTACACTTGTCTAAATATAAGAAAAAGATGTGCTCAATTAATTATAGATGATGAACAGAAAAGAGACAATGTATAGAATTACCTGAATAAAATAGATCATATATTTTTACACGTATCAATCAATACTTTGCTGAAATTGATTGATCATGCGCGAGTAACATGTCAGAAATGTTCACTATTATCTGCCATCTTATTACCAAAATACATCAAGCTTCTTACATTGATAGTGTATTCATTCTAGCGGCTAAGATAAAAGTAATGTACATCCAATTTTTTCTCATTAAACTGTATTATATTTAATCGAAATTAGCTTTGTTAAATTGATGAAAGATTTTTAGTTTTCATTGTCTGTCAAGTGTTGACAATCGATCATCCGAGTGATAATAGAGAATATTATATATATATATGTGAATAATGATGCGCTATTTCATGCAATTATGTCATTGAGATGGATAAATGCGAGCACACTGGGTATTCACGCGTCAAACTACTTGCCAATATTGTATGAGTGTAAAATGGGTGTGAGATTCCTCAAAAATAAAATTTGAAGAAATTATCATTCTATAATTGTCATCTTAACTTTAGAAGAGAGAACAAGATGAAGCATGTGAATGAATAATCGAAACTTATTTTAGTTGATATGTGTAATCAGACGAGAAATTTAAATGATTCAAGAAACAGCAGGTTTATTCTAGTAGAAAATGTATTATTAATAATTATTTGGAAACTAAAGAGCTATCATATATGATAAAACGTTTCCTTGTAAATCTTTGAATTTTGTATAAAAGCGAAAGCGTCTTTCTGCCATTTTGTTTTCACCTTGTGATATTTGAAACAAGTAAGTACGATATTCTTTTGGTCCATGAATCAATTACAAAGTAGTATTTCAATACAATTAAGACCATTCAAAGCATTCCACATCAGAAATAGGAATAGTTTCTTCAATTCTAGCCTGTTTGTGACCTTTTTTTTTTATACCGAAAAGAAATGATTAAGTACTAATCAATTCCGAACGCTGATTTTCTTTGAAGTCTATTTGTACACCATTGAAACAATTACCAAATGATAAATTCTGAACCAATGCATCGGATAATTTGATACCATCTAATGATGTCAGAATAGCACAGTAGTCTTCATATATTGTTGTCTTTGTGTTTCTCTAGTCTCATAAAAGTCAATCAATTAATTATTTATTCGCCTTTGACAAACACTCGCCTCATTTGGAAATATGAGATGAATCGATCAGAGAAAGAGTAAGCAATGGCTAAGACTGCTTTTCTTATTCGCTAGAAAAAAATACAAACGAAATAACATAATTGGGTGCAGATTACGAAGAAAAAAAAAGATTGTAGAGAACGAGTGAGAATTTTCTTTTTTTTTCATTCTCATTCGTATTTTGATTGGCCCATTAACGTAGATATCAGGCTTGTTGAGCCAATTCCTTCCATCTCTGCCTGTCGCTTTGCCCGACATGTTCCGATTGGGTTAGTTAGTAGGCAAGAAAAAAAAAACAGAAATCTCATAGAAGCTTCCAAGCATTCTCTTATTCGTCTGATTATTAATAAATTAGTTCCTGAAGTTTTCTCTCTACATTTGTCTATGTTAACACTATCATCAACAGTCGATTGATTTTACATCATGAACTTGGCTCATTATCCTCAACAACTTTCTTCAACGAATACTCGAACAACAACATTTGCTATTCAAGAACTTCTTAATCTAACATCAACAGATCTCGCAGCTGCTCGTGCCTATGCTGATCATCAAGCATATACAGCCTACCTATCACGATCAAGTTTATTTCCTTCTTACCAACATTCAACAGAAACATTTACTAATAGAGATATATCTATAACACCAACTCATCAACCACATACGAACTTTTTTCAACCATTTTCATCAACAAATAGAAATACTTTGTTAAAATCTTTACCGGGCAATATAGGTATGATTGAATAATAAATTTTTGTTTTGTATCCATAAGAAAACTTGAATTATGATTCTTTTCATATTTATTTAAGATGAAGATGAGAAGATTATTAATAATGCTAATGAATTTGATAGTAATAATGGAAAATTCAATACAAATGGAACACAGAGTAACATTTCTAATAAGAGAAAACAATGTAAACGTAGGCATCGGTAAGTATTTTCAATAAAAGAAAAAAAACAATTATTTTTAATTAATAAGGTTTATTTTTTTCTTTCTATGGATAGAACTACATTTAGTAGTAATCAAGTTGATGAATTAGAAAAAGCATTTAAAGATGTTCATTATCCTGATATATTTGCACGAGAATTACTTGCTGTTAAAACTGATCTTCCCGAAGATAGAATACAGGTTTGTAATGACAAAGTTTTTAATTGTTTGATTAATTCTCTAGTTACTGAGCCATCATTATCGCACAATGTGCGTATGTTTCTATTCTAACACGCACACCAGTCTTGTACATGTTTCTCGATATTTATTATTCTACATCGACAGCATAAATAATCGCTCAGCGTGATGTCTTTAACCTTGTTCTAATGAGCATTTTTTTTTATATCGGTTGGTAGAAAAACTGCAATAACATATGTGTTCGATTGAATCATTTTATGACTATCAATGCGAGCGTATTAGATTTAGTCTGTTTACTAATTGACATAATTTTTTCTACGAGTTGACTTGTTTTCGAAGCTGTTCATTTAATAAATTCTTCGTGTTATAGGTCTGGTTTCAAAATCGTCGAGCTAAAGTAAGTTTTCTAGATTTTATCTTTTTTTTCTAGTTGTCAAAAAAAATTGAATTGTTTATTTTTTAAGTGGCGCAAAACAGAAAAAACATGGGGAAAAGCTACAGTCATGGCTGAATATGGACTTTACGGAGCTATGGTTCGCCATTCACTTCCGCTACCAGATACAATAGTTAAAACAGCTAAAGATGGCATTGATACGTCATGTGCACCATGGCTTCTTGGTATGCATAGAAAATCCTTAGAAGCAGCTGAACAATTGAAAAACATGGTTAAATATAACGGTGGACAAGACGACGACGACGACGACGACGACGACGATGATGATGATGATGATGATGGCTGCAGCAGTACACATTCGAGAAAATCATCAATGCATATAACAGAAACAATTAAAAGTGAAAGTATTGCTGCACTTCGTGCTAAAGCTCAAGAACATAATGCGAAGACAACGATAATAAATAGTTGTTAATAATCAATATGAGTTTTCATTTTTTGTTGTTGTTGTTAAATATATATTGGTTTTTGAGAATAAACAAGGAAAAATAAATTCAAACCGTTTGATTATCGAGCTGTTTTGAAATACTTCATTGTGATCAGGTATTTTTCTTCCATAAAAGTGAAAAATCTCCGGAAAAAATCAAGAGCTTCAGGATGTCATTCTTAAAAATGACACAAGAAATTGGATATTTGTAAATTTTAATAAAATGTATGGCAGACAAAAAATTTAGTTAATAATTAAGCTCTACAAGTGTCTATTATAAGCAATAATAATTTTATTTGAAATTTTTAAACTTGCTTTTGCTTTGTCCATCAAGAAAACTGTAAAGAATCGAAACAAGAACTACGAATAGCATGAAATATTTTATCTACTGTCGCACGCATATTTGATAATCGCTCATCACATTATAATAAAGTCTGTAATAACAATGGTACAGTTTTGTGGAAGAGAATTTTATCGTGTCTCAAACTTACCCTTTTCACATCCTACGATACTTGATATAGTAGTATGTCGTCGCGAGCAAATCTCTCATAGGCAGAGGCAAAAATATAAAGATATGATTTTTATTCCAAAGAGCAATATATTAATTTTAAATGATCTCTAGAAAAATGTGTTTGTGCACATAGATGAGGACTATAAGAAGAACCTTTTTTTTTAATATAAACTCACAAGTATGCCATTCATTTTGATCTTTTTAATTATCTCATCATCATTTGAAAAAAATCAGAATTTGTTGTACAATTCTACTTATGAGATTTGGATTATTAAAGAAATTTTCAAACGATGTAAATAAGTTGTTGTGTATCTGCAATATATCAATCACCATGTATAGTGTGAAAACAAAGTTAGACGTAATTCAGTGATTTTTAATGACATTGCTCGATAATAATCTGTCTTTTCTATAAAACGACTAAAGATATTCCATATTTATCCGTACTCTTTCTCTTTCAGAAGCTCCTAATTATACGTGACAAAACTCTATGTACAATGCACCTTCTTAAATCTATAAGAAAAATTTTAGTTCAATCCAAAAGTGTAGCTATCTAGAATTTGATTAGAATTTACTCTAAAACTTTCGTTCGTTGTAAAAATTCAAGAAATCTATAGCATAGATTTTATCTTCAATTATTGGTTTACATGGCATCCTTCAGATAATTATGTACCTGCTAATGAAATGATTGCAGCATTGCCAATATTATTTCAATATGCAAAAAAACTGTGTGATTGAAACAGACGTGCAATATTTCTGTTAAACATAAACCTTAAAAATGACGATATTCTACTCCAATTATGTTTCACTAAAGTCAGTTTTTTAAAAGCTAAAAAAATATATCTATGAAATCAATTAAGTACTATAGACAATATTCGAAATTTTATTTTCATTAACATCTTATCGTAGAAATATTATTGTCTTAGAAAATTCTACACATCAGGTTTTTTGAAAGAAAAGTCCTTGATGTTAGAGTATCACTCAGTTATACGAATGAACAATTTCTAATAAATTTTAACATATCATAGAATTGAATTTTGGTTGTTTTTCAAGAAAATCAATTTTAAATGATTAATGGTGACTATATATTATCTATTGGACATATAATAAAAATCCAGTCATAGTACATAACAGAATTTTAAATCAAACTACAAGACCTTCATAGATATTTCCATAAAGTAATTGAACTTCAATTTCTGTGCGATAGCTCGTTCTGAATGCCGTTTCAACTGTCAAAATACCTATGCGCAACTTATAATTGATAGATAAGAGAAAATTTTGCAATGCCAATGCTTAATTGATTTGATTTAGAAAATAAATGATTTTATGATTTCGATGGTGTTCATCACTAACTAGAAGATCAAGTAAAGTATTCATAGCATTTAGAAGCATGCGTAGTATTTAAGCATAGAGATGAACTAAGTCCACCGAAGTTAATAGTATAAGCTACAAATGTACATCCATCTTGTATGATTCAACAAATGATTCGAATTATTTCTTGCATTATTTAACAAGTATTAGAATTATTTGACTTTACTAAAATCGTAATGTTGATGAGGATAACATTTTTATGTGTACTCAAATAAATTACTGAAATGATTGCTAAGTTTCACCGCATCGACATGTTTTATGTCACTCTATTTTGAAGCTCATATACAGTAGAAATTATGTTGAGCAGGCACGAGTGACTTTTAGTCTAATAGGTACCAATAAAAATTAGTCTGACTTCGAGATTTAATTTCTACGAATAATAATGTAATTATCCAATAACGTCATGGTGTATTCATTTTGAATTTGCCTTGAAGTATGTTTATAAGCGTTACAAAATTAGAAATTTTGAACCGTGAATATAAATAATATTCAGATTAACATAAACTATATCTCGACCTCAAAAGATCATAGAGTAATATAATATATTGTCTATCAGATCAATTACTATGTAAAAAAATATTGGCGAAACTATTATGCAAACAGTGGAATTTTGATTTCGGTCAAATTAATTTTATTTCCTATATTATAATTTGTATCCATCGTATTAAAACTTGAGAAAGATTTAAATAATTGACGAATAATAAGCTGAAGTAAATATCAAGAACTTGATGATTTAAATCGAATAATTACAATAGCGAAAAATAATTCTTAACCATCCTTATCTGATCCATCAGCAGCATTTTTATTTTTATTTCGACCATCATAGTTAGCATATCGTCTTAGTATATGTTATTTAAATTAATCTTTAGCAAATTAATCATTACATGTATGCTGTTTATCACTTACGGCAGATGTATACAGTTGACATTAAAAATTAAAAATAATCTGTTAATATTCCATGTTTTTATTTTATTTTAAATTATTATTATTATTATTTAAAGCAATAGAATATTTGAGGAAAATTATCAAAAACTAACAAAATTTATGAATGAAAAATAGTTGATACATGATTTGTTGTCAAACAAAGACACGACTCCATTACGTGTACGTCAACATTTTTACTAGATTCAGATTTGCTTAGCTATCTATTCGTCTGTTCATCTACGTATTTTGTGAAACACGATCACAAGAAATATAGAATTGGATAGGATAGAAAAACATTTTGAATCTAGTTAGCTTCAGGTTTATTTTAATATTCTGTTTTACGTTTTAACATATTTGATAAATAATCAATCGAAATATTATATTTTTGAGTCAATTTACATTGTGATAAACCATTAATCTTGTTACTATCGAAAAATGATTGTACGTATTATTGCAAAGTCTCCTCGTGCCATGATATCATTTTTTAATTCGCACCTACAGTAGTCGAATCATACAAAAAATGTACTTAATAGTATTATATAAGAAGAAAAAGACAGAATAGTAAGAGGTCACAAAATATGTTCATAATGTTGAGATTATATAAGTCAAAGGGACTAAAAAAGAAACTTTCACTTTTCAGAATAAGGAGGTGTTCATTAGCAGGGGTTTTACTAGATCATTCGAGTTTAAATTTTGTTCTTGCGGCTTAGTTCTATCAAGAATGATTATTTTATTTTGACTCTTTTCTAAATATAATTTTTATTCTATAAATATTTAACGTCATGAAATAATTCGCCAAAAAATTGTCTTGCAAGATGACGATCAGTTTTGTTGGCTAAAAACATTAGCTGTATTCAATGTAATAGATAAGAAAAAATAAACAGCTCGAATTTATTATAGTCAGGAAGACCTGAATTAATTATATTCGATAAATTTTCTTTTGTGCTAAGTAAAAACAGCGAGATGTGAAAATATTTTTCTGATTTTTAGTAACGTCATTTGGCTAGACTCTTTTTTATCGTCAGTTTTCAAGCAAAATTGTACGCTTTGATAAAGTTGACTTTGAAAAAGAAAACGGTTATTTCAACATTGTACGTGCACCATTCTCTTTTGTGTAATGATGAATTAATGTCGAACATTTCACCACTATTTTTACCTTTTTTTGTACTATTATTAGAGATTGAAATAAGATTTGAAAAAACCAACGTACAGAAATGCTTTGATCAATTCTAATTATAGTTTTTTCCCGAAGAAACAACGGAAATCACGTTTTTAAATAAATTACCCACACAGCAAAAGCGACGAATACAATATAATCGGTTGCTCAAGAGATTCCCTGTAGAGGGCTCTTTTGATCCTTGATCGAAGCGTATGAGTAAATTTAGAAAATGAAAAAAATCAGTAGACATTGGTTTTTTCTTAAATTTAGTAACATTTCCGAGAGAATATAAATTTAAGAAGAACCAATTAATTCAATAAGACTTGCAGTAGTCATCATGTTTCTATATATTTTAATCGAGTTCGACAACATACAGACATCTATTTTTAAAACATAAAATAACAACTTAGTAGGATCTCATGCACTGTTCAAGTACATAAAGAGTATCAATTGTGTGAGTATAATATGCTGAGAAGGCTTCTTCTATGCCGATAGTCTACTTCATCTTATGTAATATGAAGTTTCATTTATATTTATATTCATAAATCTTATGTTATGATTAATGATGATAATAAATCTGAACATTTTATTTTGATAACAAACATTTTTCTCAAATTCAATGATTAATAACACTTTAATTCAAATTTAATTTAATGGTGATTTTTCAAATTAAGATCATTTTTGTTGATCAATGATGTTTCGTACGGAATCTACTATTTTAGATCAATAGATGATTTCATTTTGATAAATTTGGCATGGTATTGAACATGAATGACAATTAATCTAGAGAAAAAACTATCAGTGTATTATACACGATCACACTGTCCGAATAGATACAATAGTTTTATCGGTCTCTTTTTTCACTAACTATACGCCTTTCATCATAACTTTTACTGATTATAAATCACAGTGGAGCTAAAATATCCGCCATAATTATGACTACTATTCAATAGCGTGTGACAGATAATTAATGTAATAATAAGAAAATCTATTTTACAAAATCATTGTTGTCTATACAAAGTTTTCTCTTTCTATTATAAATGTTGTCTTTTTTTCTTGTACTACAATTCATTCAAGATCTTTGCCTATCCACTTAACATGATAATACTTAACTTACATAAATTCTTCTTTCAAAAAGTAACTAAAATAATTCGAAACAAACGATCAAAAGTAACTACTATTCGATTCATTCTTGTCAATAATACTCTTATAATACACGCAATATAGGCATAAATCAATGACGAATTTAATGTTCTTCTATACACGTATGGCTCCAGTCCATAGTCTATATATTAACTGAAAATTGTAGGTCGTGTACAGCTAAGGAAAGTTTATCCAAGAACATCATTACGCAAAATAACAACAATACATAGATAATAAACAAGCACATGACTTCTGTGCGTTTCTACGTTCTATTTTATGCCTTTTTTTGTTGTGAAACTTTTACTGTTTGATTCACATTCTACATTGATTTATTATTGTCACTGCTCAACAACTACGTACAGAAAGAAAAAGAATATTGCACTTGATGTGTTTGCATTACTTCTTCGAGAAAAAGAAACGAAAACTGTTCTTTTTTCTTCTCTTTCCTTTTTTTTCTTTGAGATTTTAACCATCTTCTCAATTTTTAATTGACTCTATGACAAAAAAAAATCGAAAAAGGGTCTGCTAGAAGGATATCAACATTTACGTATATTACAGAAGGTTATTCGATACTCACTATTGTCGTATTCATCTAACCTTACACAGCAGAAGTAAACTATACCATATACCAGTATTAGTTTTATATAAGACCTGAACCACTGAACAAAAAGCAAAACAATACAAGTGAATTGAAGCCAAAAATGATTACTCACAATATTGAAATAAAGGTATTATAGATGTGAAACGGGGAAAAGAAACTTTTTTTTTCGTTTTTTTTTGTTATAAAACAGTTCATAAGCAAGTCAAAGAATTCAAAGAAAAGTAAGTTAACTTGTAAAATGGGTAGACGAAGAAAAAACTTCGAGTACTTTTTCTAAGCAATAAAAACATGAAATAAGTAAGCATTTTCGTTGATTTTTCGTACGTTGAATGAAAAACTATTGAGTTTTTATTTTTGTCGTCAACAGAAACTATAACTCACAGGAAAGAACGATTTTGCTTGGTTTTATTTTTCATTGCATTTACAAATATATTAATTATCTTTATGTAATAACATCTGAGAAAAAAATATTCATTCTTTTAATATTAAAACCATTTTTATTTGAAGTGGTAGAAAAGACAAACATTGAATACACATGCCATGAGGTCTACTTATGCGCTTATTTTCATGATTGAATGCATTTTATTTGTTTATTTAGGGTACTGTTTCGCTAGTGGACAAACTCTAGTTTAAACTAAAGTCTAATGGCTGGTCGAGACGATCAGCATTATCATCAGAAAATTCATTATGCTTCAATTTTACCGACAGCTTCTAATTCTCACACTCACAAAGAATCACATCTACTGACTCACAAACCTACAACGCAGCAAGACAGATCCAAAGCAGTATGACAGTTATTCAATATACGAATGAGATAAATATGAATATTTTTTTTTCTTCATTTAGCTTTATCTCGATTTTGAAAGTGCATTTCAAGATGACACAACAAATCAAGATTATTTTGGTTTGCAATTTCCTGAACATTCTCATCAAAATACTCATCAGTTAGCTAATTTTCATCTTCAATCAGTTGAAACAATTTCTGAAGTTAAAAATTCAAATTTTTCACCTTACGTTCGTTATCATGCCTCACGTGAAACTAGTCATTCGTCAACACCATCGGATACACCGCCACCTTTTCCATTACGACATAATCAACGTTCGAGTCCTTTTGGAGCGATGCCATCATCTCATTCTCATCATGTAACTTTTGCAAATGACCATAGAAATCTTAATCGAAATTTTTCGAATTTAAAAATGATTTCCTCAAACGATAACAAAGATATACCAATACCATTTACTCCTGATGCTATTCTACTTAAAACAAAACAACAGCCACAACAACAACAACAACAACTACTACAAGAAACCACTGCTAATTCCTCTTCACAATCAAAATTAATATTACCGCAATATTTTTTTGTCAAATATTTAGGTCGAGTACAGTGTGCTCAACTGTGGGGTGCTAAAGCAGTGCGTGCTCCTATCGATGATATGGTGCGAAGTGCTCGACAATTTTCATCTATGAGTGAAATTCCTACATTAGAAGCGTGTGTTAATACACGTGGCCTTACATTAACCCATCAAAATTTGGCAACACAAAATAAACAAAATCATTCGCGTAATCCTAGTCCCGAAAGACACCAGCACGGTCTTATTCCTCTTGAAAATATATCTTATGCTATGCACGATATCAAATATTCTAAAATAGCATCTTGTATTGTACTACGTCAAGCGAAATCATCATCTCCTATTCAAAAGAATACAACCGAAACATTGACTGAATGTTATACTTTCTTATTTCAATCAAAAGAACATGCACATAGATTTGCTCTTGCTCTTGCAGAAGCATTCAATACACAAAAACAACCAGTAAGAACTTCAAGGCAAAATAATGACGAACAAAAAGATGGACGTTCGCCTCAACGTCATTCACGACATCGCAGTGCTCATCGTCATGATAGAATACGCACTGCTGGCAAATATGATCGTCAATATTTAGGAGATACAGAAGTGTGATAAAAAAAATATGGCTTTTTTTTAATTTTAAATTAGTCTTTCATTTACCAGTGATGTCAGAACAATCATGCAGGTCATGAGGAAGAAAGAAAAAAAACAAAGATTTCAAAATAATTTATTATTATTATTTTGTTTTATTTTAAAATTAAACAGTGAATTTTTTTATATATCAGCTTTGCTTGGTTTTAGCAAATATTTTTCATTACGAAGTCTTTTTCATGTCAATAAAGGTATACGAAATTTAAGAGTATTCTAATTAATATTAACAATTAAGATGTATAAATTTATTTAAAATGAAAATAAAGTACAAGAACTTGAAGAAACACTTGAAATTTACATCGTGATGAAAAGAAGAAAAAAATAGGGTTCTAGTGCATTCAAAAGAATATGGCTTCTTTTTTCTCTCCTCGAAATAATTTATTGGTTCCTTTTTAGTAAATATGTCATGTTTCTGACGCGTGTCTCCTTATTGACACTATTTTATTCTTTAAATACTCATAAACTATGATACCTTATACATTCTGTGTTTAGTTTTATATTACACGCATAATTTCGTCAATCTAATGTTCATCTCTGACATATATTTAAATCTTAATTTAAACGAAAGATGAGCTAAAACGATGCTAAAATTTGTTGTAGTTAGATAAAATTATTCGAGATTTAAATAGTTTCTTCAAAATGTTTTTATTACTTATTGGTTTCTAACCAAGAATGATAGGGACAAACAAAATCGATGGAATAGACGTGTTTTATCAGATAATTTTATTATTTCCAGCCTTATAAGACATAGAGACAAATATTAGAAAGCTCGATACTTCTTGCTGGATAAAATCCATAGGCTCCTGTGTAGTAATAAAAACAAAATATTTCAAGATTTATTATTATAATATTCAATGAAAATCGATGAATTATACAAAGATCATGTGAATTCTTTTTGACGAGTTATAAATATGCTTCATTTCTTTTTCGTTGTGTAATGTTTGCTTCAGTAATTTACTGTGTATAAATCGAGCATATAGTGATGAAGCCACGAGGTAGGTAAGTTTGTTTGAGGCCAAAATTATTCAGTCTAATTGACTTGTCAAGGAAAATGTCAGATCAAGTAGAGTGCAAATAAAGAAGAATATTTTTAAAAATTTATTAGTACTTAGAAGTATGGTTGACAGAGGAGCTAGAAATCGTAGAAGAGATTGAGTTTCTTTCACGAAACATTGAGTCTTCTTTCTGAGATACAAAAATTTCAGGATAATGATCGACGTATATATATATTTCTTTCTTTTCTAGCATTGACAGATGATGAAGTCACTTTCTCTCCAAAATTGTTCCTGATTCGCAATGCCTGAAGTATTCTTTCTTTTTTTTGTAGGTATTACGCAGTCAGTAGAATATGTTGAATTTTCTATATTAATGTCTTTGATTTTATTCTTAATTTGCTTTTACTTTTTGAATTTTCATGCAAAAAGAAACAATAAATTCAGACATATTTTTATTTTTTTTTGTAATCTTAACATCTTTGAGTTCTTTGGAATATTTATGTGTATGTGTGTTCATTTTGAAAATAAATTTCAAGCTAGTAACAATAATTATCATTGGATATTAATAATATCTATATTTATACAAAAGATGTGAGGAATCTTTATCAACGAAGAGTTCTCTTCTAATATAATTTTATACAATTATCAGTTAAAAATCAACTATTCAGTTTAGTAGAGAGTTTTTCTTAGTTCAACTTTTCTATTGTCAATGAAAATGATTGACTAGAAAATGTTTCTTTTAGGTTCTTACCAATATAGATGACAAGTGGGAACAAAGAACCATGTAAAGTAGCATTAGATAATTATTACTTGATTACTTTGATAGAAAAGAATTGCATCTTGTGTAATTGTTTATCAGCATGTTTTTCCTTTCACTATGTACATTAAATCGAGATATATACCCGTCGTTCAGAAATTAGCAATTCAAGTAATTCAAGAAAGTCAAGTTAGATTCATTTTTTCGAGTACCCACATCGGAATTGTATATGTCGTTGTAATCCCGTTAGTAGTGGGATTGTGTGTGACTATGTTTAAAGACATATCATTACCGAATGCCTTGAATCTTCACAAGATTTTACCTCATTAGTATTGAAAGTGCAATGGCGCAATGACAATTAGTGCTGTTTTAATTAGCGAGAATTATAAATGAATGATTCTAGATTAGATAAAAAAATATTTCGTCGCGATAGACTTATTATTAGATTTCATTATAAATCAATAAATTTACAGAAAAAAATCTGATAAATATTCTTTCCTTTTGGAATATGAAATTTCCAAACCTTGAATTGTATTCTTTTCCAATGAATAGCTTATTAGTGTGATATACTCAGTTAGAATTTAATCATAAACCATTGAAGATCTTAACTGTAACTCATATAATTTTATGATTTAAGCAAATCATAAATCCAATCTTCTTTGATATTGATTACAAAAAACCAATAGAACTATGATCATGTGTGAAAACAAAAAGAAATCAGATGTTCTTATTCGAATGTCTTAGTATTAGAAAACTTATTCAGCATTGTTCTGTGTGTTGTGGCTTTCTTGCTTTTTGTTTTATCACTTATTTGACTGGCTTTAGCGTGTGTATGTAAAGACATAAATTGCAGCTAGGCTGAATGTTAGTAATGTTAGTCTAATAAGAGGGGGAGAATATTAGAGAAAGAGAGAGAAATAGGAAAAGACAATTGTTCAAGGCACAAAGCAAAGAGTGAATCTTGTCTTCCGATCAATTGTTCCAAAGTATCTACTCATCTTTTCTCGTCGCTCTCGTCAATTTGGTTGTCGTCATTCGTAGACACTCATAAAGACAGTGAAAAAAAGAGGGAAAGAAAAGAAGGATGATCAAAAAAGACCAAGCGTGAGATAAAAAAAAATGCAATTTTCCTTATGTGTATTAGCATTAGACAAGAGAGAGGGTGATTCGATCGTGAATTCACATCTCATCGTGTTGCGCGCGATCGAAATGGAACGCATGTGTGCGCACAAAAAGGAATACTAATAAAATATTTTTGTGTCTTTTCCGTTCTTTCTAGTTCCTTCTCTTCGAATCTGATGATAGATGCATCTATTTGCTTCGTGTGTGGTGTATTAGCTCAAGGACTAGGAATGTTAGTAAAGAAACGAACGACTTCAAATGCGAAGCGGTCTAATGTGTGTTGTGTATGCTCTGCAGTCATAAATAATAATTTGAACACAAAAAGAAGAAAAAGAGAATGAGAGAGAGAGAGAGAGAGAGAGAAAAAGAAAGAGATGTTGCGTGCTAAGTTATCTACTCAGAATCTAACAGCAAAATTGAACAACAATAGTAGTCTTTCTCTAAATGCTTCGACTTTGTTTTATGCATTAGGTATATATGAGTGTGTGTTTGCATTTTAGATGATTTGACACATCATCAACATCATCATCATTTCTATCACCCTTGTGTCTCGTTACACTTAGTTCATTGGCACTTTTTATTTTTTATTGTATTCGCTAGTCGATTTTAACACAGGGCCCTATCGCGGTTGCGCAGTGACGGCGCATGGATGGGTAATCTTCATCATAAGGCACTGATGATCTCTGCTTCGGTCAGTGCCTATACTGCGCCTGCACTTATGACCGTTTGTTTACTTACTGATTATTGGATATATGGAAAACAAACAAGATTAGCACAAACTCCAATAGTAAAAGCAGGAGATTTACGAATTTTAAATTTTACTCATCATCGCATTGGACTATGGAGAGAATGTATGAGAGAAGCAATAGATATTCCATATACATGTGAGATTGTTAAATATTCGAAAACAGAAGCAAAATTAGAAAAAGGTTTCAAAGCTGTAGCATGTAAGATTTCAAATTCTATTTTTACCAATTTTGTTCTTTGTTTTAATTTAATTGAATTGTAAGTTATCGGTTTTTTTTGCTCTAAATTAGACCGATCAGCCCCAAGTATGGCTTGTTTTACAGCTGCATCTGCTCTTTTAATAGTGGCTATTTTTCTATTTACACGTGGTCTATGTAAACGACGTCGAAAGGCTGTCTTTTTCATCTCAGGACTTCTATTTTCTATCTCAGGTAATATTCAAAATCTGGAATGCTTTTCAAGTTTTCTGTTTTTGTTTTTATTGTTCTATTTAAATAAATAGGTTTACTAACAATGGTTGGTGTTACCTTATACGTTTCAATTACAACTGAAGAATCGGTTAAAATTGATCAAGATTTTCCGGTGATGAAATGTTCCTATGGATTCTCATTTCTGTGTGCCGTTTTATCATTTATCTTACAAGAATTAACTGGTGTTTTAACTGTGTATTGGTTCATATATCGTTTTCGTGCATTAGTACGTAAACAAGAAAAATTACGTGAACGTACCCGTCAACTGATGGGTAATTGTTTATCAATGACAACTGCTTTACCACTAAATCTTGTTGCATCGTCTCAAATGAACGATAATTCAAAATCCATATCAAATCGTTCAAATCAAAATCATGTACGCTATCAAAATGCATCGAATGATATCACAAATCCTATACTATATAAGCAACAGTCAACACAACAACAACAGCAGCAGCAGCAGCAGCAGCAGCAACAACAACAACAGCTACAACAACAACAACAACAGCAACAACAACAGCCGAGAAGACGTTTACCATTTGATACATCCTATTCACCACCACCAATACAACGAATCGATAAGGCACCTTATCCATCATATTCACCAGTACAATCACCAACACTTACTTATGGAGATTATTGTCGTGTTTTAATTCGTGCTGAAGATATGGATTTACTTACACAAATGGTTAAATCCAAATCGCAAGCACAATTATTAGCAAATTCAAGACCAGCAACACCAGCACCCGCAATTAATACAAAAATTTCAGTAAATTCACACGTATCCCGACACAATAATGATAATGCAACACGACGCAATACAAGAAAAGGCGTTAAACGAACTACATCTGTTTGATTTTATCTTTTTGTCTTTCTTTTAGCAAGATTCTCTTTTTTTCTTCTTTATTAGTTGTTATTCTCTATTCCGTGACTACTATTTAATTTTCAATCAAAAAAAAGCATTTACACATGAAAATCCATGTGCCTTTGATCTTCAGAATAGTTTTACTTCAAGATTTTTCAAAAAAAATTTCTGTCTCGATTATTTTAAGCACAATGGATTACACCTGTTTAGAGTTTATTCACCAATATATACTTCAAGATTTGAGTAAATATTCTATTATTCCGCTGTCAATATGCTGCCTGTCGTCGTGCCATGTGGTGACTCTATTTTATTCGTGAATCAACAGACTCGTTTTCTTCATTTTATTATTTGCTTCAACGATATGCTGTTGTTGAGTTTGCTAAAGATGCACATGCTCTGTGGTTGGCATGACTCTGAATTACACAAAGACACATCAACACGTCCTTCTACTTTCATTCTCTTATTTTTTTTACATTTGGCATCGCCGATCACAAACATACACACATACTTGAGTAGTTGAAGTAGAAGCAGAAAAAAAAGAAACTTTTCGGATTAATATAGATGCAGAGAGAATAACATCGTAAAAAAAAACATAAAAAGGTAACGACAACGAAAACATTTATTAAGTCATATTGGCAAAAAAAAAGAAATAGAGAAATATGAATTTTGAATTAGCTTGTCTGATTTCTACACAATGAATTTATTTGTTTTCTTCGTTTTTAGATATTTTCTTTTAATATTATGGCGTACTCAAATATAAGTTCACATCCACGAACAACATATTCAGGTGTTTCTCAAGATAGTATTCCATATAAAAAGCCAACATATTCATTACAACAACCAACATATTCACATGCCGAAGAACGCCATATTTATGAAGAACAACCACACTATTCCAACGAACAAAGTATCGCTATAAATAATCGACCAGGTGGACAGGTTTGTGATAATTTTTATTTTTACTTTTTCTACGGAAATAGAAATCTCAGCGATGAGATAAATAAAATGGTTGCATTAATTTTCACATATTTGAAAATATTGCCTATGAATAAGTCATTTGAAATTCTAATTATTTAAAATAATTATAATATTAATTTTTGTCGAAGGTTCAATACCACGTCAAAGTGAACGTAGGTATCAAAAGAATAAATAAATAAAACATAAAGTTCTAATATTATCATTCATCGATATTTTGTGTGTGCTCGCATTTGCCGTAAAAAGAAGCTTTGGGGCATAGCTTTCAATCATATTCATTTTTTTTATTTTCTAGGAAGAAAATATATCTGAATTGACTGCAAATAGTTGCTTCTTTTATTATTTAGCTTTTTCATGTAATTACTGGGTACTTAATTCAGGTTTTATCGATAATATTTTTGTTTTAAATATTATTCTAAAAGAACAGCGTTAAACCCACTGATCGACTGCTATCCAATATTGGCATACAAATACACATGTGCCTAGATTTCTCTTCGCAATAAAATGGAAAAATAAAACCGCAAAACAGAATTCGTATACACCTTTTATTTCATGCATTTCCCTTTCTCTCTCTCTCTCTTTCTCTTTCAATATTTGACACTGAGACAACATAGAAGAATAAATATACAGTCCTCAATTCGAACACGCCTTTATAATATTCATCATCATATGGGTATTTGCTATCACTCAAATTTCTCCTACTGATAAGATCTGGATGTCCACTCTTCTTCTTTTTTGTTTTTGTTAAACAATGCTTCATGCATAAATCTACTCTTACATAAAGTAGATTTTTCCGTTTATTTTTCTTTATTTTATACTTCGAACAATCAATAAAGAAAAGAGTTGCTTAAACTTCTTCCTATTGCACATCTACACAAAGACTTGATGTGTATACGTATGTTATTCTTATCGCTTTCGTACAGCTTCAACCTACTGGTGGTGATACATCTGCAATATAAAAGTATATACACATGAAAACGAAAAATTTTTTCAAGTGTCTGCAACTATATGCCCAAACGATAAAGAGAAATTACTATTGACCATTTTCTTTCTTTCTTCCTTTCTTTCTATCTTAGAAGTAAGAGTTCGTTATGTCAAACATTGCATGGGTGTGTGAGGTAGATGTAATATCGTCACAAAGATTTAACATGTCCTTTATGCTTCTGTTCATTTTTGTCATTCTCTTCTAGGCTGCATGCTTATGTGTCCTGTTTGCACATAACTTCTCTCTCTCTCTCCTTCTTGGCCTCTACCTAAGCATATTCTTCGCTTATAAATTTCTCTCTTTCTCTTAGCAAGTTTCTCTCGTTTGCTTGTCCGTTCAACACTACTTTGAAAAAAGAAATACGGACTAAGAAAGAAAAATAAAAAGAGAATAAGAAGAACATATAGATCAATATCTCTCTTTCTCCGAAACAAGAATTATTGATAGAGTCATCGTGTTCATGAGAGAGATGTGCTTGTTATCACGATTATGATCATCAATATTGCACTTTTGCTTTTGATTTAAATTAATTGTATAGCAAGAAAAAGAGAAATGGAAGTCGAACTAGTACATGTGAGTGTTAATAATATCAATCGATCTAGATAACGAATTTTTACATTTCTTCATAGTAAAATAAAACATCTTTAAATATATTTTTAGGTAACATATAATAATGGTGATGGTGACTTTAATCGATCAATGCATACAAATACAAAAATTAGTAATGGTAATTCACCATATCAATTTGATTCACTTGCTGGGGATCGAGAACAATTTTCATGTAGCAATTGTAATCGAAGTTTATCTGGTTCACGATACATACTCAAAGATGAGCATCCATATTGTATTAAATGCTATGAAGATCGTTTTGCTAATGCATGTGAAGAATGCCGAAGAAAAATTGGAACCGATTCAAAAGTGAGTGAAAAAAAAGAAAGCCTAAAAAATAACAGATCGTTTCTCTTTTTCTTTTCACGAAGGATCTTTCCTATAAAGATCGTCATTGGCACGAAAAATGTTTTTTTTGTTCAATGTGTAAAACACCACTTGTTGATAAACCATTTGCTTCTACAAATGAAAAACTTTATTGTGGAGAATGTTATAATCAACAATTTGCTTCACGTTGTGATAAATGTCATCAAATCTTTAAACCAGGTTAGAAAAAAAACCTATCTTAATTATTTTATTAAATCAATATCAAAACAAAATAAATATATTTTAAGGATCTAAAAAACTTGAATATCATGGGCAACAATTTCATGAACATTGTTTTACTTGCTATTCATGTTCACAACCGATTGGTACAAAAAGTTTTATTCCAAAAGACCAAAAAAGTTATTGTGTTCCATGTTATGAGCAACATTTCGCGACAAAATGTGTTCGCTGTCTAAAGGTATAGGGTTTTGTTCAGAAAGGACGTTGCAACTAGAACGGAGAGTTTACAAAAGAAAAGAAGCATACTGTTTTCAGATAGAAGTATTATCAAAATACAAGAAGTTCAGATTTAGAAATATGTTCGTCAGTTTATCCGATCGTTACAATAGTCAAACCAACATTTTTGTCTTTGAGTTTTCTATCATTTTGTCGATCTTTACGATCGGAAGTAGCATTCTTCCGACGGAAGTTTAAGGATTAAGATATTGAAAACATTAAATTGGGCTATTTCTATTCATACACTAATGATTGTTTCATTCAAAATATTACAAAAAAATTATAACGAATGAAAAATGCACTGTTTTTGTACGAACAAAGACTCAATCAAATGTACGTTGGAATATCTCTGGATCTCTTCTATCGATTGCAATAGTTTTGCTTGTCCCAAAATATGATGGGGTTTTCTAGTGAGATTTCATGAAATTATCAATGTCTAATTATATCTCTTTTTAAGAGACTCACATAGGACTTCATATTTTTAGAGGAAACATCTTTTTAGATTTTCGTCTGAAAACTACCTCCAATTAAGACTACAAATTTGTTGGATGATAAAAAAAAGTTTCAGACTCCGAAACGTCCAAGATGAGAACTTTTGAAAATGCTTTTTTTTTGAATAATTCTTGAAAAGATCGCTGCTTTTGAAGAAATTTATAGGTAGAAAATAGAAAATTCTGTGGTTGTTTGTACAATCCGATGTTTGCAAGAACATTTAGTGAAAATATTCTCTACTCTACATTAAAAATAGTACGGTGATCATTGAAGCTCAGAGTACTACACGAGTCTCTCCGAAATTGACATACCTAGAATTTAATAACTTTGCTAAATTCTAATAAGAAATCATTAAAAACTAAGTAAAACTGAATATTCTTTATGGACAATCGCTGTAGATCTCTCTCTCTCTACATATATGTATAATGTTTTCGTTCATTTTGATAGGTGATAAACCAAGGTGGTGTCACATATAAAAATCAACCATGGTATAATATTAATTGAAAATCTATTTTCTTATTTTAAACTTTTATTCTCTAAGGCATCGTGAATGTTTTACATGCACAAATTGTAAAAATTCTTTAGCTTCTCAACGTTTTACATCACGTAATGATCAACCTTATTGTGTTGATTGTTTTGCTCGATTGTTTGCTAAAAAATGTTTTGCATGTAGTAAACCAATAACTGGTAAGCAAACATTAAATTAATTAAATTAAGAATGAAAATATGACTTTTGTTCTATTCAATAGGCGTTGGTGGTACACGTTATATATCATTTGAAGACCGTCATTGGCATAATGATTGTTTTGTTTGTCAACGTTGTCGAACGTCACTTGTTGGCCGAGGTTTTCTTACTGAAGGACCTGATATTCTTTGTCCTGATTGTGGTAAACGTGAACACTATCATGAGAGAGAAAATAATGATTATACTACTGACCATCGTACTGTTATCAGTTATCATCATAGAACAAATTGAAAAGAAAACTGAATTCCACTCTTTTTTTCAAATGTGTACTTTTGTGATGAGAAAGAAAATTGAGACATTTTTTCCCTGTTTCACTGATTGATATACTAATTTATAAGACTATTCCACTGAAGATTTTAAAACAAAAAAAAAAGAAAACTAACTATTAACTCTTTGATTCTTCCAATTTTCTTCTTTATTCTGATTGTCACTGCATTATGTTTAGTTTTTTTTCTCTTGCTTATACTTTTTTTTCTCTTAATTGGCTCTTCTTTTTCTTTCGATAATGAATAGACTAAGTAAAAATAAGACGTATGTGTGTGCGTATTATATAATTCAGAATGGCTCTCTATAGATACGTATTTCTATACATGCGACTCTTTGAATATTTTTTTTATGAGATGCTTGTTCAATAACTACGATTTGAATAATGATAAATATGACATCATTTTACAATTGAAAATAATCATAAAGAAAAACAAAGATTAAACTGTCTGAGTTTCGTACGTGCATTCAGAGTATGACAAAACAATTTATTCAATTATTGTTCAAGTAATTTAAAAGCAGCAGGAGCATTTTGATTTTTCTTCTTCTTTTCAGATCAAGCAATCAAAAGATATAAGAGCACGTATAAAAGAAAAAAATTATGAAATGCTAATGATGAATAAAATATATGATTCGAATGTTCTTGATCGCATTAATGACAGATTTGTATTTTGGTATGAAAATGATCCAATAAAATGCGTGTTGATTTTGATGTTTCAAAAATGTTAGATTCGATAGAACCGTACTAAAGTTTTATAAGACTAAATAGGTGTTTTGAAATTTTCATTCCACAAAAACAACAGCGGAGTAAGTGTAATCGATGCTTGTTGCGAACGGGGTTGGATTATACCTGCATGCACAGTCAATAGTTTAGTGTTTTTCAAAATTAAAATGAAATCTGACTCTTTAATCAAAATATTTTTGAATTGTAAAACCAATAAATTCTTTTGCATATGAGACAAATCTCGCAGCTTCGTTCTCGTCTTCTATATTTTATAGTATCCATATGGAGACACACAGATCATATCTTAGGAAGAAATATTCGTATATTGATAAAATTAAGACGGGATGTTGTGTTGAATCGAATTGTATTTCAAACAAGCCAATGGTTGTTAATCAGTTTCTTGTTATTTTTCGGTACAAGAGGGTCGGATATCATCAGAAAAATTCCTAAACATACAAGATCTAAAGGGAGACCGGAATTTCGGTCCACGGAATTTTCGGGCCGGTCCGAAAGTTCGAAAGGAATCTCGGCCCGGCCCGAAAATTCTCCGGACTTTCGGGTCAATTTTATACAAACTCATTAAACTCGGAGAAAAAGCGAATTTTTTTGAAAATTGGTTTCTAGATTTTTTTAGTACCGAGCGAAGCGTCGTAATGCTGAGGGAAGTGACGTAGTGCCGAGCGAAGCGTCGTAGTGCCGAGCGAAGCGTCGTAGTGCGAGCGAAGTAACATAGTGTTAAAAACAGCACTTCTATTATTATAGAACATAGTATGGCGTTTTAAGACACATATCGTTTATCCACAACAAGCACGAACGAATCTAGTGTAATCTCAATATTGGCTTAAGGATGCACATTTTTTAGTTTTATTTTAGATGTGGAATTCACTATTGCTGGTATATTTTTCGAAATTTGTTGAGATGTATATTAGGTATAAATTCGGTTTTTTTTATTTCAACTAGTTTTTCTTCTACGGAATGAAAAACGCCGCTTCGCTCGGCACTAAGCCGCTTCGCTCGGCACTACGACGCTTCGCTAGGCACTACGTCACTTCGCTCAGCACTACGACGCTTCGCTCAGCACTACGTCACTTCGCTCGGTACTAAAAAAATCTAGAAACCAATTTTAAAAAAAATTCGTTTTTTCTCCGAGTTTAATAAATTTGTATAAAATTGGTCCGAAAGTCCAGCCCGAAAATTCTGTGGGCCGAAATTCATGTAACCCGATCTAAATACCGTCGCGTCTAATTTTTATCAATTTTTTGAGCTTTTCTCTCAGATACAGTAAATTTTTACACGTTTTACAAATTGAACAACAAAATTTACTAGTTTAGAAAATCTAAACTTAATGATCTAGTTCAAAAATTCAATGACGTTTCTCCTATACGTAATTCATAAGTTTAGAACTAAAACCAAATTACAACCCGACTGGCTTTACTTATGTTGAAATCATAAAAAAAAAACTTCAAATTTCATAGACTTTTGTGAATTATTAAACTTTAACTATGTAATTAGCAAATATATATAGTATTAAGATGAAACTTGTTTGTATTTTCAGAAACAATAAATGATTATAACAGAACTTATGTAGCGTTTCTCAGAATAATCGATTATTGTAAAAATAAAGATTCTGATGTATTATTATTATTATTATTATCTGTTATCATTTGATAATGATAGAAAATGTAAGGGATATATATATATATATATATAGTTTTGAAACTATGTTTCGAGAATAATAGAAGAGAAAAATTTGCACGTTGTTGTTATTTTTCTAGCTGGTTCAAAAGCATCATAAGAAGAAAAAAAATCAACACAAAAAATAACAACAATAACATAAAATCTATTTCATGTTCATCTTGATTAAATAACGACATATATCATTCGATATTTTGGTTATTTATCATCTTTCTTCTTTTTAACTGGATCATTATCATCATCGGAATTTTTCTTTTGTTGTTGTTGAACTTGTTCAAGTGCTGCTCGTACAGCATCACTATCAACATCAACGCCAGGTAAATCTCGGAGAACATCTCGTAGAAATTGAGGATCATTAAGGGAAGCTGCGAATAAATCAATATTTTGTTGCTCTTCATTTTTCTTTTTATAGAAATGAAAATAAGAAAACCATATTGAAAAGTATTCAATGAAAAAATCTACTAACCTTTTCTGGTTGTTCACTATTGCCTGAAGCCAGAGCTTCTTCTTTCATTTCAACATCGTTTGTATCTTAATTAGATATGAGTATTAATCACATCATAAACAAAGACGTGACATCTGTACATACTCATATTTTCAGCTTGTGACATAGACATTTGAATAGCTAAAGCAATTTGCTCATCTTCTGTAAGCCGTGTTACATCCATTTCGTTTCCAGCTGTTAAATTTTCAAGAGAAGGACCTATCATCAAATAATAAATTAGAATAAAATTTAGCACTAAGTAAGCCTGAAGATGGACAATTATTACTGGAACAAATTGAACTATGCGCTCACCGACAAAGCTGGCTGAGTGGTCATAGTAAAATAATGTCACTCCGAAAAAATAAGAGACTCATTGATCGTAACAGTGTATGGGCCATATGTCTGGACTGATGCTCTAGACACAATATGACCTCATCTATTCCGGCTATTGACCGCAATGACATACATAATTTTATCCATTTCTCAGAAACGTTCTAACTGTCTGTAATGTATTGCCTTCTCTCTTTCCTTATTTACAGCTTGTCGTATATAGTAGAGAAATATATGAAATAGTAGATGTGGATGTGTTATGACTTGAGACTACCCTCTTTCTCCCTATTCTATCATGATATTATTGTACATTGTGCTTAACTACATTGATCATGTATTTCCTTGGTACTTATTTTTATTTTGTTATTTCACTTTTTCTTTTATCTTTGACGGCTTCATCTTTTTTTTTCCTTTATTTTTACTGCCTGATTGTATTACCCTCATCGCTTTTCCTTTCTAAAGTTTGTAAACGAATGAAAACTGTTATTAATGGTGTCCCTATAGGACCTAGGAAGGCCAAATGGTAATAAAAACGCAAACAAGTAATAAATAAGAATAAAATAAAACAAGTAGAAAAAAATAAATTATTTACCAGAACTTCTTGTGTTTGTTGGCAAAGTTTGTTGACCTCCTTCACCGTCTGTGCTTCGACCTATTTCAGCTTCTTGTACTCTTCGCTGTTCTTCCATTGAAATACGAAGTGCCTAAAATTCGATTTCAATGCAATATTCAATTCAGTATATGATGAAAATAATAACAAACCATAGCTAATTCAGGATCATCTTCAGGATTTATTCCAAAGGCAAAAGCACTAGCTGAATATCCATTTGGTAGACCAGAACCATCTTCACTTTGAATAATCGGTGTATTAATAAGTGTATCTGGTAGGTTAGCTCCTGATGGAACACATATCAAATGCGAGCTAGATTAATGTATAAAAATAAAAACAAACAATTGTTCAAGCATTATTATTCTTAGCTCTTGATTTTACTTTGAATTTTCTTTTCCATTAATTATTGTAATGAATTCTTCAAATTTTTCTTTGGATGACTAGATATAAAAATGATTCGTAACATTGATATTATTTAATTAGAATATTCTTACTTCATCACCAAATATGACAACGTCAATTGATACTTTTTCTTTTTTCAATCGTTTGGCTAATTTCGTAAATTCACTTGTGTCTACTTCAAGTGGACTACCAACAAAAGCAACAATACGGGGCCGATGATTTTTTCCTTGGCGATGTTTTAATGCTAACTATTAAAAAAGAGAATAATAACGTTATATTCTATTCTTTTAACATTTTTCGTGTTTTCTCAAGTGAATGTTGTTTCCAATTCACATGCAAAATTACGTTTTACGAGCTCATAGGAAGTACATACTTATGCATACGCTTGAGCAGAAACTAGTGGAATAGGATCTTAAAATTTTAGAAAAGTTTATGTTAGAATTTTGATAGGAAGTTTTAGGGTTTCCGTCAGTTACTATTGGATTTTTTGAATGTTGGTTATTCTGATGTTCAATCAACTACTGTATCATCAAAGTTTGATTCAAATAGGATTGTTGTTTTCATCTAATAATCACATTTGCATTGTCGTTCTATAGGAACAATCTTTTTTTTGCTTCTTTGCTTTAGGGAAAAACATAAAATTGACCATAGCAATTGGAAGCGCGATAGCTGATGATTTGATTTCTTGCTCATTTAAAGATCTAACTAGATTTTGTTTGAGCATCGAAACAGCATAACTTACATTAGCTACTTTAATTCCTTTACAAAAATCAAGTTTTCCTTCTATTGATAATAAATGTAATTTTGAAAAAACTTTGCCGACATCATTTGTCAATTGAGTTACAACTCGACCGCTAAAATGGTAAAAAAAAAGATATTTGTAGAAGCAAAATTTTTTTATTGAAAATGCTTTTACTCAGACAATGTTAATAATCCAACGTTATTTTCAGGATTAGATCTTGTCTTAGCATGGAATATTAGTGAAACAGCATCCTGTTGTACTTGCATTCGTGTTGGAATAAAATCACCATCACGCATAAAGTCACTATTATCAACACTAAATATATATATAATTAAGGAAATAAATAAAATACATATGCATATGTTTATCTCATAATTATCAAAAAATAGCATAATTATACTAACCAAATGATCGTACTTTCTAATGGCATAATTATATTTCTATAATTAGAAATCTGAAAAAGAAAGTTTTTAAATTTTTTTTTTGATCCTCACTTATTAGTTAAAACTAAAAACACAAAACAATGAGCGCGATAGATACACTGTTCTATACATAGACTCACACACTCAGGAGAAAAAAGCACACACCGGGCGTCATAAGTGAGAGAGCGAGAGACGCAAAATATTTATAAAACAGTGACATATTGCATGGACCAGCCAGTGAGCAGACATTTACGGAATGGAAGTAATTAATAGCACCCTAAATGAAAAACAACTAATTGAATAGTACCATTACGATGAACGCTGTTTTGGTAAAGCATTTTGACTTCCGATGCGTAATGCTCGAATCCAATCTTTACGTTCATCTTCTGATGATGCAGACATTCTATAAACTGTATGATGACCTAAAATAATTAAAAAAAAAAGATTCTATTCTATTCAAATAAATCATTTAATATTAACCTTCCGTAGCTTTTCCTGTTTCACCTGGTGTGGGTTTTGTTGTTTTAACTTTTTCTCCAGCAAGTGGGAAAAGTTCAAAACAAAATTGTTTCGTACGATCGTCGTCGATCTCACGAACGCCAACATCAACCAATGGTATTATACCACGAGGATTATCAACTTCCTATTTTAAATAAATTTAATTTCTATTCTATAAATAATTTTAAAATAATTTACTGTTCGAGATTCATAATAAAAAAGACAACCATCAGTAATAACAAACCATCGTCGTTTCCATTGTCGAACACGACCACCTAAATAATATATTTTAGTTTTTATCTATTAGTCACCATGTATTTCTGTTTACCTTGTTTCCATAACCATCCTTCTTTAAATATTGTAGAATCACTGTTAAATAAAATTAGAAATAGAGAATGCAAGTAACTCAATTGCTACTGATAGACAAATCAAGACCTCAACAATTCTTCTACTAGGCTGCAATCGCTGATGTTTTGTGCGAAATCTGCCATTCTCTGCTGACTCTATGATTTTTCTCTATTGACTACAATATTTTTTTTATTACTGATCATTGTACTTATTAGGTGTAGTTTCTTTTCTTTTCATCATATTTAATTGAACTTTTCTCATGGAATATTTATCTATACATGAATATTGCTGTTCAATTAGTGCCACTATTTTTTATTGTCTAGATCCAATTCTCAATTAAAAATGTTTATCGAATATTACATACGTAAACAATAAAAAATAGTTTCTACTAAAAATATCTCTAGTTATAAGAATTCGTCGACACTGTAAGAAAAACGTATCAATTTCGAAATCATTATTTTTATGTGAAATAGTTTTTCATATGTTGTTATAATGTAGTTTGAATCTTTAGTATCCAAAAAAACGATTTTTACACAAACTCACAGGATTCTATGGTAACACAATCTACTAGAAAATCTCGTGATGAACTAGAATAGTGTATACATCAATGAAGACACGAAAATAGTTCTAGTCTTAGTGTTGCTTTAAATTTAGAAAATTTAATAACATAAAATACTGCCCTTCGTGATTGATCATAGACTTCATATGAGAATAGATTTAGATGTCACAGTAAAACAAACTTATGCATTTTATGTAATTTCAAACAGGAAGCAGCATTTTATACAAAGTTTCGAGCAATATTTTCTTTGAGTTAACAAAATCTTTGAAAATTTTTACTTTTTTTTCTTCAAAATCATCGGTTGCAAATTAGTTTTTAGATATTCCCATGTAGATTTTTGTATGAAGTGTATGATTTATTTTGAATTAAGTATTAAGAGAACAATCTGAGTACTTCTTATGTAATGGAGTCATTTTTAAATGAGAAAGGTGATACTTATTGCAGATCAACTATGAAATTTGAACTGCATTCAGTTCGAATTCATATTTCATTACGTTGAAATTTATTGGCACTGTTCCTAAAAGATTGTATTAATTTCATTGGTCTGTTACGACATATTTCGAGCACATTATGATACATTTAAACTATGTAACCTCTAAGTTAACTGACTTGCATAGATTTCACAAAGAAATTATTAGTATAAATTGTCTCACTGCAAAGAAATATTATTGGAGATGATAAATGAACTTATTTTCTCTAGAAGTTTTCAGAGAGACCTTTCAACTATGATAAAAGTGATTCTATCTAGCTTTTTTGTTCGTTACGACTACTGTTGTTTTTAATGAGACTTGCTAGGAATAAACTTCGATGGTGGTGAAAAATGAAAAATAAGGATGAGGTTGTTGATACAGATGAAAAAAATATATTTCTAGTTTATTCGATTCAACTTTATGAAATAATATTTTATGTTTTATATGGTTTTTATCTGATAAACATAAGTAAAGTTCCGAGAACCTAAAAGTTTCCACAGAGAAAATCAACGTTTCACTTTATTCTCACTATTAATTTCAATATTGTTCGAAATTCGAATTAGTCTTGTAATATTATATGTAACTATATATTTGATTCAGGAAAAAATGATTTTATTAATCTTTTGATAAATGCGACGTGTATCAAATATACAGAATAGAACTATTTTGTCGTCCTTGACTATCTATAATAGAAGTCAAACTATGGTTACAATCACGATATTAAATCAAAGCGACGGTAGTGTTCTTATTGTCAAGTATTGAGAATTAGAAAATAGCACGGGATATGCCAACGCTGAGTTTCAAGTAGAAGTTTTTTGATAAATCTGACTATTTTAGCTTTCTGACGAAGTTAGAAATCGAGTGTTTTCGTTAGTGCATTGGTTCGCTAAAAGAGTACAACTTTACTAGGCAGTAATTAAAACTTTACGAAGTTAGATGTATTATTTCAGTTCGTTAAAAAAAGAGCCTCTGATATTAGTCTTGTTATACTCACCCTTCTTTCATTCTTGCGCTAACATCAGATAAGTCAATATCATCATCAGGAAATTTTAATTCATTATTTTTTATACTATCATAAATATTCTAAAAATGTATAATATGTAAATCAAACGTAAAGAAAAAATTGCTATTACAAAATCCACCTTAATTAGATTTGAATCTGGCATAGCTTGACGCGAAATAGCTTCATTTAAACTGTTGACAAATTTTTCATGCGTAAGAAGACCACCCAAACGAGCACTTTTATTATGCAGCGATGTATTTAACATTATGATAGCAAATGATAAAATAAAGCATACTTCTATTCAGAATTCGAAGAAGGTTTTATTTGTATCGACATGAATATTATTTGATTTAAACTTACCCGCATTAGCATAAATATCTGGATTACATTCATAATAGCGTTGAGCGAATGCTTCCATTATTCGGTCAATTTTTTGTGCTTCACCCGGAAGAAGAAATGTGTATAAATAACGTCTAAAGAAAAAACTAAATGCCATCAATTTAATCAAATAAAAAAATCAAACCTGAGAGCTTCAACAATATCTGTTGAAAAGAAATCAAACATGTGAGCGTAATGTTTAAGCACTTCGACATGAGAATCATCTCTATCGGTCAAAATAAAAATCGAAACAATTATCTATAAAAGTTAATATAATATAAAAGTAGATACTTTTCTCCAAGATAATCACCAATTGCACGTTTACTTAAACCTGTTTCATTGAATAAAAATGCAGCCAAATGTTCTGGTGTATTTGGAAAAATATTATTTTCAACAAGCCAACGAATGCCCTAGGCAAAATGAAGAAAGAAAAAGAAAGAACATACGTTTATATCTATATACTATTTTTGCTGATTCGTATATTTACTTCATTTGGATTTTCATTAAATTGTCTTTTGCCAATTAACAATTGTTTGATATTTCCATGTTGACGACTAAAATCAAACAGAAAAGGACAGTAAATTTTCTTGAATACGGAAACATAAAAAAGTAAATTAAAAACCTTAATAGTCGAGATTTTTTAAGTGAAACAGTTACATTAAAATAACAAACATAAGGCATTGGTTTTAATGGTTCTGTTATCGAAGATTTTGTTGTATGTTTGGGTTCAGTTGTCAAGGAATGTCCATGAAAACGCGTACGAAAATTATCCAGTTTCTGTTCAATATTTGAACGGCTTGGATCTGATAATCTACTCTCATGAAATTTATCTTTCTCGTGTATTCTTGGCGAGCTGATGTTCTTCGCATTCGATAGTATCCATGATGATTTTGGTTGGTGGCTGTCCATCGTCAATATTACTGGTGATCAGAAAAAAAGACTCAATATTTGTGTCAGTATTTGAATACAGAACATGCGCTGCTAAGAAAGAAAAATAAATGTGACGCTTCAATTATTTTCGTTTTGCCCTGACTATATTTTACTTTAGTACTCAAATGAATATCGTACTTATAGTTATGATATAAGCCATTTTCGTTTACCTTTCTTTTTCTCTTACATTCATAAGCAATAAGAAACATAAAAAATCAGACAGAAGTAATGACTATTTTATCAGTTTCATACATACTTTATATTATTATGAGATTGTATTATAGACATTTCAACTTCACATTGAGCAACTTTTTCACGAATTTCCTTCAAATATAAAATTTATTTATTCATATGGCAAATATAATTCTGGATAAAAACAAGAAGCACGTGTTTTCACTTATCTTAATTAGCTACTACAATATTTTTATATTTAATCCATAGTTGAAAAATATACGTGCAATAATTAACTTCTATCACAAGCAACAACACAATCTCGATTGATTCACGTGTACCGAAATGATCATTAAAACAAAGTATATTCTTATCTTCAGCTCGAATTATGTTAGGAATCATTTATAACGGACTAAGATATTGTCTGGTCATTAGAAAGAGCTGGTGAAGATCTAACACAGATTGATTGTAACAATAACATCTCGCTGACAGATTTTAGTAATTAATTATAAGTCGGTAGAGAAATATTGCGATAGGTTTACGAATCTGTTTACCAAATTTACAAAATTTCATCATTGAAAGAATTCTAGTTAGGTTGACAATATAGATTCGTTAGCTTAAAATATTGTAACTAATTAAATGTTCACTGTATGTCAATTCTATTGGCAACATTAAAAAAAAAGACACTTTATAAGATCTTAATGCCACGTGTTGTTTATTTGTGTACATATCAGAAGTCTCGTCAGAATAACAACAAGAAAGAAATACAGCAAGAAAAGATTATAAAGAAAAAAAGGAAGTTAAATTCATAGTTTTAATGGTAGAGATCGTCACAAAATGTTTTATGATATTTATCTAAAGAAAATACAAGTCATAATATACGTAGACGTTCCAGGGAATAAAAAAATGCCACGGCTTTCGTGAATTTTAGGTTAGAAAAATGAAAAAAATGCCATTCTAGACGACGAAACAGGCATTAATTGTGACGTATTTCAATTGCTTGCATGCAAATATTTATATTCATGCATGGAATTGAAATAAATAAAAAATAATATCCGTTTCATCATTTTAATCACATTTTTTTAATTTCCTAGCATGAGACTATTTTTAGGACTAAAGAAAAACACTAACAGCTATATGAACAGCAACATCACAAACTAACTATATTTTTCAACTAGATATTTTTCAAAACGATATTCATGTTTGTTTTTCACTGTAACTACTAGCATGTATATGAATCATGTTATTGCTCACGATTCAAGTTTATTTTAGCAAGGATGTATCCAACACATCAGGGAAAAAACAGTATCGAGAAAAAACGAGAACTTCCTTTTTTTCTCATGATTTTTATAGCATACCTGTATTTCTCGTTTAAGTTGTTCTTTTCGACGACGAATCACATCAATCGGAATATATGAACCAACAACGGTTTCGTTTCCTAAAATGAAGTCACTAGAGAGATATTTTGATTTTTGATCGACATACCGAAACCGTTGAGCGTCATTTATCAATCTATTTTTTTTATTAGATCTAGAAAAGCAAAATATCAATTAATTATTGTTTCTTTTTATTGAATTAATATAAAAATGGAATGATTCTATAAGGAACACGTCGACAATATTCCTCCCAATCACGCCCATATTTCTCTTGACATCTCTCATAATCAGTTCTCTCTCGAGCGATAAATAATGCTACATAATACAATGGATATAACCATGGATATATTCCTCCATCGATAGCTAGACTAAGACCAGTTGCCATTAAAGTGTCACCTAAATAATTAATATGACGTGAAATAGACCACCATCCTGAACAAAGTAAACGTCCATTGATTGATACCGGTTGAAAAACACCTAAAAATCTTGCTTTTGGTTGTGTTCGAAATAAATATTTTTGATTATTTGCCCCGCGCGATAATATCCAACCAAGAAAAAAAACCGTAATACTAAAGCATTGTCGAGTAAAAGACAACGATGTTGGATGAATTTGACACCAAATAGTGATTGGATAGAAAAAAGGATAGAATACAAGACAACCCCAAACTAATTTAAAACCAACATATTCAACAATAAAATCAAATGTATACAAGTGAACATATTCATGATAAAAATATTCTATTGTAAAAAAACTAAATAGAATAACATAAACCATTATATTTGTCATGGGTTTATTTTCTTGTGCATATTGAAAATAGAATAGAATTAAATTAAGTTCTAATCCTATTCCACCTATAAGATAGAGTAGAATTTTTCCATCGGTACGATTAGAAAACAATTGAGGATTTTTTAAACGACCAAGATAAATATCAAGCCAAAACGACGATGAGTTTTGTTTAAATGGAAGTACAATAAGAAATGTAAATATTAAACCTAATAGACAAGCGCAAATAGAATGTTTCATTCGAAGATGAATCAGATATTGAATATCAAGATATTGAAAATATCCAATACAAATAATGAACGAAAGACTAACTATAAAGAAAACTCGTAAACCATTGAGACGATAAAATTTAGGACCATCATGAACATAGCCACGAACATGATGAGCAGGAACAGCAAGATGTAAAAGAGTAATTAATGTATAAGTTAATAAAATATGAATAAATGCAGAGAACCATTCGGTTAGATCAAGGTTAGTCATAGTTGAGTTGAAAGTATATCACCTATTTATATATTGAACATGATGAAGAAGAACAAAGAAGCGCAGAATTGAATTTCAGGAAAAGAGAGACGTTAAAGAGCAGTTGTTTCATTGCATGATCATGATGAAGACAGAAAGGAAGCAAACAATCAACATCTCAAGGTAAAACGTAGCCCGGACCAATGCTTCCATTTATTCATTCAACACATTTTTCATTATTATTCTTACTGGAAGAAAAGAAAAAATTGATTGGACGAATCTTATTCAGCTTATATTCATAATGGTACTAGATGACGCTACATATCGAACATATTGTGTGTATGTACAATAATAGAATTCAAATAAATCTCAATACTGACTTATATTTCCGTTTTCTCAATGGTATAGGTGATTGTGAAATGTTATAGAGGCTTTCAAAGTTATGTTTCAAAATATTTTTATTTATAAAGTAACCATGAAGTGCAGTTCATACAATAACTGCGTTGATTGAAAATTAACACTCAGATATTTTATCTGAAAGAATTTAAGTAACGTACGACGTATATATTGTTTTAATTATTGTACTTATGAACTTTTCTGAAAGATCAAATTGAACTTACTGATCGTTGTAAAATGATAATGCAATTCAAGTAGTGTCTACAAATGTCAAGTACAGACTTTAATACGAATGATATTCAAATAATTCAACATGAATTAGCAGAAAAACATAATTCTATAGGAAAGAAATATTCGTACAAGCTCTTGTAAAATTAGTATTAGTTTGAAAAAAAAATGACTTCTTTAAAAGAGATTAGAAAAAGTTAGGAAACAGTTGTCAAATACTGGATACTGATTGATTGTTAGTATGTGCTTTTATTTAAAATCCTGTTACATCTCAGAGTTATATCAGTACTGGAATTATTGTTTTCGAAGGAGTCTTTGAAATTACAATAATTATTAAACATTTTTGTGATAAATCATTTCATTTACTTTCTTTCTTTTGCTAAGAACTATTAATTAATATCTTCAAATCTTCCTTGAAGTAGAAATCAGAAAAATCAAGGTTTGAAATTATAAGATTCAATAACTTCGACAATCTGGTGCTTAATAAAAAAAAAGGAATATCTTCAAGTCTTTTTTCTACGAGATAATTTCAAAAATATTGATTTATGGTTTGTTTTAATAATATAAATCAGTGGAATTCGATCATCCGAGTTGATACAAATCTTACACTCCTTTTCATGTTTTAGAAAAGCAACAGATAATATAAACTAAAGTTAAACATCACACTAAAAGAGAAAATGACTTTCAAAAACAAAAAGAGAAAACAAAAACAAAAACAAACATACATAAATCGTATCACTCGACAGTATGATATGGACACGGTAGTTTTCGATTGCATAGTTTATTATTTCGGAGTTTGGTTTTAAGAACAGTTCCACAAAGTTTAACTGTGGTTGTAGTAACTGTTGTTGTCTTTGTTGCAACTAATTTTTTCTGTCGTTTTCCAGGTCGTTTTCTTAAATTATAAAATTTGATAGCTGTTGTTTTTGTTGTTACAACCGGTTTTATATTATCAGGTCGACGTGCTGCTTGTTGTCGCATTTTTTTAAGTAAGTAAGTCGATGAAACAAATGGATTGGAAAGTGAACGACGATTTTTTGATATAGAATATCTATTACTACTAATACAAAAAATGTTCGATGAAGCAAGTTGCAAAAGATCATCCATAGCATCGTCATTTTCAACCGATAACTGCTGTTGTTTATGCTCAAAATAATGATGTGAACACATATTTGAACGACAGTGAAAACAATGAACATCAAACGGAGTTGCACATTGATCGACGGTACATAGAGTTAGATTTTCGGATACTGGATCGGTAACTGCTAACACCGACATCACGTGCAATAAATATGTTTCAATAAGAGAAACAACAAGAAGGGAGAGAGAGAAACAAACTACGTATTCGTACTCACAAGTGAGGACTAAGCATGGCAAGGATGACCGATACGTGAACCCGTTCCAACTTTTTTTTGATGTTAATGGGTGATCGCGAGAAATGAACAAGTAGGAAAGAAAAAGAAAGATGTCAGTAAACATTCAAGTGACATCTAAAGTGTGATTTTCCTATATTTTGCTTGCATAAAATTATAGATGTTTCATAAAACTGCATCGCGAAACAAAAGAAGGTTTGAATCATTTGCCGTTGGATTCGTATTCATTTTTCTTAAAAAAAATTTTTCACGATGAATACAAAACACAAGAAGAAAATTAGTCTGTTATATTTAACTAATGTGACAATAATCGAATAGATATTTCATAAAAGATTGTTTGTATTTTAAATCAATCGATTAACCATTGTCTAGATATTAAGAAATCTCTTATAATGTTTTAGAGTCATTTAGTAAATATTTGGTTTTCATTCAGATAGTTTATTTTTACTTTTTATCTAATATTATTTAACGATAAAATATTTAATTTTGTTATCGGCAGACGTTACCACTCATATGAGGTTAAGCGAAAAAAAATAAGAATGCATGTGCAGTTGAATTTTTTTATTAATATCGGTTGAAATATTCAACCAGATTTTAAAAAACAGAAACAGAGAGAAGTTCGCTTGGTGGTTTTAATTAATCAGAAGTAGTCGAATAGAAACAAAAGTGCATGTGCATGTGCCAAGAAAAAACGATAATTATTTTCAAGAAAACAGAAGACAATCATAATTGAAAGAGAAAGTAGTTCGACAGAGAACAAACAAAAATAATAACAGCAACAAAAACCACAAAACAACAGCTACTAAGTATAAACTTAAATGTGACAGACAATAGTTGTTGGGCAAATTTTGTTCGGAGTTAAATAAGTGACAAAGAAGTAAAGCATTCAATTTTATTAGATCTATTCTTTTCGAATTATTATTATATTGAATTATTGACAGTAATCTTTTCTCCGTAACCAATTTAATCTTTCAACAGATTTATCAGATCGAAATATTTATGAACTTCTATCAATATCTCTATATTTTATGAAATTCGGCGTATTCACGTTTTCTTTTTCTTTTTAATACTACTAATTGATCTGAAGCGGTAAAAGTATCGGAGTGAAGGTCGAATTAGAAGTTTTCTATTGTCAGTGGTGAAATGCAAAAGGATCTGGTTCGACGTTTGAGTCTCAATGTATTTTATGTAGATTTTATCTGAATCCTTTAGGTTAAAAATATTGTTAGAGATTTATATTTAGAAAAAATCCGATAAAAATGCTAAGTTCATGGGTCAAATGACAGGGGTCTGAAAGCAATAGATCTAACAATTTCGATTAATAATTCCGTTAGCTTTCTTCTTCTTCTTTTTTAAATTGAAATAATTATACACCGGTAACCCAAAATGCGTTATTATATAAAGGAAAAAAGGGTAATCGTTACCTGCAGAAGAACATGAAGAAAAAACAATAGAAATATTTATATTTACACAAGAAATAAACGAAAAAAGTTGAATAATCAATCGAAATGTATCATTATTATGATCCATTTTTCAAGGTTGTCAACATGAACTAGAATAAATTGCTAGTTATCATCGATTTTGTTGTTGATTCAGATGATTTGAATTAGGTTGATTATTCACAGAAGATGTAAATGATGGTTCATTCACTTGTCGAAGAAGACTAAGTACAAGATCGCGCTTATTTGGATGCGCATGAATAGCATCAAGTAATTGTTGTTCATCAGGGTCAAGAGGTGCTCCTGACTGAGATTGATGACTTGCTGGTGATTGAATAGGTGGTGTTTGATTTTGATGATTAACTAAATTATAAGCAAAGATCAAAACAGGCTTTTTTGTTATTTGAATGTCATCGAGGCATTATTTTCTCATCGATTTAATATTTAAACATATAATTGCTAAATTTCTCTAAGGAAAATAACATCGCCTTGACTAGTATTTATATTGATTCTATCACGCGACAGCATCAAGAAATCAATGTGAAAACGATAAAAAAAATGTTTAAGAGAGAGATCTAATACTCAATCATAATAGACAATTTGGTGCATATAAGTCTGCTTTAGAATTTCTAACTTTTCATTATTCATTGTGATTTTTGTACCTAATGAGAGACGAAATAAATGTTGCTCATTTTGTTGTTGTTGAAAATTAGGCGATCCAGTTCTGTTAAATGATTGAAATTCGCCAAATGTACTCGGAGAATATTGTTGCATCGGTGTTGGAAATATTGTTGAATTTGAAATATGATTTACTAGAACAAAATCTATTAATTTTTCAACTTAATTCTTGAAAATTTTACACTGTGAATGTCGATCATGAGGAGAACTATCAACTGTGGCTGATAATGAGTGCGTTCGATGGATGTGTTCATTGGAACTTTCACGATTAGTTAATAATGATTGCTTTTTCGGTGGTAAATGCCGCCGAGAAGTTGCTCTGAGAAAAATGAGATAATTTACAAAGATAAATTTAACAAAATGTTTCAAGTCACCTGTTTGAGATTGTTATATCGTCATGTGATCTTGGTACGAAACTGGGCACTTGATGGTCATGAGGTCTTTTATTTAACATAGCCGGGTTCGAATATTTTTCAAATTCATTAGAATTTGTACGCATAAAGTCGGTTTTCATTGAATGAGAAGTATTTTGAAGAGGACTAGGCAGTTTATTTTGTTCTACATTGATGATTTCTGTTTGCACTACAGGTGATATTTTACGCCGTTTTTTCCAAATATTTCTCGGATTTGTTTCGTTAGAATCTTCATTTTCATAATCTCCATCATCGTCAATGTATGAACGAGATTTTTTCTTATTTGTATCATCATCATCTGAGCCAATATTACTTTCAGTATCGATTGATGGATTTTTATCATAATCTATCATGTCACTATCGTTTGGTGTTGATGAATAAGACCGAGAATCTATGAATGTAAAAAGAAAAATTTGAAGTGTTGTCGATTGGCAACTAGATTCAGATTATTTGTATCTTGATTATCTCAAATGTGGAAACAACAGTTATCGATTACAATCGAGAATTTTAAGGGCAACATTTTCTCTACATGAAAATGTTTTATGATTTTCTCTAGTCAATACCAACTACAATAATCACAAGCGTATATTATTGTAGATGAGTTCAAAGAAAAAGAATTTGTTCTTGTGATAAGTGGCTTCTTTGGTAATCGCACTGTATCTAGAATTTATCACTGATCGAATCAAAAGTGAAAATTTAACTTTCATAAATTATAGTCATCTTTAAACGATTGGTTGAATCGAGTTAATAATAACAAATTATTTTTATCAGCATAATGCTAAGAACTAATTTCAATGGCTAATTTCTTTTTCGATCTAATGTAGTTCATAGCAAAATTTTCTCAAACAAACTGGATACAATCATTTTTCGATTCTCTGAATTATTTTTAAGGATATCATTTTCACGACCGTAAATCTGTCAAAAAAAAATGAGAGGCCACAGTATACTCAGTAATCTTTCTTAGTATTCTTAATTTATGAAAATAATTATGAAAAAAAAATCATTTGTTCTGACTATTTAGATAATTCAAAAGTTTGAAGAAAGGTCACAAGCAATACAGCGATCTCTCATTTTCTAGAAGTATATTTACAGTAAGAGAAGACAATAATATGAAAAAAATGGTTCAAATCTTTGACAGTTATCGTAGTCAATGTTTTAGAAATCTTATAATCACAATTCATCTATGATGTCTTGCTGTAGAATCAATTAAAGAGAAAAATTCTGTTTTCTATTTTAGATAATAACTTGGATTCAAAATAGTTTCTTAAAATTATAAAAATGAGTAAGAAATACGTTTCTGTTTCAATTTTTTCAGTGTCGTTTTTCTCACGTAGTATTTTCTTACGAATAGCCAGTAAAAATTTCGTTGAAAATAATAAAATCAAAAAATATAACTATTCTTAAATAAGATCTCCTGAGGTAAAATTTTCTGTTTCATCGTATAGAAGATTAATTTAACGAAAAAGTATAAGATTTTGGATAATATTACTGAATAATTACCCATTCTGTCTGATGCTGATTTATTTAAAACATCTGGTTTAGCAGCAACTTCTTGAACAAGTGGATTAACACTTGAAGTAGACATAACCTTTTGTATAACTTCAGTATGAGCTAAACTTAATGTACGTAAGGTTATAATTTGTAGTAACAATTTTGGATAGATATTTTCTGTTTGTTCAACACCATAACGCCATTGCATATATTTTTGTAGTAGAGTAACATATTTGGTTTGTAAATGTTTAACTAGTTCAAGATCTACGATATTTGAACGATCCGGTGAGAATAATATGACTGGTGCTAGCAAAGTTGATGCTACTTCATCAACATCTAAGTTACACATTGAAATTAAAAACTTTTTTGTCAGATGAAATAATTCTTCTCCCCATATTTTCATTAGTAATGGATCAAGTGGCATTATTTGAGTATCCATAACAGCACGTTGATCTCGTGATAAATAATTTGTAAATGCATGTGTTTTCGGATCAAATAATGTATTCGATGAACAAATCATTATGTCAATAGCTGAACCTTTGAGTAAACTAACTTTATCATCTTCAGAAAATAAATCAAAATCTTTAAGCATTCTTGCAAATAACACGAGACGTTGAATAGGTATAATAAGAAAATTAGCTGAAGGACTGGGAGGTTTTTCAGATGTTGATGACGGTGGTGTTGGTGGTGGTGATCCTGACTCTAATGAACGTAAATGTTGATTTAATTCGCTTGGAAATTGTAATGGATATGTTCTATAACGAAAATAACCTTATTCATCTAGTATCATATGCTACAGGTTATTATCTTGCGAACTTCGCACTTGTTAAACTTTATCGAGAACGGTAGAAAAAGAATGAAAAAAAGAACATTAATGTTATCTGTCTTTTTCTTTCCATTAATAAACGTACTGAAAAAATTTCTATGAATGTGCTATTATTAAAATCAGCTTACGTTCTTGATTGATACAACGCATGTGCTATATCTTCAATCAGTACTTTTTCGTCGGTTGTTAAATATTTGTAAATATCAGGATCTTCTTCTGCTGTACGATTCTCTCGAAAACGTTTACGTCTTGAACCATATTTTTCTTCACGTTCTTGATCAGATAAAACCCTATGTATATCAATTTTTATTTTATAAAACTTTGTTCGTTAATTCTCACCATTTTGGTTTCATACCAATTGCCGTACATTTTGTATAACGACAATGTTGACAGACTTTACGTGTTACTGTATTAACCGGGCATTGTGCTAAAACAAAAAGAATAAGAAAACAATCTAATGTAGGGTATTGGTAAGTGACTATCGGATTATGAGATTTTCTTTCTGTTAAAGAAAACTTAAAAAGATAAATTAATATTTATTAGGTGCAAATTAACGAATTATATAATAAGAATGATCTAGATAGTAAAAATAGAACTTTCCTCGAACAAAAAATAAATGCTGTAATTTGTTTTTCTCTCGATGCATTTCTTTATTTGAACTAATGGTGAAATACGCAGATACTTCCCGTAGACAATGTCTTAGCCGTTTGTGTCTTATTTTCTCCACGCGATGAAGCTCTCAGAATAGAAAGAAAAATTAATTGCGAATTGCAGAGAAAAAAGAAAGTACCTGAATTAACCTTCTCTATCATTTCCCAAAAGTATCAAATTTACCTTCATTTGAACACTTATAATTTTGATAACGATTACATTGAACTGATCGACGAAAGAAAGCTTTACAACTTTCACAGCTATTACCACCAAAATGAATTCCTAGAAATAAAATACAGACTTCTCTTATGAACTAATAGAAAGCAATAAATGAAACTAATATATACCTGTACTTATATCTCCACATACACTACATTGCCGACTTGGTACACCAATATTTCCTTCATCAGTTGTTGCATTCATTCCTTGTTGCTGCATTTTAAAAGATGCTTCCGATGATATTGAACTAGTTGATCGTCTTTTTGCTGGACATTCTATTCCGTTTGCTGAATCACCTTTTACAATTTGTTCATCATAATTCAATGGACGTTTTGATGCTGGATAATAACTAGAAAACAATATTTGATTTTAACAAAAATATTGAGAAATATTTTTTATAAAATCAACATCACAATTCTATATTATTCTTAAACGAAAATGAAAATTTCACACCTCTTATTGTATGAATCGTTTGTTAAAGACGATTGATAACTATGATTGTGTGCGTGAATGCATTGCTGTACAGACATGTCGATGTTGTTTTTATTTATTACTACTATCTGTAACTGCGAAGATGTTAATATCTTTTATGTATCCAATAGGAACGATTAAAAGATCAACAAAAGAAAAAAGACTTAAGAAATTTACAGTCAATGCAATAATACAGCACATTTACAGTGTTAGTAGTTTAATGTGGATGTCAAAGAGAACACACTATATTTTCTTTTATAAACCACTGATGTGTAGTTAGGAGAAAGTCGAAAGAGAAGAAAATAAAAGTAGGCGTAAAAAGAAAGATGTATTGGAGTACGAGTTAAGAGACGCGAGGGAGAGAGAGAGCAAGTAAAGGCAAAAAAAGATTCGCTGCTGATAAAGTCCAGAATACGCGAAAGAAAACAGAACAAAAGAAAAAAGGCTGAAAGAATATAGGAGTAGATCGTACTGAGAGTTCGCACAGTCAAGCTCTAAAATACACTTATCGGTAAAAATGCCCTTATTCTTCTTCAGCCAATGAGAAACTACCAAACAATATAATGAAAAAAACATTCGTCTGATAAGTTATAATTAATGTAAGAAAAATCATCTCAATTGAAAAATGAATATTTATTCAAATTGAATTCATCAACATCAACACATTAGTCAATGGGTCGGATATTTGATTCTCATACCGAAAAAGTGTCACGTTACACATAAAGATTATCAAGTGCAAAAAAACATCTCACACTATATGGGTAATAACAAAAAACGAACTAAGAAAATATTCTACATCAACCTATATTATTCAGTAGGATGTTAAACTGCATACAAATATTAATGGATACATGTATACATTATTTATAGGAATAGCCTTGATGTTAATATGCAAACGTACTGTATGCGATGGAGTAGAAGAATGGAGAACAGAGAAAAAAAGAGGGTCAAATTCATAATCAATGCACTTTTTTCTTTTCTGTTTTACTTCTTCACATAAGAATATGTCTGCGTATGCAAGTGCAAAATGTATTTGAATTAAAAGAAATAAAAAAAGGACTATTCTTTTTATAATATTCTACATCAACCTATATTATTCAGTAGGATGTTAAACTGCATACAAATATTAATGGATACATGTATACATTATTTATAGGAATAGCCTTGATGTTAATATGCAAACGTCCTGAAAGCATGTTCACATACTGAGTCATCATTAGAATAAAGGCTTTGATATGATGACATCATCATCATCATCATCAGTTATAAGAACAAGAAAATATGTGGAAATCACTTAGTTAAAAAATTGTAATTTGAACTTAGTTTAACTAAATTGTTTTAGCTCTCCAATAATTTCATGAAGTAATATGTTTGCATAAGTAACTAGCAAAGAATTTACTAAAATCGTCAGTGGTAATTATTGATCTCGTCTATTCTATCATTAAAAATCATGATACTCGCATAGTCAATAATAATTTGTTTTATGGACACCCACACACACACATATATATATATATATATATGTATAAACGAATTAGACGTTTTTAGTATGAGTAACATTTTGTAGTTGAGTCACCATTTTTGAGTCTTATTTACTAATCAACTCAAGGTTGTTTTTACATACCTTGACTTATAACAGGCATATATAAAAAACACGTCACGTGCTGACGAAATATTAAAAGAAAGAGATATTTTTCGACGGTAATAAACTATACAAAAAAAGCATATGAATGACGTCGTCTGTAGAAAAAACGACGTTGTCTCGAAATATTTAATTGATAATAATTTCATTTCATGTTCTTTTATTTTACTTGACAAATGCTTTCATATTTTTCTTTAGATTTATTCTAAGTCAATCCAGGAAAAAGCTAAAATTAGACTCGAACATTGAAAGGCGGCAAGCCGCCTATTTCACAAATGTACGAATCAAGAAAACAATTCTCCTATAAGATTCATCTCAGAAAATAAAATGACATGAGTTAGCCGTAATACTGAGTGAAACTGTTCTCTCTATTGAATTTTTACAATACTTACAGAACTCTTAGTTCTATTAATAAATAAAATTGTAGACTATCATCTCGTTGTATAAAAGAAAACATTTAATTGCAACAAGACATGTAAAAGAACGTTGTTTTATTTAACTGCCATTGAAACACGATTATTTGACTGCAACAGATTTTAGAATAAACTCTAAGATGTATAGAAGAACATGAAAATAAAAATTTACTGTTACACTAGTTAAAATTTAGTACATAATATTGAAGAATGCAAATGAATGTGATTTATTCTTCTACCTTTGAATCGACTAGATTTCGAACAACTCTGAAAGCTTTGGTATTGTCTATATTGATTTCCATAAGACAGAAATTTTTGAAAACGAATTTATATACACTAATAAAATTAATGTTCAAGTCATTATTTGTAAAGCCTCGATTGATTTTTCTCAATTAGAATCATACGCAATGTCGATTTTCGACACTGACTAACAAGAAATCGAAGAGATAAAAAAATAGATGTTAAAGTTTTTTCCGGTTGATTATTAAAATTTATATTAGTAAATCTTAGTAAATATATTAGAAATTGGTTATTTCGATTTTGATCGCTTATTTTTACCGATGGAACTCACTTGGACTTAATCGAGTTTTTTTTTGTATTAAAATTATCTGTAACTATGGATATAACAGTGGCGATAACTGATGCATAAGTAATAAAGAGCTTATTTTACAAGAATGACACTGTTGTCGTTTTATCAAATTTAACTTTACTGAAAAAAATTCTGATTTTCATACGATCAGAGTTTCTTGAGAAACAAAGTCTCATTCAAGAATATTTTCGTTTTACACCGGTAGTATCTTTCCTTCGCCTAGAACGAACTCTAATTCATAAACTTGATTAGTTTGAATTAGTTAAATGCTTGTCATCGTTACAGCTGTGACTGATTCAAATTCTCGTGAAAATTTCTATTCTACATATAAAATACAATTAGTTGCTTGCTGGCATAGACAAAGAGAAATATTCAAAGATCCATAGAAGATAATGGCATAATCTGTGAATAGTCTTTTATGCGATGGAGTAGAAGAATGGAGAACAGAGAAAAAAAGAGGGTCAAATTCATAATCAATGCACTTTTTTTCTTTTCTGTTTTACTTCTTCACATAAGAATATGTCTGCGTATGCAAGTGCAAAATGTATTTGAATTAAAAGAAAGAAAAAAAGGACTCTTCTTTTTACTGTATAATACCGAATCATTTTTTTCCCAAGTACAGACGGCTAGCTTTTTGTTTGTTTCTTTTTCGTGTTTTATTCATTACTACTAGAAAAACACCTACTAAACCAGGCTATTGCATTTACTTTCAGCTTCATTTTATAAATGAAAAATCAATCTGCGTAATATCAACATCATAATATTAAGAAGCTGAAGAAAATTCTTTTTTAAGTTGAGCTATATTTGTACGTCTGCCATCAATTTTTTTGTGCATTTTCTCATGGTTATGAATAAACTACTTTAACAGGAAAAAAAATAGGACAATCGGGTGCACTTCAATACTAGGAAGTCATTCAATGCGCGGTGACGTCAACATGACCTGATATCTGTACCTACATAAAGATTCTTCATTATTTGTGAATCTTCCATATTAATTATCTCTCAGAAATTAGTAAAATGAGACAAAATTAATAAGAAAAACATTATATTTTCTCTCTCTCTCTCTCTCTCTCTCTATCTATATATATATATATATATAGGACATTTTTTTCTTCTTAATATCAATTTACTTTTATTTTCTATTCGACAGGCTTATGAATAATAGAACTTAGGAGGGAGAAGAGTTTTAGTCTTGATTCTACAATATGATTCCTTTCGTTTTTTGAGAAAAAGAACAACGAAATTCAATTTTTTCTTATCATATCACTACTCATATCAAAATATACTTTTTCTTTTCGAATACACTTAATCAACTTGAGAGTTAATAATAATAGAAGCTATTGCCCTTAAGTTTTTCATGGTTAACACAATCATATGATAAGTTATTCTGTCAGGACAAGATAGTATGGGTGGAATCTTCTGTTTATTGAAGCAAAAACGAAGGTCAATGTAGTCATAATCTTTTCTGAATTGTGAAATACGTATGTATCAGGGCACTGTAACCGAATATTCCATTATAATAATTATTTAAAAAATGCATATCACGATAAATTTCGGTTAATAATATTCAACGACATTTCAGATTAGTATAAAACATATCAAATTTACAACTGTTAAGTATAAAATGTATTTGCTTTTTTACTTTATAAGATAAAAATTTAATGTCTGATAAACAAAAGGCTAAAAAGACAGATAAAACAATCAACGTACATTCATTGTTTCTTTTCTCCATATGACTTACATAATATTCAAATGAAGAAATTTACATATTTTGAATTTTTTATAAATTTGAGTGAATTTGTTATCAAGTTTTTCTAACAAAAATGGTTTCGATTAAATAAATATTCCTAGTTTACACTATGGTATGCAGCTGGAGGATACATTAGGCTATTCAAGTCAAAAATATCTTAGTTTTTTCTTTCTTTCTGTAGAATGTTTCTTTTCTGTAATACTAGTCTCATCATTTCACAATAATTTTACTAATTAATGAATTTTATAGGGGTTAAGTGGAGATGTTCTTTTTCCTTATACTATCACAACAGAAACAAAACAAAGCGAGCTCATAAAAGTTTTTTTCGTTCTTTTGCTTTACTTAAGTTATCTTGAGGGAGTACATTTCTACAACAAATAATGAAAGCAAATTCTAATTTAAGAATAAAGCAAATTTTTATTTCTTTATTATGTTTAACTAATAGAAATATACTTACAACGGTGAAGTAATTAATAATAAATGTGCTTAATTATAAGCAATTACAGCCGTAAATTTTCGTTTTTTTTCTCTAGTTTTAATATCAATTAATGTTCAATCAGAGAATTAATATCTGTAAATTAAATAAGCCATTAAGTAAAATGATTATTTCGAAATAAAGAAATTATTTTTAAGTGCAAACAGAAAAGAAAAGATAGTAGTAAGGG